TATTCACAAAATCCTAAGTGTCCATTAACAGATGAACAAAGAAAATAGTTTGTGTACGTCACACACACACACACACACACACACACACAATTATTTAGCCTCAAAAAAGGCAACAAACCTGTTCTTTGTGACTACATGGATGAACCTGGATAATGATGAAGTGAAATAAGCAGGCACTGGAGAAAAAACCACATTCTCCCTTACATGCGGAATCTAAAAACCCCAACCACCGGCTCTGGAGATGTTGGTCAAAGGTTATAAAATTTCAGTTATAAAGGATGGTGACTAGTTATTAACAATGTATCCTTGAAAAGCACTAAGATTGTAGCCATACAAAGTGGCACACATCTGCAATCTTAACTACCTAGGGATGGCCAATCAAGGCCAGGATGGCAAATAATCTAGACCCTGTCTCAAAATAAGGAGCTGGGAATGTAACTCAGAAGTAGAGTATTCCTGAATAAAAAAAGAAAGCAGCATTGTGGGAAGGAGGGGGATCAAGGACTGAGGTTTTAAGTGTTCTTACCATTAAAACAGTGAAATAATGTATATGCTAATTAGCTTGATTTTAGCCATTCTGAAATGTACACATATATCAAAGCATCATGTTGTACATGACAAATATATAATTTGCCATTAAAAATTAATTAATTAGAGGGGGCTAAGCACAGTGGTCACACCTCTAATCCCAGTGACTCAGGAGACTGAAACAGGAGGACCAAGAGTTCAAAACCAGCCTCAGCAAAAACGAGGCTCTAAGACTCTATCTCTAAATAAAATTCAAAATAGGGCTGGGGATGTGGCGCAGTGGTTCAGTGCCCCTGAGTTCAATCCCCATACCCCCCAAAAAAATAATTAGAGGGGCTGGGGTTGTGGCTCATTGGTATAGCATTTGCCACACATGTGAGCACTGGGTTTGATTTTCAGCACTACATATAAATAAAAAACAACCAAAAATATTTTAAAAAGTAATTAGAAATAGAAAACTGGGTTTCTGCTACACAATGAAAACAAGGACAACTATGTCTAGGAGATTTGAGGAAGTGACTTTTTATTCTGTTTTATTTTTGTGGCACTGAGGATTGAACCTAGAGGGGTTCTGCCACTGAGCTACATCTCTAGTCCTTGTTATTTTTTTGAGGACATCCTTAACCTGCTGAGGCTGGCCTTGAACTTGCAATCCTCCTGTCTCACTCTCAAATTGCTGGGATTACAGGTATGTACAATGATGCCCAGCTCCCTATCAAGCCCTTTATGAGAGTACCTAATACAATTCTTAAGGGCAGAGGCCTCATGAATGAATCCCCCTATAAAGACTGCACATCTTAATACTGTTGCAGTGGAAACTGAGTTTCAGCATGAGTTTTGGAGGGGACACCATCATTTGAGTGGACAGCATTGAGGCTGGAATGTACCTAGCACTTGTCTAGCATGTACAAGGCCCTGGGTTCAATACCTACCATCACCAAAACAGAGAGGGGGGTGGATGGGAAGAGGTAAGCACAGTGTCTACCGTATTAAATGGTAGCTTGTCATTTCATTCATTCATTCATTGATACCAGGGATTTGCACTCAGAGGTGCTTTACCATTGAGCCACATCCCCAGCCCTTTTTATTTTTTAAGACAGAGTCTAAGTAGCTTAGGGCCTCTCTCTAAATTCCTAAGGCTGATTTTGAATTTGCACTCCTCCTGCCTCAGCCTTCTGTGTTGCTGGGATTACAGGCGTGCTCCACCACACCCAAAAGTAGCTAGTTATTTTTAAAAAGTTACAGATTTTTAAAAATCTACACAGGGGGAAATGAGGATATATAAATCAGAGTTAGTTTGAGTTTAGAACACAAAATGCGTGACATAAAGTATTCTATTTTGATAAAGGATGTTTCCAAATTCGGTTTTGCAGGGCAAAAGAAAATAACATAAGAATTCACATAGCCCAGCCAGGCACAGTGGCATACACTTACAATCCCAGTAACACAGGAGGCCAGACTCAGCAACTTAGCAAGGCCCTAAGCAATTTAGTAAAACCCTGTCTCAAAAGAAAAAATTAAAAAAGCACCCTTGGGTTCAATCCCCATTACCAAAAACAAAGAATTCACACCGTCATATAAGCAAACAAACAGAACAACAACAAAAAACAAACAAACAAAAAACCAGACCAGTTGAATAGAAGCACAATTATTTCCGGCACTGAGACCAAAGAGAAATATCTCCTATAGGTTTCCATAAGAAATATATGGGGTAATACAATAAAGTCCATATTTTTGTAGTAAAAATATCTTTAGGCTTTTGTACAATTTCACAATGTTTCTAAAAGTGAGCAAATAAGACAATGTAGTCCAGGTATGTATCTTTGATGGTGTAATAGAATCTAAGACAACTTAACCTTTAGGAAAGTTACCACAGATTGTTGAGAGCCACAGCCCAAGGGGCCCCAGCAAACTTCTAGCTGCCAACTGATTGGCTCCTCTGCTGTGATGCTCATTGGGCTGTTTCCCCGCCCTTTCAGACCACGGAGCTACTCATTGGGGGACTTTTTTTGGCTCCACCCACGTGACCCAGCCAATAGGCCTCAAGAGCAGGAGGAGTGGGGAGGTTGAGAGGCTTGTGGGAAGCGGGTGGTGGCAGTTGGGCTCTGAGGGTTTTCCTGAGGAGCTGTGTGTGTGTGTGTGTGTGTGTGTGTTCTAAAAATAAAGTTCGTTTCTTTTGACAAGTGGCTCCTGAATTGTGCCCAGCCAGACTGTGGCAACAGATATTTCTCTCAGCTATATTTTTTGGCTGAAATTTTTCCAATAAACACTTCAGAAGTCCAAGTTTATATTACATAATTAGCTTCCCATTTGTCTTTCTTTACAGAGAAAAAGAAATGGGGAAGAATGGGAAAAGCATTATTTAAGCAGTAAATAACCAAAAAAAGTAAGCAACCTCTCCTTATATGTCCCATATTTATGTGTGTGTGTGTGTGTGTGTATGCATGCATGCACATGTGTGTGTTTGGAGGTGGCAGGGGCATCTGTTCTTTATTCTTGCAAGATCAAAAAAATTCCTTCATAATGATCATATAAAAATAAAAATTTATTCTTTCAGCTATACTTCATTTTTATGGAAAAAAAACTTGAAAACAGCAACTAGTTTCAGTTAACTGGAATAAAGATCTTTCTTACTATTTGAAAAGAATACAACACAAATGATATAAAATAACTTTTATTTACATAATTTATATCTATAGAACATAACTGCTTTCTTTAGAACAAGAAAATTTACATATGACAGATATTGCTTTTTTTGTCAACAACTTCTTCAAGCAGTAGTATACATGGTTGCGTTTTTTTAAAATAACATGGTGGTAAACAATGGATATTAATATTTTTATTGGTGCCTCAATCATTTACCAACAATTAGGCTTTGAGGCCATCATGTTGATCACATGCTAAGATGTAAGTGTTTAGGAGGAAAAGTCAAGAAAAGAAAAGATAAAGACTTTTAATCACATCTCCTTCAAGATTTCTAAAACAAATTCTTTGCAACACCTTTACATCAGTCAGACTTAACACAGATCATTCCATCTTGTAAGGTAAGTACAGTGATTAAACTTCTCTTTCTCCAAGATAAGTTTTAAGACTATAACAGTAGGATAATTTGTTAACTGACTTGATTCTCTATACAATGAATGCCCTATATTTGTTATTGTTATACAATAAGAAATTATCATCCATAAAACTGGTTTATTGTAGATGTTAGCAAAGTTAAAAAATAAATATTATACAGGGATAAATTATAATTTAGTCATGGCAATCTAATACCCAAACTAACACTAATTAAGAATTTCAGAATGAGTTTTGTTTGGTTTGGTTTTTGAGATAGGTTCTCACCATGCTGCCCCCGATGGGATCAAACTCACCATACTCCTGCCTCAGCATCTCAAGTACCTGGGATTACAGACATGTGTCACTGTACTCAGTACAATATGAGATTTTTAAAAATTTACATAAATAGGTTATTAAAATAGCAATGTGATTTACTACCATGATTTTGTGACATTAATCAATAAAATAAATAAATGCATACTTATATAGAGAATTTCCACTCAGATTTACAGATCTTCATTCACGAGAAAAAGTTAAATTTTAAATTTTTCTGTAAGGCAATAAATAGAAGATGCTCTAATAGCAAGTTCCAATAAATTGGCATCACTGTTAAACTTGCTAAGCCATTATCCTCTTTTTAAGCAACTTGAAAACTGGCCACCATTTTTTCAATATACAAAACCCTAAAATTATCTAGACTTTAAAATATTTTCCCAATTGAAATACTGATCATTTCATAATGCAATCAACACAGTTTTAACTTATAGGCACAACTCATAACTCCAATGACAAATAACTTATACATACAGATATCAGCACCTTAAGGTAAGAAAACTATTGTTTAATGTAGGGTTAAACTAAAAACAATCCAGCCATGGCCCTTCATTCAAGTACTGTCTGTGGCAGAGTTGCATAGCTGCCACACAGACCAGCTGGCCTGCAAACTCAAAAATATTTTGCAGAAGTTTATAACTCCAGAGCTAATATATAATGTCCAGCTAGGAGGCTTTTCAAATAAGATCAGAATAAATCTGCTCTTTGAGAAATTTAATTTGAAACAGGAAAGGTTTGTTCAGGTAGAATGAATGGAAATATCAATCTCAAAATTAAAAATACTTACATTCATATTGATGACAATTACTGACCTTATAAAATCTTAAAATCTTGTTCTTATTTTGTTTTTAACATCACATTTATGTTCTGTGGTACATGTTCTTTAAACAGGGGTTGGGGGAGGAGCTATCAAGAAACATTTTTTTTAAGGAGTGTATGTAAAGGAGACTGAGTTTTTTTTTTTTTGATACCAGGGATTGGACCCAGAGGTGCTTAACCACTAAGCCACATCCCTAGCCCTTTTTTTGAAAATTTTGACAGGGTCTCACTAAGTTGCTTAGAGCCTCACTAAACTGTAGAGATTGGCTTTGAACTAATGATCCTCCTGCCTCAGCCTCCTGAGCTGCTGGGATTACAGGCGTGTGCCACCGTGCCCCACAGAAGACTGAGTTTTGTGTGAGAAATTTGTCTCCTAAGTTTAGTTTTTCTCTCCCTGAAAATCCTGAGATTACCCATGAAATAAGAAAAATAAAAATTCACAGTACAAAGTCAATATACTAAACTATGAGGAAAAAAAGCATTTAAACCATACATACTACCCAAACATTTTTAGTTATATCATTTTAAATATCTACAAATAAAGAGGGAAAGGAGACAAACATAAAATTTGTTAATGCCTTCTTTACCCACAATCTGAGGGGTGCATATAATTAAAACTGAGTATGCTTTTAAATAAAAATTTAAAAATAAATAAGCTCTTTGATGTATCAACTTTATAAATAGTAAATTTAAATACTAGTTCTTCAATTAGGACTAATGGTACATCACCATGAATTAGAAAAATACATATTTTTGAGTGAGTCAGATACACAACTGATAATAGAAAAGTTTTTTAACTTTACCATACAAGTGGACAATTTGCTTTCATATACTTGGAGGCAACTGAAAGGGCCTTCATCATCCCCCCAAAAAGGAAAATAAAAACAAAAACCTTTACAAAAGAAGTTCACTGAATGTTAAATACAATCAACCTCCAATGTCGGGCACTGATTTATACAGACATTAATCCACAATATTCCCAATGTCCACATGTGCTCAAAACAGGAAGCGTCAAAATGTAAACAAGAGTTGTTATTTCTGAGAAAGCAGTCTTAATTGCTTGGTATTTCCAAAATGCTGAATCAATCAGAAGCAAAGGAACCTCAGCAATGTTTTCCATTAATTATAAAAGCTTTAACTTGAGCTCACTAGATGTTCAAACTTGACCTAAAGAAAAATAAACAGTGATGCGTTTTTCTAAATGCTGCTTTGCTGATGTGATTGATTCTGGAAATTCCAATACTTAAAAAAAGAAAAAAAGAAGAAGAAACCCAAAAGATTGTTTCATTCTGTTTCATCTACTTCAATGAAGATATCACTGAAGAAATACTCAGAGACTGTGGTTGGCTCCTGATCAGGTGCCCGGTGTTGGCCACTTTTATGTTCTTCTTTCAGTAAGGGCTGATCACAAGAAACCTAAAAAGGTAATAAAAATAAATACGCAATACAACATTTACATATCTCTAGTGAGTACTTGTCTAGTGTGCACAAAAGCCCCGAGTTTGATCCCCAGCATCACCGGGGGGAGGGGGAGAAGTAATTCTAAACACAACAGAGTTTTAACAGTAAGGTAATTTGTTACATCAGTTATAACAATAAAATTGGACGCATCCTAAATATACAACACTTCGACATGATTTGGCAAATTATAAGATACTCAAGATCCATTTCTTCATCTTAACTCTCAAGAAAAAGTTGTAATAACACAGAAAAACATAACATTGTTGAATCAGTAAATGACACTTCAATTACTGATGTAACAACAGATAGACCCATAAAACAGAAAAGCACCCAAAGGCATCACAAATCAGAGATCTTATCAAACACTTATAAATCTATAAAAAATTAAGATAGCATAGTATTGGCACAGGAATACATACAGATCAATAAAACAGAAGATTAGAAATAACATGGAAATTTATTATCTGATGAAAGTTATATTTTGAAGAACAAATGAGAAAAGTTAAGATTATTCAGGAGCTGATTTTGGAGAGCTGTATAACCACTACAGGATGAAAAACCAGCCAGACCTATATTTTATCAACATAAATTCTAGATTAATCCAAAGACCTAAATGTAAAAACATTAATTAAAACAACCACAAAAAAATGTACTATAATATGCCATAGTAAAATACTGGTTTGGGAGAGGAGTGATATCTTTTTAAATGACCTGAAAGTCAGAAGCCATAAAAGAAACAATTGATAAATTCATCTACACAAAAGCAAAAGGTAAGGCACAGCAAAAGCTAACAGATGGGAATAAAAGACAAAGGGCATGTGCAAAAAAAAAAAAAAAAAATACATTCTATATCACCAAAGGGCATTTTCTTCCCTAATAAGAACTTCTACAAATCAGTATGAAAAGATAAATAATTTTTTTTAACTGTCAAATTATATCAATATATGTGTCACTGAAAATAAAGCATGAGTGGGGTATAGTGGCAAACACTGATAAACCTAGCTACTTGGGAGACTGAGGCTTCTTGGAGGATCACAAGTTTAGGGTCAGCCTGAACAAAATAAAATAAAAAGGTGCAGGGGGTATAGCTTAGTGGTAGAGCACTAGCCTACACGCACAATCCCCAGTACCACATACACACAAAAAAAAATCACATAGAAACTAATAAAATCCATATGGAGAACAATCAGGCAGTACCTATCAAAGGAATAATCTTTCCTTTTAATTTAAATCAATTCTATTGCTAGGAATTAAACCAATGGGTATATGTGCAAGAATGAGTCATTTTTAAGTTAAGCTATTACCACATTGCTTAAAATAACAAATAATTAAGAACAACCTAAATGCCTAAGAATACTAGACTATGATTATTATAAGATACAACCAAATAATGGAATACCATATAGTCATTAAAAACAATGAGGGTACTCTTGGACACTTATCCCTGAAAAATAAAAATTAATGCTTATATGGAACATACACATGAATGATCATAACAATTTTGCTCATAACAGCAAAAAATCAAAACAACTCAGATGTCCTTTAATGGCTAAATGAATAAGTAAAACTGTGGTACATTTATAGTAGGGAATATTATTCAGCAACAAAAAAATCAACAAACTATTGATACATAAAACCACTTGGAAGAATCTCCAGGAAACTGCTAAATGAAAAAAGCCATCTTGAATGTATGATTCCATTTATGTAACATTCTTTTTTTTGTTTAAATATATATATATTTTAGTTGTAGGTGAATATATAGTATCTTTATTTCATTTATACGTGTGCTGAGGATTAAACCCAGTGCTTCACACATGCTGGGCCAGCACTCTACCACTGAGCCACAACCCCAGCCCCATTTATGTAACATTCTTGAAATGATAAATTCAATGGTGAACAACTTGCCAGCAGTTAAGAAGAGAGTGGAGGGCTGGGGATACTGCTCAGTTGGTAGAGTGCTTTCCTAGCATGCACAAGTCCCTGGGTTCAATCCCCAGCACATACACACACACACACAAAAAGGGGGTGGGGTGGAGAGTGGAAATGAAAAAGAAGTGGGTGCATCTTAAAGGGGTATTATACAAAGGACACTTGCAGTGATAGAGAACTGTTCTGCTTTCTGACTGGAGCAATGTCAATATCCTGGTTGCAATACTGGAACATATTTTGCAAAACATTACCAATGGGGGAAAATAGATAAAAGGAAGATGGAACTCCTCTGTATTACTTACAACTAACTACATGTGAAACTACAATTATTTTAAAATGAAAAATTCAAATTAAGGAAGATAGAGACAGAGAAGAAGCTCTTCACTATTCTCCAAAGGTTTCTAAGACATATTGTTACGTTAAAAAAAGTAGGATACAGACAGATGTGTTGGTAGTCCAAGGTACTTGGGAGGTTGAGGCAGGATCAAAAGTTTGAGGCCGGCCTCAGCAATTTAGCAAGACTCTATCTCAAAATAAAAAGTAATAAGGGGGCTGTGGTTGTGGCTCAGTGATAGAGCACTTGCCTAGCATGTGTAAGGCACTGGGTTCGATCCTTAGCACCACATAAAAATAAACAAACAGGGACTGGGGTTTTGGCTCAATGGTAGAGTGCTTGAAACATGTATAAATCTTGAAACATGTATAAAATATTACTTAAACAAAATGTAATTGAGATTCTTGCCTCATATTATATACTAAGTTGCCTAGGCTGTCCTTGAACTTGCAATTCTGCCTCAGCCTCCCATGTAGCTGGGATTACAGGAATATACCACTGGGCTTGGATGAACACAGTCAAAATTCTAAAACTGATTACTGAAAAATTTAAAGCTCTGGAGAAATATTTCTTAAATAATAAGCTATACGCAGCAAAAAAATAATCAACAAAAAATACAAAAGAAAATTCTAGTAAATATATGGGAAAAAAAATCAAGTCATTAGTAACTAAAGAAATGCCAATTAAAACAATAAAACAGTGAAAATTATATTTTCACCTCTCCATCATTATATTTAATAGAAAAAAATTTTGAAGTGTTTTTAATATCTAACACTGGCAAGGATATGATTAAACTGGCATTGCCTTACTACTAATAATTATAACCGTTCTATAAAATAATTTGGCAATGATAATCAAGATTCACAAGGTTCACAAATTTTTGCCATTAGACAGTTACAGGATACAAAGAAATGAAACACTAATTCTAGTTTTAAGGTTCTAGTTTATCCTTGTGGGTGTCAGGACATTTGTCCTAAGGCAAACAAAATGCAAGCACTGCTTCATTTTGCTTCCACAAATCAGAAGCAATTGGATAAAAGAAATGGCAATTAAGTGTCCATTTATGGTTCTGAACTAAACTAGGTGTAACTTCATAATCCAATATGTTATTTTTTCCAGGATAGAGGGTTTGACAGGGGAGAAAACTGATGTGAATTGTTCTGAAATAATTTCTGATACCATATTTTTCCTGAGTCTAATATTCAACTCATTTTATTATACAAACAATAAAATATGATAGTTATCACATACCTGAGCTGATGAACTGTCAATATTCTCCGATTGTGTATTAGTAGCAACACTTGGAGATGGAAGCAGATCAGAGGACTCTTGATTCTTTTTCTCGCCTTCACTAAGTGGATTAGATCGTTTCAAATTCCTCCTCGATACAGGTATAAGAGGTTTTACGCGCTTCTTACTATGGACGTGAGTAGGTTCGTCAGATTCCAAATTATTCTTTGAGCATATTAAAGATAAAAATCCCAGGGGTCTTCTGCCACGCCTAGAAATGCAAATGTAAAGATATTCACGAATATCCAAGGAAGACATATTCTTAATGCTATCTTCTTTCTACTAATGCTAAAATGGCACACTCACTATGTACTGGTGTCACTAAGCCATAACATACATCTCTGACAGGGTCAAGGCTTACTCTAGAGTAGAGCTTCCCATGTTGAAAAGTTCATATCAATCACCTGGCAACGTAAATAAAGTGAAAATTCTGACTGAAATGCTAGTGTGATCTGAGTCCTGCATTTCTAACAAGTTCTCAAATATGATCACACTTAAGAGAAGCAAGGCTATGGAACAGGAGGTCAGAGCAAATGATGGTCCAATCATACGATTGTGTAAGTAAGTTTTACTGAAACAGCCATGTGCATCTGTCTATGGTTGCTTTTGGGGATTTTAAAAATATATTTAATTGTAGATAAATACAGTAACTTTAGTTTGTTTATTTATATTTATGTGGGGCTGGGGGTCAAATCCAGTGCCTTATATGTGCTAGGCAAGTGCTTTGCCACTGAGCTGCAGCCCTATATGGTTGCTTTTGTATTGTAACTGCAAAGCTAAGGTGAGTAGCTGCAAGAGAAACCATATCGTCCACAAAGCCTAGAATATGTACTATATGACCTTTTATATAACAAGCTTGCTGCCTTCTGTTCTAGAACACTGCTTCTCTCAGCTTGTTTTAATCCAAACCCCTCATTCTATTTTCAGTATGACTCTAAAGACAGAAAATATATCACTGAGCTTTACTTTCTATATAGTTTAGATAATACAAACAACAGATTTATTAAATAAGCATTTTAAAGACATGTCCTTTCCCCTTAGTGGAGGCTACTGTATGTTGCCTCCCTTCCACTCACCATGTAAATTTTTTCTCTTTTTTTGGCAATAGTGGGGATTAAATGCAGGTCCTCATGGATGCTAGGCAAGCACTCTACCACTGAGCTACATCCCCAGCCCCATATAAATGTTTTGAATGCTGTTGACAAACCAATAATTGTTGATAACCTAGAAGACTCACTTCTAGAGTATGAGAAAAAACAATGTGGGAGAAGTTGGCTTTGGGCTTAAATTTAACTCTGAGTCTTATAGAAAGCAAGCCATGGATTAATATGAGATAAGGAAAATGAGATAAGGAAAGAAAATGAAACATTATTTGGGAATTCAATAAAACAACTTCCAGCAATACCTCTGTACCAATTCTATGTCTCTTATCATCAATGTGTGCATTAGCAACTACATATGGCAGAATGCATAATGACCTAAACAATAACCACAATCTGGGGAAAAATGTGTGCATATATCTAAAAAAAGGTCAAAGATGCTCTTCTTTATATTACTGATAGAGAACATGTTTTTAAAACATCAACTTTTGTATTGAATTTCATCTCTATATTCGTGTTATAGCTATAGGTTATATTTTTTCAGAGGGGTAACGGAATATTTATTAAAGATTTGCACATGATACCTGGACAGTGGAGTTTTTGAAGGTGCCACTCTGCTACCCATTTGTTCAGATGTAGAAGCAGAATCTGTTCCTTTTTCTTTATCAGATACAACCATCTCATCCTGAGGCAACTGAGGCATATTCTTTTCTATACACACATCTCTTATTCTACCAACAGACCTAGACCCTATATTCTCAGAAGTTGTTTCAAGTTTCTCTTTTTGAGGTTCTGGAGTTGCTCGTGTGCATCCTGAGGTAGGGAAAATACCTCGTTCCTTGTAAGAGTCCCCTTCAAAAAAAGAGAACAAATGGTAAGTATGTATATTAAAATTAATACTTATATTTTAATTGCAATATTTGAAGGGAAAAACCATGGTATCTTATAACAAACCTCATCTAATAAGAGAAGCCTAAATTATAATTAGTGGAGTTACTTGGAAAATTAAAAATAACTGAGTAAAAGTTATAGTAACACCTTTGACAAAAATAGTGGTATTACTATAAAAAGTTTTTTTTCCAAAAATATATCTTGAACTATCAAAATGAAAGGATGATCACTTTAAAATAATCTAAGACTCTTTAAACTATAGAAGCTAAACCAACCTAAAATATAGGTGGTCACTTGGGTATCTGTAGTCTAGTAGAAAAGAAAACCCCACAGGTTCTTAAACACTCAGGTTAGCTTTAAAGAGTTTTATTTTCCTAAATAGTAGATAAAACCCAAAGCAGCAGTTAGTTAGAAATGAGAAATTTCTTGTTAAACAAAAAATAAAAAATAGATTTCCCTTTAGATAGCTATTTCTAAGGCTCAGTTCCCAGTGAGAATGTCCTAGGCTCCCTGAAAAAAGAATGAAGTTGGTAAGTATACCTACCTTTAAAAAACAAAACAAAACAAAACATGATTAAGGATGGCATATGAGGGGCTGGGATTGTGGCTCAGAGGGAGAGCGTTCACCTCGCACTCGGGAGGCACTGGGTTCGATCCTCGGCACCACATAAAAAATAAAATAAAGATATTGTGTCCACCTATAACTAAAAAAATTTTTTAAAAAGGATGGCATATGATGTATCACTATATCACTAATACTTCAGAGTTTTGTGATCTGTTAACACTTTTATCAGAGAGGAGGAAATAAATGAAACAGATATTAGAACATTTCTAAAAGCTGGAAACTGTAACCAGATTACAGTTTCACAATTAAAGTTGGACAATTAAGATTAAGCCAATGACATTGTTATTATCTTGTGTCTTTAAAAAGCCAGAACCAGGTCTTGGGGAGCAGCCCAGTAGTAGAGCACTTAGTTAGCATGAATGAGGCCTTGATTTTGATCCCCAGCACCATACAACAAACAAACAAAAACCTCAAATCATCAAACCCTTCTTTTTGAATTCTAACTCTACAAAGATGCCACCATTAATAATTTTTTTTAATTCTTGAGAATTAAATTTTTAAAAAAGTTCTTAACCATTGCCATAGTTCAGCAATGGCTTAACAGGCCTAAGAAATGGTAAGTCTCAAAGAAATGAGGAATAATAAAAATTCAGGGCAAAGTTAAGGAGCTATAAGAACAACTGCCTTCATACTACTCAGTTAATTCCTAAAATGTAGTTACTGAGCTTTTACAAAAAAATCTTTGTACAGTCATTTTGTTTTTCCATTAATTACAGGATGAAAGGAGCTTATTTTGGCTATCAATATGCCAAATCCAATGTCTTAATAGGAGAGTAAATACTGACAATAAAATTAAGGTTCTTTAAAAAAAAAAGTGAGCAAGAGTGCTTCAAGCTCAAAATGTGTGGGAAATAATCAGAGGTACTTAGCAATGTGATCATGTTAAAATTTATTTCACTCACCTGTTTCCTCAAAAACATTTAATTTCTCTGAACACACCTGTTTTAAGAAAATTTACAAAAAAATTTAGAAATCTATTTGTTAAATAAAATTCCCTCCCTCCATTCCCTTCTTTCCTTTCTATAAAGAAGGCATGTATCTCCCAGGAAGCTCTAGAGTCACTAATGTTTTATAGAAATTCTAGCAAACATTTCTGGAAATGATTTGGCAACTGTTAAACTGGTACACAGGAGAGGGAAAGCTGCCAAATGCCTCTTATCTCAAGCATAATATCGATACCAACTAAACATCACACTTAAATGTCAAGTGCAATAGTACAATTGTGTGTGTGTGTGGTGCTAGAGGTTGAACCCAGGACCTTGTACATGCTAAGCAGGTGTTCCACCACTGAGCTACACTCCAAACCCTCAAATTAAATATTACAAGTAGCACATCAATAGACTAGCAAATATATAATAATCAAATAGTTTGTTTCAGGAATGTAAAGATGATTCAACATTAGAAATCTATTATAATTCAATAGACCTAAGGAGAAAAAGCATTTATTAACAGTATTATTCATTCCTGAAAAAAGTAAATAATATGTACTAGATATGTTTTCTTCCTTTCTTTTTCTTTTCTTTCTTTCTTTCTTTTTTTTTTTAATATAGATGGGGTCTCGCTATGTTGTCCAGGCTAGTCCTAACTTGTGGGCTCAAATGATGCTTTTGCCTCAACCTTCCTTCCTTCTTTTCTCTCTGGTACTGGGGATTGAACCCACAGCATTTAACCATTGAGCCACATTCCTAGCTCCTTATTTTATTTTGAGACAGAGTCCTGCTAAATTGCTGGCTCTGAACTTGAGATTCTCCTGTCTCAGACTCCTGAGCTGCTAGGATTACAAGCATGCACTACCACACCTAGTAACATTTTCTTAATGCCATAAAATATAACCATTGAAAGGTGAAAGCTGGCATCCCACTTAATAGGAAGTATCCTCATTAATCAGGAATAAGAAAAAGATGTCAACTTTGGGATTACTTTTTTAACATTATTTTTTACTTATATCAGTCATTATAAATAAAACAGAAAAAAATTAGGACTTTAAAAAGTAGAATTGAAATTCCAATTGCAGATGAGATGCCTGTTAACCTACAAAATCTCAAATCAACTGAATGCACATGAGGAAATTCAGAAAGTTCTCTTAATTAGAGAGAAAAGAGAGTGATTGAGCTCAATGATAAAAACAATATGATTAAGTTCTCACGGATAACATAATAAGAAATGTATGAATTCTATAAGAGCTTAAAATAAAATTGAAAAGACACATAGCAACACTTAAATGGAAAGACATGTTTTTTGATTGGAAGATTCATTATTATAATTATATTGTCAATTTTCCTTATGTTCATCTGACAAATTAATTAATAATTAATTCTTAATTAAGAAAATTCTTAATTAGCGAATTTTCTCTCTAATTAAGAGAACTTTCTGAATAACATTAATGCAATTTTTAAAGACTTCAACAAACTAATACTAAAATCCATATAAATTTGAGAACACAAGCAGTAATGAGAAGTCTGAAAAAAGAATAAAAGTATATGTTATTAGAGGAGAGACTATTCCTATAAAATATTAAAGCACAAAGTTACAATACTTAAAATAGTATGAGACTGTCCCTGGAAGATCAGGTAAATCCACATTAAAAAAGTCCAGGAAGATATACAAATATATATGGAGATGATAACTGAAAAAAGTATAGTTTTCATCAGTGGAAAAAAGATGAATTATTCAACATATGGTGTTAGAACAATTGAAAAGGCATCATGGAAAACTTAAGTTGGCCCTTTTCTTTACACCAAAATAAACTCTACATAAGTCAGTAATATTAGCTGGAAATTTTAAGACTCAAAGGATTTCACAGAAGCCTCACATGAAAAGATTGATGTTTGCATGTCTTTTTTTTTGGAGAAGGGGGGAACAGTGATTGAACCTAGGGGTGCTTAACCACTGAGCCACATCCCCAGCTCTTTTTTATTCTTTATTTTTTTTTAAATAACTTTATTTTATTTATAATTTTTATGTGGTATTGAGGATCAAACCCAGTGCCTCACACATATTAGGTAAGTGCTCTATCACTGAGCTGCATCTCCAGCTCTGTTTTGTATTTTATTAGAGAAGAGGGTCTCACTGAGTTGCTTAGCATCTCACTTTTGTTGAGGCTGGCTTTGAACTCACAATCCTCCTGCCTCAGCCTCCCGAGCTACTGGGATTACATCTGTGCGCCACCACATCTAGCTGCATGTCTTTCTGAATGCACTCTATGTATTATTCTAGAATTCTGCATAAGAAATTCTTTTAATTGTTAAAGTACTGAAAACAAAAGTTAGACAACAAAAATCACAAGTAAGCCAATAGACTATTTCTTACATATTCGTACCTATTATAATCTGGTAATGTTATTTCATAATGTTTTGTATTTGATAATATACTATGATCTTTTTCATATGTCACTAACTATACTTTTAAAATCAAAACAGTCTCTGCAGGGAATGCTAATAAATTGCTGAAACTAGTGACTAGTACATGGGAATACATTATATTCTACTGTCTATCTCTGTCTAGGTTTGAAAACTCTTCCATCAAAAAGTTAACCTTGAGCCAAGTGTGATGGCACATGCCTATAATCCCAGCAGCTCGGGAGGCTGAGGCAGGAAGATACTGAGTTCAAGGCCAGCTTCAACAAAAGCGAGGTGCTAAGCAACTCAGTAATACCCTGTCTCTAAATAAAATACAAAATAGGGCTGGGGATGCGATTCAGTGGTTGAGTATCCCTGAGTGCAATCCCTTGTACAATAAAACAAAAAACAGTTAACCTTGGCAGGACTGGGTTGTGACTCAGTGGTAGAACACTTGCCTAGCACTTGAGAGGCACTGGGTTTGGGTTTGATCCTTAGCACCACATAAAAATAAACAAATAAAATGCAGATGGCATGCTGTCCATATACAATTAAAACAAAATCTTTTTCATTAAAAAAAAAAAGTTACCTTTAGTACTGTAAAAAGTTAAATAAATCTGCCTAAGAACACAGAGTCAAAAGATAAATGAGGGCTAGGGTTGTAGCTCAGTGGTAGAGCGCTTGCTTCACATATATGAAGCCCTGGGTTTGATCCTCAACACTACATAAAATAAATAAATAAAAATAAAGGTATTGTGTCCATCTACAACTAAAAAAATTAAAATAAAAGATAAGTGACAAACTGGAGGTAAAAATTTGCTGCTCATTACCATATCTATCTCACAGAATTTTTCCAGGTCTATAAGAAAATAGCAACACTCTTTTAAAAAAATGTGTAAAGAATATAAATTCATTTCATAGTCAAAGAAACATAAATGGCTCTAAATCATATGAAACGATGTTCAATCTTACTCATTACAAGAGAATCTAAAACTATTCTGTGATACAATTTTTTTTACCTATCATAAACATGAAAGTATACTTCCTCTGTATCTGCTCTCATCTAAGAACTATTGGTCTTCAGCTCTCCCTTTGAAGAAATAGAATTTCAATTGATTTGCCATAGTATAGTTACAAATTATGAATAGTATTAGAAATAAAACAAGAGGATACTAGGAAACCTACAACATGATGACTAGTGATTAAATCTACATCATGGAGTTTGACTTTCTTGAGGCACTGATGACTGAGCTAGAGCAGTCTGCAATGTTTTACAAGGTAATGTTTCATATAGAAGGGACAGCAAACAAAATGACTTGGGACATGAAGGATTATAGCGCATTTAAAGGAATTGAAAGATGGCCAATGTGGCTAGAAAGTGAGATGAAAACTAGCACAAAATCAGACTAGAGACAGAAATGGGTAAAACTATATACAGGGGTTCAGACGCTCTGGTTTTATTCTAAGAGCAATGGAAAACTTTACACATTATGATGATATTACTATTATTTTATACATCAGAAAATCAATCCTCAGAGGTAAAGTATCTTATTTACAGTTCTATAGCTGTTGGGTGGCAGAGCTAAGATCCAGGTCTACATAATACTTTTGGCCTTATTTTCAGCCTACATCACAGAACTGAGAGTAGTTTTCCCGATTAGGTCAACTGATTTTTACACTGAACTAATAAAAAAGTGATAATCCCAAACAGGCTTTATCTATTATTTATGATGATAAGTGTCTGAACTAAGTTTATGTATCTATAAAAGTTTTAAGAGCCAGAAGGAAAAAATAGAAACATGTCTCTTCCACTATGGCCATCGCACTTACCTAAAGAGTCTATCTTACCTCAGAAGTATATTGTTGACAACCATCTCCTGAAGTGAGAGACCTTTTTTTGGCAGGAGAAACATGGTTGCTTTCATCAAGCGTGCAATGAGATCTCTTCCTTGATATAAGATCCAAATTAGCAGGAGGCTGTTCAGAAGCATCTCTTGCAGAATTAGATAAACATATGGCATCTTGACCAACTAAAGTTAGTGGTAAACGCTTACTGCGTAGAAACAAAATGCAGAGAAAAATCAATGAATCAAAAGTTATTTAATGATGTTAAAGACTGAGCTATTCCAATTAAATTTCTAATGAAACCAAATTCCAAATAAATAAATTCAAGATCACGGTCATTAAGATTCTAGTTCTGAGCTGCATTCATACTTAAAGGCTCACAACCTAATCTCCCAATATTTAATTAAATCTGAAGTATATGTGTTCATGTCTTTAAACTTTTAATCTAAAAAGTCCCTTTCTAATATAAATGGCTTCAATTTCTAATGCTACTTCATAAGTTTTCCAATGGTAATCAAAATACAGCTTAACAGTTCTACATGAAAGAATTAAGAGTATCAAGAATATATGAAATTGAGATGGGGATGGCAGCAGGCACCTATGATCCAAACTATTTGGGAGGCTGGGGCATGATGATCACAAATTTAAGGCAAATTTGCCTGGGAAAATTAGTGAGACTCTGTTTCAAAAAAAGGGTAAAGGGTATTCCTACCGGTGTAGCTCAGTGACACAGCACTAGTCTAATGTGTGGGGGCCCTGGGTTCAATCCCCAGGACCACAAAAAAATTTAAAAATCCAAAGTATTTCTTCTCTGTACTATTTTTTTCCCAACTTTCTGTGAATGTTTAACTTTCAGTTATGTGTATATAACTATATTTGTAATAGATGTCACTATAATCTAGGCTACTAAATTTTTCGGTTGTCAAAACAAAATATTAATTTTCATTTAAATGGTACCTTCAACCTTCATCAACCACATTACTTTTTTTTTTTCTTTCTCTAAGTTACCACATAATTTAAGATCTACACAATCAATACAAATTACTGGCAGGGACAAGTTCATTCAATCAATACTATCAGATTCATAAAGCATCTTTCCCCCTAGAAGAAACAGTTAACTCATTTCTTACCTCATATCGCCTATTTCTTCAGTATTAATGGATTTGACCAATATGGGTGCTGGTAGTAAAGGGTTTGGCATTAACTGAGCAGCATCCGTAAATTCTTCTGTAGCATTGGTTGGGATTTCTACCAGAGTTAAAATGAATGCTTGTTCTTCCTCTCCATCTTGTACATCAGCAAACAGATTCACTATCGAAGTTGAAATGTTATTAATGAAAATCTAAACCATGAAATAACAAAAAAATCATTTATTTCATCTCTAAAAAGAGAGCCTCATGACAACTTGTCATCAAAACTAAAAAACTAAATTATACCCCCAAGCATCACTACAAATAATTGTCGTGAATAGTACCAAACTATTGGGTAACAGGTTGCTGGATCTTTCTGGATAAATTACTTACTAACCAAAAGAATAATTTCACAAAGGGCACAGCCAGAAGAATTTATAATTCTGAATAACAAAACTGATATACAAAATAGTTTATTTGTTGCCTAACTATAAACACTATAAACAAAAAAGAATTTGTGTTTTCCATAGTTAAATTAAAAAATCATATTAATTAATACTATGATACCTCACTGAAGCAGATTATTATACCTGTTAGGTCTTCAGAATTGATTACACTCTCTTGTTGGACTTCTGGAATACTGGTTGGTATACACTGCCATAAAAAAATAAAATGAAAGAGTTAGGTTTTAAAAAGTTTTCCTGACAATGTGATACATAGTGAAGAGATAACTTCAAAATGCAATGACTTATCTTAAACATACAATTTTTCCAGTTGAGATGATTTTTGAAGTGACATAATAGGGAGACCCAAATCCCTCAACCTCTCTGATCACACAAGCCATATGTAAGTGACATATGAATGGAGGCAAACTGCTCTCCTTGTCTCCAGAGTGGCTTCCTCCAATTTGTTTTCCACAGAACTGCTAACACCATTTTAAAATGCAACCCTGATTGTAATTCTCTAGTGCTTAAAATCATAACACTTTCATTTTGCAAACTGTCAATAATTAATTCAGGGAAGATTCACCAAGGGATGCCAAAATTATTGGGTAACAGGTTGCTAGATCTCTTCAGATAACTTACTACTACAAAGTAGAAAAGATGCTTTTATAATGAAGAAATCTGTCAAGTACCATTCTGACCAAGTGCTCAGTCTGACATGTAATACAAAAGAAGACAAAATCACCTACATAGTAATCTTGCCTAAACACTGAATCCAATAACAATATCAGGAGCCAGGTATGGTGGTATACGCCTGTAATCCCAGCAGCTTGGGAGGCTAAGGCAGAAGGATGCGAGTTCAAAGCCAGCCTCAGCAACTTAGTGAGGAACCACCTCTAAATGAAATATAAAAAAGGGATGGGGATGTGGCTCAATGGTTAAGTACCCCTGGGTTTAATTCCTGGTACCAAAAATCAAAATAAAATCAGAGGCTGGGGTTGTGGCTCAGTGGTAATACACTTGCCTAGTACATGTGAGGCACTGGGTTCAATTCTCAGCACCACATACAAACAAATAAAATAAAGGTCGATCAACAACTAAATATATATATTACACACACACACATATATATATATATATTTAAAAAATAAATAAATTCATACTGTGGAGCCATCTAAAATTGTTTAAAATGTTAAGTTCACAAACAAAAGAGAGCTACTCTAGATTAAGGAGAGTAAGAAGAAATGACAATGAAATGCAGTGTGACAATCTTGATTGGGTATTCAGTTAAAAACAAAAAAGCTCTAATGGACATCTTTGGGACAAGGGTGAAACCTGAAAACGAACAATATATTAAGTAATATTATTGAATCAATGTTAAATAGTATGATAATACTAATTGTGAGAAGAGTACTCTTAATTCTCTGTAAGAGAATATCCTTGCTTTTATTAATAGATAGAAGATACAAACACACTATTTAGGGGTGACAGCTTGTGTTTGCAACTTACATGCTGCTTTTTTTTGTTTTTTAAAGTACTAGGACTTGAACCCAGGGGCCTGGTGTATGCTAGACCAAGTGCTCTACCACTGAGCTACATCCTTAGACCTTTTTATATTTTATTTTGAAAGTAAATCTTACTAAGTTGCTGAGTGTCATGCTAAATTGCTGGGGCTGCCCTTGATTTTGTGATCCTCCTGCCTCAGGCTCCCTAGTCACTCATAGGCTTGTGCCACCAACCCTGGTTCAAATGCTTCAGTTTTTTAAAGTATTTATCTATAGAGATGGATAGCAAGACAGAGTAACAAATGAAGCCAAGTGTTAATAATTAATGAATCCAAGGGAAAAGTATGAATTCTTTGTAAGATTCTTATAACTTTTCTTAGTTTCAAGTTATTTCAAAATAAAAGGCTACAATTTAAAAGTTGGAGATGGGCAGGAATCTCAACTATGGAAGGAGCCAAATTCCTTAGGGAGTCATCAAACTCCTTTTATGATTTGGCCTGTAGGCTGCCTTCCTAACTTCCTCTCTAACCACTTTCTTCATTTATATTCACTCAGTGATTTAGGGGGTGGTTAGGGGGGATACTGGGGATTGAACTTAGGGGCATTTTACCACTGAGCTACATCCCCAGTCCTTTTTATTTTTTTTATTTTAAGGTAGGGTCTTGCTAAATAGCTGAGGCTGATCTCAAACTTACAATCCTGCTTCAGCCTCCCAAGATGCTAGAATTACAAAAGTGTGCCACCATACCCAGCCTCAAGTTGAGTTTATGGGTTGGGGAGCATGGTGCTGTGGATTATACTCAGGGGTGCTTTACCACCACTGAGTTATTTCCCTGGATCTTTATAATTTTTATTTTGACACAGGTTCTCGCTAAATTGCTGTGGCTGGCCTCAAACTTGTGATCCTCTTGCCTCTACCTCCCAAGTCCCTGGGATTACAGAAATATACCATGGTGTCAACCCAACTCAGTGATTTATAATCCTTGAACATGTCATACTGTTTCACATCTTATTTTTTTTACACGTGTTCTTCACCCTTTTATTGACCGTTATACTCATTCTTCAAGATCAAGCATTCTCCCACTTAGGGAACTTTTAAAAGAAAATCTTATTGTCTGGGCCTCATTCCCAGAAATGAGATTGGTTTGACTGGGTGGAGGACAACTGGTACAGAGTCCTGTTCAAATCTGCAACAAAGTATCTTTCAAACCAAGTTTAATCATTCATTTAGTCAGCAGTTTCCTGAAGATTTATCTTCCAACACCTCACAGTACCTCAATAATACTTGCTGTTAATAAACTCCTCAGATCCAGGAGCTAAGAAACAAGAAATGAATTCTCTGTGTATGTTTATTTAATTTTTTCTTAATAACAATCCTGAGTAACAGCTCTATTACCTCTATGCTCCAGAGACTAAATACACTCTATTGAAATTCTACCACAGTAGAGTTTACGAAAGTAAAACTATAGGGAAAATGAATCAGTGACTATCAGGAGCTGGTGGGGAAGGAGAAGGGTGACTATAAAAGACAAGTGGGAAATAAGGATGATGGAACTGTTCACATACTGGTTACATGAGAACTTCTAAAACTAAAAAGGGTAAAGTTTATTACACGCAAATTATACTTCAATTTTTCAAATGGGAAAAACCCCTCCTACCCCTTCTTATAATCTGTTCTTTTACCTCTGGCACATGATGTTTGAGCACACTGTCTCCTTCTGTGTTCTTTCTCAGGGGCTCTTCAAAAGAACTCTCACCAACATCCCTACCCGAATCAAGGGTATGGGGTCCTTGCTCAGAGGAAACAACTGGAGTAACTGACACTATCTCAACCTCTTGAGATCTCTCCTCTTGATCTTCATTTCTGAAAGAGAGTTGTAGTATATGTTACCTGAAATCAGGCAAACCATCATGGGATTATTTTTAGAGATTGGTGTAATTTGATCATCCAATTTAATGATTTTCAAGATTTTAAAATATGTTTCATGCAACAGAACTCCTCAAGCAAATTCTTAGTTATAGCCTTTGGATACAGCTGAAAGAGAATATGAACTGAATTTCAGACTCTATTCCCTCTTTTACCTTTCTGTTAAGTTTGCTTCTTGTGAAATACTGGTCCCTTTGATATCATGTACAGATGCCAATTTGTTCTGCTCCTTACTCTCTGTTGTTGTAACTTGCCCAAGGCTTTTCTCTCCTAATTCTGTCGCTTTGGAAGCATTTTTCTCAGTTTCTTAAATAAAAAAAAAAAACACATAAGATACAGTTCAAAACAGAACAGCTAAAAATCTCCATATTAGAAACATTCTCTCTTAAACAATAGACCACTATGTAGTAACTCCTCCAAACTCTTCTTAATCCAAAAATCAACATGGCAGCAGAATGGTTCTGGCCAATGAGATTTCTGAATAGTAAACAGATGTTTAATGAATCTTGTACTGTAATACATTTCACTCCTGGCTGCCACAGCAATTGTGTCCCTACTTTATGGTAACAGTACTCTAGTACTATCATCAAAAATAATACTGTTGTTAAAAACTCCCACCCAAAAGAGGTACAAAGTATAGATGAAGCCTGGCTAGGTCCACCTTAGGGGAGATTTTGGGAAGGGAATTGTATGACAAAGATGTCATAAAGGAGAAGAAAATATTTCTAGATAAATAGAACAATTTGGTTCAACAGAGTGAAAATTTCTGGATATTGCTCAAGATAGAATAAGAATGAATTAACTAAGTGCATAAGAACACTGCACCACAGGCATTGCTGGATGAAAGAAAATCCCAGAAATCAGTGAGTCCAAAATAGGTAAAAGATAACGCTAACATCCAGATCTTCTAAACCTGAGATCAATATAATATAGGTAGCCTGTTGTTTGCACTACTTTCCATGGTCTTAGTATTGCCATAGGGGGTGGGCCATTGGACAGGAAGGGAGACAGAAAAGGAAGTGGACAAGCAGTCAACAGGTACATCACAATATAATAAGGCCACTTAAAAAAATAAAAATTAAAAAATTAAATAGGGTGGTGTGTGATTATATTAAAAGATCTTTTCAATATATTAAGCTTGAAAAATAAAAGATACTGAAACAAAGAATTTTTTTTAAGATCTGGGAAATCAAATTCAGGGCCTTGCGGATGTTAAATATGTACTCTACCCTTGAGGTATACACACAGACCAAGAAGTCTTAATAATAAAAAGACAAATACTCAATTTAAAAATAAGCAGAGAACATCTCTTAGAAAGATATACATGACTAAGGATATAATTCAGTGGCAGAGCACTTGCCTAGCACATGTGAGGCACTGGGTTCGATCTTCAACACCACATAAAAATAAATAAATAGAATAAAGATATTGTGTTTATCTACAAATGAATAAAAATAAATAAATAAAGCCATGCTGTCCATCTGTAACTACAATAAATAAATAAATAAATAAATAAGATTTTAAAAATGGGAGGGGTATACACAGAAGACACGTGGCAAAAAATTTGATAGTGCACCCAAAGTCCCCAGTTCCTGTTTTGAATCTACAAATGCCTCATGGCAGCTCGGTTATTTTGTGTCCAGCCAGACTGCGGCACTAGAGATTGAACTTGGGGGGCCCTTAACTACTGAACCACATCCCCACCCCTTTTCAAAATTTTTATTCAGAGACAGGGTCTTGCTAAGTTACTTAGGGTCTTGATAAGTTGCTGAGTCTGGCTTTGAATTCCTGATCCTTCTGCTCAGCCCCGACAAGCTGCTAGGATTTCAGGCATGGGCCACTGCCCATTAAGCTTTGGGTGCAATATCAAATTTTTTGCCACATGTCTTCTGTGTATACCCTCCCATTTTTTAAAATCTTATTTATTTATTTATTTATTTTAGTTACAGATGAACAGCATGGCTTTATTTATTCATTTGTAGATGAACACATCTCTTAGACACAATATCTTTATTCTATTTATTTATTTTTATGTGGTATTGAAGATTGAACCCAGTGCCTCACACGTGCTAGGCAAGTGCTCTGCCACCGAGTTATATCTTAGTCATGTATACCTTTCTAAGAGACGTTTGAGTATTCATACACACACACATACATACACACACACCAAAAAAAGAAAAAACCTGATTAGGCAAATACAGCAAAATGATACCAATTACCGAAACCAGTTGGCAGATTTATTTTATAGCTCATGTGATATTTTGTATTTAAAAACAAAGTTAAAATAATTTTAACAAATCATCCCTTTGAAATACTAATATCATTTCTGTGTCAAAGCAATTTTATAGTTTGTAAGTGAAAAATAAAATTTACCTCTTTGAATTTCTACTTCTTCCCCTTTTAAAACACAAAAACCGGGAACTTTCTGATGAGCATGAAACCTGTTGGTCCGTAAAACCTTCTCAAGATTTGGCTTTGGTTTGACAAATCTACTTCTCATTCTCAAATTATTGGTCACTTTAGAAGTTGTATTCCTAAAATGTACAAAGATAATAGAAATTTATGAATCACTAAAGAATTCTCTTACTCTCTCACACTGATTGCAGTTAACGCAATACCTTTCAGATATCATGGTATATTTAAGGGTTCATTTCTTAATTCTAAAATTACTAATTACTACATTTACTGGAGGTCTTGAGAAGAAAACCTGTAGAACATATTTGTAGAACAGAGAATACATTTACATAAATCTTTTAAATTAAATCTTCTAAGACAGATAACACTGTTATAACTTTAATAAATAAATCATTAAACTCTAGGTCAACCAATTTGTAATTTAATTGGTGAGAAATTAACATTGTTACAAGCATTACTCAAATCTATTAACTAAATTTATGATGGGTTTAATAACATTTAATAATTGAATATAAAATAAACCTGGTCAACGTAGCATTCTTCTTGACTTCTTCCATTAAACCAACTTCTTCTCTAGTACTTTGTTCCTCCAGTACAATCTTGTTTTCTTCAAATGATGCAGGAGATGTACTAATGACAGGTGAAAAAACCTCCTGATATTCATGAACAATTTTGTGATTTACATTATCTGGGATAAAAGGGATATGACTTTTATCCTTTGAATGAACATCAGGAAACACACATACTCCTACTGCAGAAAAAAATAGGAAATTAAAATTGACCCAGTATAAATAGATATCCAAGTGAAAATTAATTCTTCAACATTTAATAATTATAAAATTCTATGTTATTATTAAAGATTGTTCTTTTTGGATCCAAACTTAAATTCATGATCTCATATTTCATTTTGGGGATTTGACCTGTAATGAGTTTAATAATTCTTATGACTAAAATTTTGTGCTACTGAAAGTAATGCATCCCCCCGCCTTTTTTATAAAATTAATGGCCTATATACTTGAAATTATTATTATTTTTTTTAGTTGTAGTTAGACTCAATACCTTTATTTTATTTATTTATTTTTATGTGATGCTGAGGATTGAACCCAGCGCCTCACACGTGCTAGACAAGAGCTCTACCACTGAGCCACAATCCCAGCCCTGATCTCTTCTTTAATTACTTCCAATAATTGCATAATGCTGAATGGATTTCAAGACAGGACTGTCTTCATTTATTAGCTTTTAAGATCTATATTTTATGTCTTCAAGATTTGTGACAAGTGTTACTATAATACTCTGTCATTGAGAATGAAGCTCTATAGTATAGGGAACACAAATCATACTTTCCTAATAAATATAGTGTAACAAGCATAAACATCTAACAACTAAAGTGAATGGCAGATAAGTCATTAACAAAGTAATTACCAGAAACACAATTAGCATGATTTTTCACTTAATGAAGTTAAAGATAATCAATGGCAAAGACCATAACTTGTAAGTCCAGCTCAATATATTAAAAAAATCATCTAGATTGGCATTGTCTTTTGGCTTCTGTCCAAACTATCACAACAGTTTAAATTCTCTCAATGATTGTGAAAATCTTTTCAAGCAGCAAATCCTTTGCTAACGAAACGAGTATAAAGTGACAAAATAACCTCAATTAACCAATGATGCTTATGATGATAAACATAAGCCATTAGAGCAACTATTCAATGAATCCAAATTATTCTTTTCTTTTTGGTACCAAGGATTGAACCTAGGGATGCTTAACCACTAAGCCACATCCCCAGCCCTTTTAATTTTTGAGACAAGGTCTCACTAAGTTGCTTAAGGCCTCACTAAGTTGTTGAGGCTGGCCTTGAACTTTTGATCCTTTTAGCCTCCCAAGTTGCTGGGATAACAGGCCTGTATCACCACACCCAGCTTCAAATTATTCTTAATAAACTAAATGCACTATCTCAAAATGGTTTTCACCACACCTAAACGGGCTGACAGTGGATGAGGACAGGCACAGTGGTAGGGAGGCTGAGGCAGGAGGATCTCAAGTTTGAGGGCAGATTCCACAATTAAGCAAAGCCCTAAGCAACTTAGCATTACCTTGTCTCAAAATAAAAAATAGAAAAGGTTGGGTATGTGGCTCACTGGTAATGTGCCCCTGGGTTCAATTTCCAGTACAATCTAAAAAGGAAAGATAGCAAGAGGGGGAGGATGGATCAACACATAAGTATTACCATTTCTGGAAAACAACAGTGATGACAATTTCAAATGTAAAAGTCTTATTTATTCAAAACATGGGTGTAATTTCTTAACAGATTTTAAGTTTTTTTTCTCATTGGTAGGACTTAGCTTTCACTCTTACCATCACCCTGTTCAGTGCTGATCTCTGACTGCAATACTAGATCTCCCATTGTTAGTAAAGTTATGGCAGCTTCAGTACTTCCGTCATTGGTACCTTGTGAGGAAATATAGCAAAATTAAAACAGAAAAACAAATCTGGCAATTAGTTTACTTTAAAAAGACTGTTAGCTCCGTTGTTTATTTTCTAGCAATGGGTTTCAATATCCTCTGTTATTCCCTTACTAGTGCTGTGTTTTGTTCAGTTTATACACTACAAATTTAAAAAATCATCAATTGGTGGCTCTTATTTACTAAACCATTTTCTCCCATAAATAATACATTCAAAGAAAATGTCCTCATCTGTGCAAATTAAGAGGAAACGCTCAACAAATACTTTTCTGAACTTTCAGCTCACCTTTTAAAAGTAGTATCCCAAGGATTTAAGTTTATAATAAAGATAACATACAACACCAGAACATTTTTGTTCAATTCTTCAGCAAAGTGACTCATTCACTATGACCAATGCTAAATCACTGTGCTAGTGCTAATCAAGTAGTTTTAGCAGTTTCCTTAACAGTTACCTGGTTCATCTTGGGTCTGTTCACCTGTGGTTATTTCCTGAAAGAGGAAAAGATAGGGAACATCAGAAGTATTTCCCCCAAACACATGCACTGTCTCTCAAGAAGTACTACATTTTATAGATCTTTCTATATCTTTAGTTATAATAACATTTTAAATTTATGATTATTCACAATATTTCATAAACAAGAAGAAAATAATAGCAAATTCTTTTCTCTCTTGCTTCTAATTTTACCTCTTCTTAAATGTAAGTTTTAACTCTAATCATACTGCTTTGTACACCTAACCATTTCTACTTTTTCACTTTTATAATCCTTCAAGTCCAGTCAAATCTTAGTGAGACCTTCCTCAACAAATAAAAAGGAGTGAGGATGTAGCTTAGTGGTAAAGGACCCCCAGCTTAAATCCCAAGTACAGACTTAAAAAAAAAAAAAAGAATGTCCACTCTCTAAGAAACATTTAACTAGAGGTTCTACTCAGGGAAATTAGGCAAGAAAAAGAAATAGCATTCAGATCAAAGAGTGTTGCAGGCTGAATTGTGTTCCCCACAAAAATACGTGACCCTTATTCCAATATATCTGGTGTCCTTATAAGAAGATGAGAAAAGACACAGACACATAAACAGGGAAAATGCCGTGTGGTATTGGAGGCAGAGAATGGAATTATGCTGCTCAAATCATGAAATGACAAGCACTGCCAATAACAACCACCATGGAAATCATGAAATTATTTCCCCCTCAGAGCCTCCAGAAAGAACCAATACACTGTGATTTGGGGCTTCCTTCTAAACTTCAGAACCTTGAGAGAAAAAATTTCTGTGGCTTTGAGCCACTTCAGTTTGTGGTGCTTTAGAAAGCATGAAGTAAAACTAACTGTATTTGCAGATTATATGATTTTGTACAGAGAAGATACTAAGGCATCCACTGAAAAATGAGTTTAGCAAAGTTGCAGGATACAAGATCAATATATAAAAATCAATTTTGTTTCAATATACTTGCAATAAACAATCCAAAAGTGAAATTAAGAACACAGTTCCAATTACAATAATGGTAAAAATAATAGCACACTTGGAAATAAATTTAGCAAGGAAGTGCAAAGCTCACATTCTAAAACTACAAGCCATTTTTGAAAGAAATCAAAGAAGTTCTAAATAAATAGGAGGACCACGGGTGTAGCTCAGTGGTAGAGCTACAATGGTGGGTGGAATGCTTGTAGTATGCATGAGGTCCTGGATTCAATCTTCCAAAAAAGGAATATACCCCATGTCCATGGACTGAGAGTCAACATGGTTAAGGCTGCAACTTCTTCCAAAAGATCTATAAATACAATGAAATTCCAAACATAATCCCACCTGACTTCTTTGTAGAAACTAACAAGTTAATTTTAAAATTCATATGGAATTAAAGGGACTCAACCAAAATAATTCTGACAATAATAAAATATTTATTGTATTTATTATTGCACTTCTCAACTACAAAACTTAGTACAAAGCAACAATAATCAATGTAGCATCACTAACCTAAGGATAGCTATGGGTCAATGGAAAAGAATTAACAGTCCCAAAATAAACCCATATATCTATTATAAACTGATTTTTGACAAGGATGCTGGGACCATTCAATGAAGTCTCTTCAAACAAATGGTGCTAGGGCAACTGAATAGTCACATACAAGAAGGAAGTTGGATAAAAAGATTATCACAATATTTACAAAAATTAACTCAAGATAGATCAAAGACTTAAACTATAAAACTTTTAGAAGAAAAATAGTGGTAAACTTTTATGACTTTGGATTTGGCAAAGGATTCTTCATATGACACCAAAAGCAAAAGCAACAACAACAACAAAATCAATCAGGAGCCAGGCACAGTGGTGCACACCTATAATCCCAGTGACTTGAGAGGCGGAGGCAGGAGGATCATAAGTTCAAAGCCAGCCTCAGCAACTAAGCGAGACCCTAAACAACTTAGCAAGATCCTGTCCCTAAATAAAACATAAAAAGGGTTGGGTATGTGGCTCAGAAGTTAAGAGCCCCTGGGTTCAATCCCTGGTACCAAAAAGAAAAATAAAACCAATTAGACTTTCATCCAAAGTAGAAATTTTTGTGCTTTAAGGCAAATAATCAAGAACATGAAAAGATAGCTCATAGAATGGAAGAAAATATCTATTAATCATACATCTGACAATGGAATTGTACCTAGACTATATTAAAGAATTCTATGGGATGGGGATGTAACTCAATGGTAGAGCAACTGCCTAGCATGTGTAAGGTCCCTGGTTTAATCCCCAGTATCTCTCACACACACACACACACACACACACAAAAAAAAAAAAAAAAACCTTACAACTCAAATAATAATAATAATAATAAAATAGACCAATTAAAAAAGATCTGGGAGCTGGGGTTGTAGCTCAATGGTAGAGCAAGTACTTGCCTCACATGTATGAGGCACTAGGTTCAATCCTTAGCACCACATATAAATACATAAATAAGTAAATTATTTATTATTTACAACTAAAAATAAAAAAAATAAAAATATGAAAGATCTAAATCAACATTTTCTCCAAAAAAATACTGATGGGCAATACACACATAAAAGATACTCAACATCATTAGTCATTAGGGAAATGCAAATCAAAACCATAATGAGACAATACACTCACAAGCATAGATCAAAAGAAGTCAAATAAGTGTTGGCAAAATGTGAATAAACAGGGACCTTTAAATACTGCTGATCATTATACAATATTATACTATTTCTATAAAATGTCCAGAATAAGAAAAATCTATAGGCAAAAAGCAGATAATTGGCTGGGCACAGTGATGCATATCTAACTACTTGGGGAGGCTGCGGCAAAAGAAGAGGATTACAAGTTCGAGTTCAGCAAGTTCTTTATGAGATCCTGTCTCAAAATAAAATATAAAAAAGGGCTGGGAATATAGCTCTAGGGTAAAGTGCCCTGGGTTCAATTCCCAGTTTCAAAAAAATAGTTGGTAATTTGTTCCATAAGCCTATAGAGATTTGCAGGGGAAATAAGGAGTGACTACAAATGGATATGAAATTTGTTTTTGAGGTGATAAAAATATTCTAAAAATTGATTTGTCATACTTGCACAACTCTGTGAATATACTAAAAAAAATCACTGAACAGAACACTTTCAATGGGTGAACTATACAATGTGTATATTATATATCATTAAAAGCATTTTCAAAAAGTTACAATTCCGTGCTGGGCCTGATGGCACACTGTAATCCCACCACCTTGGGAGGCTGAAGCAGAAGGATTGCTAGTTTGAGGCCAGCCTCAGCAACTTAGCAAGGCCCTCAGCAACTTAGTAAGAACCCCGTTTAAAAAAAAAAAAAAAAAAGTTGGATGTAACTCAGTGGTAAAGCATCCGGGTTCGATCCCTAGTGCCAAAAAAAAAGGACAATTCCAAGTGTTCATTTGCAAAAACAAGGTTAAATACTAAATATGGAAGAATGGCAAACAAAATGAAACTAAATATATTTTAAGTAATTTACATTTGACATAGATTTAATGCAATAGAATTTTCATATAAAAGTCTATCACTTATTAGCCTTTTGGCTAAGATCAAATGTAAAGTCAACAGGGACATTAAAAGCTCTACTCACACACACACACAAAAAAAAAACCAATGCTTTCCAAGTCAAATACAAAATCCACGACTATTCCCAAACTTTTACTATTTATACTAACAACTCCATACATGAGAGAAACAGCAAAGAACTGAAAACTTAAAGCAATCAAATTAACCCTATAGTCTTTTGAAAGTAAACAAAGGACAAAAGACAAAACATTAACATGGATACTTACAAATGATGATGTATTCGAATTTTTTTCTTCTTTTACTTCCTGAGTAGATACATCTGTGTTTGAAAGCTCATGTTCAACAACAGTTACACATCCTATATCTGCAACATTCTCAGTTATTTCAAGCTGTCAAAATAAATGTTTTTATTATTTTCCACATGAACAAATAAAATTAAATTTCAAATGAAGGAAACAATTCACATTCACACAAAATTTAAAAAAAGAAATGTGATTCTAAAAACTGATTGATAGCAATTTGTCAAAAGTAAGACATTTAAAGTTTTTGAGAGGGCTGTGACTATTGCAACCAGTAACCAAAAATTTTAAGGCTTAATCATAGTGCCTGGCATTTCATTTCTCATCCTCCCCACCCTGCCCCTATTTTTCCCCAATTTCTTCCATTTGTTAACATTTATGAAGTGCTTCCTAAAAACCAGAGGGATATGGGCATAGAGGCACAAACCAAATAAGGCACATTTGGTCCCTGCCTTCAATAACTCACAATATACAAGAAACACAGTAATAAATGAACTATACAGTGTCATAAATGCTATAATAGAGAGGAGTTAAAGTGCTTTAAAAGACTGATCATCACTTCATCCCCAGTACAACAATCTTTTCCCAAAGTCCCAAAGCCTACACGATTCTTGACACCCATGGAAATGGGTTCACTCACAGTTATTCTCATGTGGCAGCCCTACTAGTCAAAGAGCCCCTATGATCAGAGTTTAAAAAGACACTAATTTTTTTTTTTTTTAAAGTTTGTTTGTTTAATATTTTTTAGTTTTTGGCCGACACAACATCTTTGTATGTGGTGCTGAGGATCGAACCCGGGCCGCACGCATGCCAGGCGAGCGCGCTACCGCTTGAGCCACATCCCCAGCCCCAAGACACTAATTTAATCTCCTAAAATATATAAACTACAGTATGGCTCCTATTCCCTTATTAACAGAAAGATAAATGCTGTGCCCCTCCCCTGACTCAGGCAATGGCAAGGCCCTACTGAGGTGGATGGTGCAAGGCGTCCATCCTCTGGAGGAGTGCAGTATGTTTCTGGGAATGGGCTGGTTTGTTTTTGTATTCCTTTAATAAGTATAGTTGCGATTTCAAGTATGAAGGAAAAAACATGACTTTCCCAATTAATGCAACTACTTCTAAGAATAGATCTGTTTGCTCTAAATGCAATGATTCAGCTGTGGAGCATAAATTGTTAATGTCTAATGAAAACTCCCTGTATTCCTGTCAAGGAAGTTTTTGAGAAATTAAATTAAATCTAGAGAAGAAGAATTAATGTTAAGAAGACAGATTAGTGCTTAGTACTGGGCAACTTGTTCTTGTTCCTGTGCACAATGGTTTGTGCTCTTACTCTTGTTTGATTAAAATTAATAACAAGCTAACCACTTGCCGTAACCATGGCACCGGTTCCAGTCAGTAAGTCAAGAAAGAATAGTCAAGGTATAGGCCAATAGTTGGGACATTTCTAACTATTATTAAAAGTTAATTAAACAGAAACAGCTCAAAGCAAAACGCGAACTGAAAGAAAAAATGCTTGCTTATGCGTAAGCCAAGATACAGTCTTCTATTCTAATTGTAGCTACGTAATATTTTGTTTCTTTGAATAATGATTCCTGTTTTGTAACCACAAAGTACTGTGAGCCTGCCAAAATGAAAAGTATATATGATCAACTTCACAAGTAAAGATTGGGATCAGCACCTTCACTTTGGTGTCTGTGTTGTTTCTCCACCCCCTTTCGCCGACTCCTCACCATCTGTTCGTCTCCTGAGACCCCCTGTTGGAGCTGGACTCCGACAGATAAGTATAAAGCACTATGTGATTCAATAGAATCTATGAGTATAGGAATGAAGTCTGAGAATCTGTCTTCAAGATGTAGTTACTAGGGCTGAGGTTGTGGCTCAGTGGTAGAGCGCTTGCCTAGCATGTGTGAGGCACTGTGTGTTCAATCCTCACCACCACATAAAAAAATAAAAAAGCAAATAATGTTTATTTTTTTAAAAAAATAGTTACTACAGTTCTTTGTCTTTCTTCAAATGTAAAACTAAGAGAAAAATCTTCATTAATATCCAAAAGGTCTGGAATGAATTTAAAAATTCAAGAGATTTGTGAAAATAAAATATATTCCCAAAAGTTGGAAATGGGTAGGGAAAGGGAATATTCTAGATAATTTTTAAAAGTTGGTTCTTCAGGCTTCATACAGCTTACCAATGCTGTATTTTTTTAATAAGAGCTATACTAAGATATAATTTACATACCATAAATTCATCCTTTTCCTTTTTTATAGTACTGAGGATTGAACCCAGAACCTTGTGCATGCTAGGCAAGAGTTCAAAACCTGAGCTACCCCCAACCCCAATTCGCCCACAAAGTGTACAATTCAATATATTTTGGAATACTTATAGATGTGAGCAAACATCATCACACTCAATTTTAGAACATTTTCATCTCCTCAAAAAGAAATCCCATACCTATTAGCTATCACTTTTCCAACTTCTCCCCTTCATTTCCCACTCCCTAGGCAACCACTAATCTATTTTTTCTATAGATTTTCCTACTTTGGACATTTGATATAAGAGTAATCATGTATGTGATCTTCTGTGACTGGCTTCTTTCACTTAGTATGTTTTCAAGTTTCATCAATATTAGAGCTTATATCATTTCATTTTATTTCAATGCTTTTTAAAGAACATATAAACAAATGTTGACATGTAAACAAATGTTAACATTTAAACAATTTTCATTTTAGTAAGCTGACTAAAAGGAATATAAGTTTTCCCTGTTAAATTATTATTATTACTGCTATTAAATAAGAAGATATTCTGTGTTAATTCAGGGATACATATTGAAATCTGACTTTCAGAAATTAATTTCTTTTTTTTAAGAAATTAATTTCTGATATCAATTTTCACTACCAATCTACCTTCATGCAAAGAAAAATACAAAATATATAACTAAACTATCATGTAGTATACTAATCAGCTGTCTTTCCACAAAATTCACTATTCTTCTGTTTGATTTCAACTAAATCTTTAATTATCTTTACTTTAAATTTTTCATTACAAAAAGCCACCTGTTTTTGTGTCATTTTCAGTTAGTTTCAAGAATCTATAGTATGCTATGATTAATAGTGAATAAAATAAAATTAAGTTTTGATTTTCATTCTTAAGTGTGACTCTACAGATTCAGGCAATCCATTACATTACTTCTTAATGGATCTACCTTAACATTAAGGTTAACTTTAACATTATTTGAACTGTTTTATGTTTATGTTTCCCACTGATTATCCCTACCACAATTAGCTAACTCTTGATTCTACTTCAAATGACTCAGAAACCATTATGAATTCTTAGACAAAACTGATTCAAAATGCTTCTCTTTAGTCAAATGACTGGCTAAAACTAATAGAACAAAAAACTTTGAATTTACAAAGTTGGAATACTAAACCAAGAGGAAAAAAGAGGAGAAAAAAAAAAAGACTAAGGAAGCAAAATATGTTCTACCTCAAACTCATTAAGATAACTACCACTTTAATTAAAAGTGTACAGCTGAGTACAGCTCAGTGGTGAAGTGCAGTATCTAGAATTCATGAGGACCAGGGTTTGATTACCAGAATAGCAAAAAAAAAAAAAAAAAAGTTAGAAAATAACAGCTGTTGGGTAAGGATATGAAAAACTAGAATACCTGTCACTGCTAGTAGTAAAATGATATAGCCACTATTAAAACAGTGAGTCACTAAAAAAGATTCAATATAGAATTATTTTGTAATCCAGTAATTCTACTTATGAATACATCCCCCAAAAGAACTGAAAGCACAGATTCAAAGAGATATTTGTCTTACATGTCCACAGGAAGACTAATTAGAATAGCCAAAATGTGGAAACAATTTAAGTGTTCATTGATGGACAAATGGATGAACAAAAGGTGAGACAGACACAAAAATATTATTTATCCTTTAAAACAGAAAGACATTTTGGGCTAGCCACATAGCCCAGTGTCAGAGCACCTGCCTCATATGTGCAAGAATCTGTCTGGGTTCAATCCCCAACATCACCAAAAAAACCCACGAAATTAGGAAGGATATTCTGACATATGCTACAACTTTATAAATGAACCTTGAAAACATTATGCTAAGTAAAACAGGCCAGTCACATAAGGACAAATACTGTATGATTCCACTTGCACGAGGTTCCTACAGAGTTAAATTCAGAGACAAAAATTAGAATGGTGGTTGCCAAAAGTTCAGAGGTAGGAGAAACGAGGGATTATTGATTAACAGGTATAGAATTAGAGTTCTGCAAGATGAAGAGTTTTGTGAAAGGATGGTGATAATGGTAGCACTGAACTGTACAGTTAAAAAAAGTTAAGATGGCAAATTTTATATAATGTGTATTTTATCAATTTTTTTCAAAAAAGAATAAAAAAGTCCCTTCTATATCAACCAGAACTAAGTCTGACCCTATTATAAAAAGTTAACAGGAAATATCTTCCCAAACATTTTAAAAATTAATAAAAAAAAGTATATTAAGCAACTTCTACATAAAAGTATACGCAGAATTCTATCATTATTGTTCTACCGGTTCCCTTGCTGAGTCTTGGACATAGGGGCTGAGTAATCAGAGGAGGTCACACTTTTAATGATTCCTTAAGCTATTCATTAGATCCTAAACAGATTATATCTGGTGGCAGTTTATTTAGAAAAGGAACTCTTCAAATCCTAATATCTACTAAGAGAAGAAATAATGATCCATTAAAAGAAAAAGGAAGAAAAGTATAAGTTGATGAAATGTTAAAGATTCAAAAATTATTACCTCTTCCATTGTTTCCTCAATCTGAGCAGAAACAGGTTCAGGGGATCTCAGACCAATGGGAACAAACACTGGTGCCTTGTTTAATTCTTCTGGGGCAAGATGATAGTTTTCTTCTTCATAGTCAGATTCAAAATCTTCAGTATCATCTTCATCTTCTTCCTGGGAAGCCCGAAGAGTCACCAGCGTTGACTTGGAAGCTCTAGGTTCCTTCTTTGAGGTTTTACCCCGAGTTCGTTTTGATCCACGCCCTTTAGTGACATTTGGTTTGATCTTCCTATGTGTTCTCCTTTCACTATGATCTGTCTCACACACAGAGGCAGTACTGATAGTTGTTCTTCGATCCAGAGCAATTTTGGAGGAATCTGATTCTTTTAACAATTGTGGACGGCTATATGTTTAATCAAAATAACAATATGGTCATATATGCAATAATTTAATGAAAACCAAAGTGTTGAGAGTGAAGTCTCAGTTCAGTCATTAAAACGAAAACTCCCACCACCAATTCTTTTAAAGACTTATGCTGTGAAAATAATAATTAACTACTACTTATTTCTCATTAAGAATTCTGCACAGTAATGTTTAAATTCTGGGCTATTTTTCCCCATTATAAGTGGTGGTAGAGATGAAATTTTAAAAAACTTGTAATTATTAGAACAAAAAGGGATAAAATACATGGAATAATTATAGACTGTGGGATCAAATAGTGATACTTATTTATCTTACTGGGTGAATAGTTTAGGTTAAAAGAAAAAGGGCAGACAAAAAATTTATCAGAGCAATGCTGTTTTCTAGAACTTAGGTTCCTTCCTACTTTCTTCAAAAACTAGAAAAGAACCGGGTGTGGTAACACCTATATGTGATCCCAGCAGCTCAGGAGGATTGTGAGTTCAAAGCTAGCAATGGTGAGGCACTAAGCAACTCAGTGAGACCCTGCCTCTAAATAAAATACAAAATAGGGCTGGGGATATAGCACAGTGGTTGAGTGACCCTGAGTTCAATCCCCAGTACCCCACCCGACCCCTGCAAAACAACCACCTAGAGAAGGGTACCATTCATTCGTGCTTATAACCTCATATGAATTAGTACTCTAATAAACATTACTCTTTGATCAGGCATTTGCTATTGTCTAATAGATTTGACACCCACAAATTATACATCTAGGTGTACAACTGAAAATCAGAAAAAAGTAAAATGTAGTAAATAAACACTAAAATTAGGAAACAGACAGACTTATAAATAAAAAACAATCTCACTTCTGTTCATAAGCCATGTTTTTGCTCTAACAGTAATTTAAGGTAAGACACCCATAAAGAATAAGTGATTTTTATTTCCTACTCTATTTGTTAAAGAAAATATTACCTTGTTACTTTACTGAGATATTGCTCTTCTACAATTGAAGACACAGAATTAGTTCCTACATTTTCCTCTCCAACACTTCCAGATGGTCCAACTTCTTCTAATTGAGCATCTTTTTTGGCCAAACTAGATTCTCTAGAGCCTAAAAAATCTTTTCTTGCTGAAACCTCCATAGATGACAGATTCTCCGCTTTTTCCTTAAATTTAAGATGAAAAAAGGTAATATTACCACAGAAAGAATCTCTATGTAAATTTAACTGTTTGGCCTAAAACTATAATACTGCACAGATACATAGTGATCAGTTTCTAAATGTTTCATGAAAACAGTTATAGTATAAAAGTCAAAATTAGCCAGTTACCGTGGCACACACCTATGATCCCAACTACTCATAAGGATAAAGTAAAAGGATCACAAGTCCAAGACACGGTGGCACACATCCATAATCGCAGCTACTCAGAAGGGTAAAGCAAAAGGATCACAAGTTCAAGACCAGGCTAGCAATTTAGTAAAATCCTGTCTCAAAAAATAAAATGATCTCAGCTACCCAGGAGGCTAAGGCAGGAGAATTAAAAGTTTGAGGCCAGGCTGGGCAACTTAGCAAGACCTTATCTGGAAATAAAAAATAAAAAGGGCTGGAGATATAGTTCAGTAGTAGAGTGCCACTGAATTCAATCCCCAGTATTGCAAACAAAATAAAATAAAATAAAAAGGATTAGGGATGTAGCTCCATGACAGAATAATTGCCTGCAATGTATGAGGCTCTGGGTTCAATTCTAGAACCACGCAAAAAAAAGTTAAACTAATAAGGTGCGGTGGTACACACCTATACTCCCAGCTACTTGGAAGGCAGAAGGATCACAAATTCAAGTGAGACCCTGTACTAAAATAAAATTTTGTAAAAGGGGTTGGGGATAATAGCTCCATGGTAAGAGTACTTGCCCAGCAAGAGGAAGGCCCTAGGTCCAATCCCCAGTTTTGCAAAACAAAACAAAACAAAATAAAATGTCAAAACTGTATTTCACCAATACTCTCCTTCACAATTCTGACAGAAGAGAGCCTGCTAAAAGAAATTTTCCCCCAAAACTTACTTTTAGAAAGAAATGGATGTCAGAATTTCCTTGCTGTGGCAAATTATCTTCTTGTTTGCTTGTCTTACTTTGATATGTACCTTTTTCTATACCTGGTTCCTCTTTCTTACTGTGTGCCCTTCCCAAATTTGGTTTTGACTTTTGGAATTTCCTTCTTATCAATTGTGCTGGAGTAGGAACATATGGTTTATTTTCATGTCTGAAAGGAAGTGTAAATCACATTGAAAAAATAAAATCAGAATTCCTTATTGATATAACAGCTATTCAATGATGTTGGATACAAACCAATTCTAAATTCAAAGCATTATATACAAATTGGAGATAAAACCAAGTATGTAAAATAAACTCCTACATTGCTGATATAAAAGTAAAAGCATATAAGCTTTTATAGCTTCCATTTTATGTATATATTGGGAATATTTTTATAATATGTATCTTTTTTACTTTTATTATTGATTTTGATGTGTAGTTTCATGCTGCTTTAAGTAATTTTTAGAGAAATAACTGAAATACCCAAAACCAGTAGCTGAAAATAATTTCATAATGGTACATCAAGCAAATGCCTTCTATTAGACTCTAAAGCCTACACAAATACACAATAACCACCTGGGCCTTCTGGCTCAAAAGCAGGCTTGAGGTTAAGAATCTATTTTTCTACCATATTTCTGAAGGCTCACAGAAAACGTGAGGCCCTGGGTTCAATTCCCAGCACTAGGGATGGAGTGGGAAGGAGAATACAACTCTCACAGAAAAGGGTTTATTGACAGTCAATGTCGTTTAACTTAATCCATTTGTATATGACATATCAGACAAGGTTTTAACATTCAGTAGTAGAATCACAGCTTTTAGGACAACCCAAATATCAATCTTATGGTTTCCCAGAAATATTTAAGCAACTGGCAAGGAACTTCATTAAGAAATATAAAACCTAACATAAATTTTGTTATATGAGTTCTCTAAAATATTTGTATTCAAAAACTAATCTGGGGCTGGGATTATAGGTCAGTGGTAGAGTGCCTGCCTAGCAGGTGTAAGGCATTGGGTTAGATTCTCAGCACCATATATAAATAAATAAAATAAAGGCCCATCAATAACTAAAAAAGATACATTTAAAAAAAAAATTAATCCTAAGAACATATTTAAATAAAATATCTAGAAAACAAGTACATAGACATTTCCAAATATACCAATCTTACAAAGTTCTAGTAGTAAAACACCAGGAAAGTTCACATCATGTTTAAAAAGATACAATTCTGGCTAATGCATGCCAGTATAAGCTAAAGTATTTGGGAAAACAAGTTATATTTAAGTTAATTTAAATAAGTTATACTATAAGTTATACTACAGCTTTATCAATTGTGATTTTGCAAAGATATTGAAGAAGAAAAATACATAAATTCAACGTGCTTCTGAGATGAAAAGAAACAACAAAACATTAGACATAAGAATAAGCTATTTTAAAACTAAAAAATTTCAAATTTTACAAGTAAGCTGAGATGGTTTCTCTTGGCCACAGTACAGCAACAGTTGGTATAAACTTTATGATCTAGAAAAAGTTAAAGATTAAGACAGGGGACTAGGGTTGTAGCTCAATAGTAGAGTGCTTGCCTAGCCCACATGAGGCACTGGGTTCAACCCCCAGCACCACATAAAAATAAATAAAATAGCCGGGCATGGAGGTGCATGCCCGTAATCCCAGCAGCTTGGAAGGCTGAGGCAGGAGGATTGCAAGTTCGAAGACAGCTTCAGTAATTTAGCAAGGCCTAAGCAACTCAGTGAGACGGTCTCTAAATGAAATACAAAAAAAGGGCTGAGGATGTGACTCCTAAATTCAATCCCCGGCACCCGCTCCCCCAAAAAGAAATACTAATATTAATAATAAATAATATAAAGATATTGTATCCATATACCACTTTAAAAAATATATTAAAAAAAAAAAGAAAGAAAAGGCACGGGATTGATTTCTACACAGGAAGTCTTAATAGTTAGAATTCTCTCATTAAAAAATACAAAGGCTAAGCTGGGCATGACTGTAATCCCAGCAGCTCAGGAGGGTGAAGCAGGAGGATTTCAACTTTAAAGCCAGCCTGACTGTAATTTAACGAGGCACTTAAGAACTTTTCGAGACCCTGTCTCCAAATAAAATATTTAAAAAGGGCTGGGGATGTGGCTCAGTGGGTTAAACGCTCATGGGTTCAATCCCTGGTACAAAAAAAAAAAAAAAGGCTAAGCATATTTGAATCATGAAAAGCTTCTTTCAGGAAACACTGTTCATATATAGTAGAAGCTTACCAATCTGAAAGTCATAAATCCTGAAAAATTAAATTTAAATTCTAAATTGCCAATATTTAAGTCCTCCAGGTCTACTCAATTATAGATGAGAACATTAAGAGAAACAGACCTTGAAAGTCACTAATACGTAAAAGCCCACTAGAGTAAATATCAAAATCCTCACAGTGTCTCTACACAACCTATCTTGATCGTCCAGCCTTTAACTCTCCTATGTCTACCACTCCTTGCTCTCACTCTGGTCCACACTGGCCTTTCTGCTGTTTCTACAAACATGCCAGGCATACTCTGAGTACTTCTGAATTGCTGTTCCTACTTCCTGGACATTCTCTTAACCTATTCCTTCACTTCTTTTATTTATTTATTTATTTTTAAATTTTTTGGTTGTTGGTAGACCTTTATTTTATTTATTTATATGCAGTGCTGAGAATCTAACCCAGTGCCTCATACATGCCAGGCAAGTGCACTACTGCTGAGCCCCAACCTCAGCCCCATGTTCCTTCATTTCTTTTAACTTTTGTCTCCAATGGTACTCCTTCTCCAGCACTTTTTGTTTTTCTCTAATTTATTAGTTATTTATTCAAGTTATTTCTCTTGTTTGTAATCTGTCTCCTCTATTCAAAATAATCTTCACAGTGACAAAAATTTTTGTTTCTTCAGTCTCTTATTATCAGCACTTAGAACAATGTCTGGCACAAAGAGGACACTAAAATATTTGTGAAATGAATGAACAAGAATAAGGTCATAAAATTCTGTCAGATCAAAACCAGATTAAATTATATACAGAAAAGAACAACATAATTAGTAACTAGGAGAGTCAAAGATGTAAACAGGTTCATCTTTAAAGTTTGGGAGAAAGTGTTTCCTAGAATCATTAAGGGAAATTAATTATCAATTCTCCTTGGGATCAGTCATCAACCTAATCCAATAGCATTTCTGAAACAAGTGTATTTGTAACACACTTTAGTGAAAAAAAACACTACTAAGCATCAGTGACTTCATTTAAACATCAAATTATTAAAAAATGAAGAAATGGCTTACCCATTTCTTAGTCATTTCATTAAGAATTTGAAATTAATGGGAAGTAAAAATTGACCTTAATCATAAAATGAAAAGACTATCAAGAAAAGAAAAAGTAAACAAAATGAATCCATACTAAACCAATAAATGTTTTACATTACAAATCTATTCCAATGAAAGCAAACTGTTTAAAACAACCTAAACTCAACAGCACCCTGTGTTCAGAAAGATGACATAACACGGTTAAATTTTTTTTCTATGACTTCACTTAACTAGAGAATAAAAAAAAGATATAATAATGTCTCTTCTGCACCACCTCCACCCCCACCACCCCCACAAAAAACCACTATCACTCCATAATTAAAGAACACTGGACAGTCAAAGTAAACCCATAGGTGCTGGAGACATCCTAGAAGAAAATGAATAAATATTTCACTAAAACATACTCTAGTTATAAAGATAACATCATAAATTATATGGATCATGAATTATATTCAGAAAGGAAAGGTGTTTTTTACTAAAGAAGCTAATACTCCTACTTTAATACTAGTAATAAAGCAGACTGCAAGAAATATGTAAAAGCATTAATGACAAAATGTCTCCTAACTGCAACTTATTTAAAAGATCATTTTACCATTTGGCTTAGATGTAGTTACCTCTAAATAGAGTATCTAGTAAGTACTTCATAGCACTTATTAAGTCTGATTTTTACTTATAAATTTCTAAAGATACAAAGGAATCCTTTAAGTATTTTTTAAAAATAAAGCAAAAGAAAAGAACCTTAAAATATAACAATTTAGCTTTAATGACAAAACTAAGGATAGCTGCCAAACATTCACAATATCAGCAATGTGACTCTTAAAAATATTTAAAGAATTAAATTTAAAATACTCTAGTTCATCCAGGCACGACAGCCAACACCTATAAACCTAGCAGTTCAGGAGGCTGAGATTAAGAGTATTCAAGTTCAAAGCCAGTTTTCCAACTTAGTGGAGCCCTAGGCCTGTCTCAAAAAATAAAAAGGGCTGGGAAAGTGGCTCAGTGGCTAAGTACTCCTGGATTTAATCCCCAGTACCAAAAAATAAAAAAACCTTCTAACTTAATTATTACTTTATCCTTTCATAAAATTTTCAGAATACAAAGTTATATAAAATTATGCAAAAATCCAAACAATGAAAACTTTTGTGCTTTTCTCATTAAAAGCAAACTTACCTCATCTTTTCATCTAAAATATTTCTTTCATTAACATGAAGGTTTTCTACAAGAACCACATGACTTTGATTTTCATCCATTCTGCATTCTGAAACTTTGGAGGATACAGCTTCAATTTCAGTTTCAAGTTGAGAATTTGACTGAAAAGATAAAACCATATTAATGTATTATGTGTTTATTTTACAGCAGAACATACCTCCCAAAATATTTCAATCATTAAAAAGGCTATCTAGTTTAATTTTTTCTTTTTTTTAGTTGTAGGTAGACACAATACCTTTATTTTATTTATTTATTTTTATGTGGTGCTGAGGATCACAGCAATGCCTCACATATACTAGGCAAGTGCTCTACCACTGAGCTATAACCCCAGTCCCCAGGTATCTAGTTTTTGTTTTTAGCTTTTGGTACTAGAAATTGAACCCAGGGCCTTTTAACGCTGAGTTATATCCCCAAGCCAGGGTATGTAGTTTTGTAAAATTAAGATTCAATAATGCAGCCCCCCACCCCAAAAAAAGGCAAAAAACTTATTACGCAGAATATATTACAAAAAATCAGTAAAAAATAAAATTAAGATTCAAACTGGGTAACTGATGTTCATGTTTTGTTGTGAAAACAAGACTGGCTAGGTCAGAAAGAAAATTACAATGCTTTCACAGTAATATGTTTAATGCTTGAAAAACTACAAAAAAAAGTTTAACAGATTTTTTTTTTAAGTATTTTGGCTCAAATAAGGATTATTATAATCATATAATCACTTTAAATCTAGGTTTTCCCTTATTACAGGAAAAATAAGGACTACCTGAAATAGTTTCAGGCATTATACTACTTAGTTTTTTTTCTAATATCAAAAGATTTACTAAGAGATTTCTTAAATTATCATTCAAAATAGCATTGTGGGCTGAGATTGTGGTTCAGTGGTATAGCACTTGCCTAGCATGTGTGAGGCATTGGATTCAATTCTCAGAACCACGTATAAAGTAATAAATAAATAAAGGTTCATCAACAACTAAAACAATATTTTAAAAACCCACAGTGTTGTCACATAGCAAAAAGGGTTTAAATCCTATTTCCTGATATAAAAATCCAATTATAGTATTAAGTGTGCGCATAAGTGTGCATGGAGATTAATTCGGTAAGATAGGTCAAAAGATTCTCAGTGGTTATCTCAGGTGTTGACACTTGAGGTTTACTATTATTTTGTTTTGATTAAACATTTCACATAAGTGTCATTAGTTGGGCAGGTAATGTCTTTTCGGTTAAAAAAAAAAAAAAACCTGAAATAGTAAATCAAACAAAATTGGGACACATTATGTATTCACTAGGGAGAATAAGGGTGAGATGACTATATTCTACTTCAAGCCTGAGCTATCGCTTGATGTTTTTTGTTTTGGGAGGTACCAGTGATTGAACTCAGGGGCCCTCGACCACATATCCCAGCCCTATTTTGTATTTATTTAGAAACAGGGTTTCACTTTTGCTGAAGCTGGCTTTGAACTCCTGATCCTGCCTCAATCTCTGAGCTGCTGGGATTATAGGCTTTCCACACTGGGCTTGATGTTTTAATATGCATTTAAAAGGATTCGATTTAGTTATATGATAACTCACCATTGTCAGGGACTTCTTATTACTTTCATTTTTTTGTAGTAATGATCTTTCTTCCTTAATTATGCCTTTGGCTTCATCATTTTCTACTATTTGCCTGTGTCTAGCCTTTCTTATATTTGGTTTAGGTCTCTGAAGTCGACCCCTCACTGGTCCAGAACTTTGGATAACACTTTCCTTCACTTCTTGTGGGAAAGCTTTAATTTCAGGAGTCCTGTAAAAGAATAGGAAGAAAGAGAGAAGGCCTGATAGTAAAAAGTTGAAAACCATTGTAAAAATATATAATTTAAACCTCTTCTAAAAGCCTCTATAAAAAATACTTCTTACCATTAAAGGAAAATGACGTTTTTGATTATAAAAATATTTTAGAAAAGTTATAAGATAAGGGAAGTTAATGCTTAATGGATACAGTTTAAGTTTGTAGGGGAAAAAAAACAAAAACAAAAAAGTTCTAGAGATGGATGATAGTAATGACTACAGAATAATGTAAACATACTTAATGCCTCTGGTATGTATGCCTCAAATTGATGAAAATGGTAATGAATTCATGGCATATATACATGTATTTTTTAATGAATTTCTTTGTAGAGAATCTTAAGTAGAGGTGGGGTTGTGGCTCAGTGGCAGAGTGCTTGCCTAGCATGTCTGAGGCACTGGATTCAATCCTTAGCACCACATAAAAATAAATAAATAAAATAAAGGCATGCTGTCCATATATTTAAAAAAAAAAAAAAATCTTAAGTAGTTAACAGTAAAGCATTAAAATGTCAATCTGAGCCAGGCACGATGGGGCATGCCTATTACCTAGGAGACTCAGAGGTTAAGGGAGGAGAACTCCCAAGTTTGAGGCCAGGATCAGCAACTTACCATGGCCCTAAGCAACTTAGTGAGACCCTATTGAAGATAAAAAATAAAAAGGGCTGGATATGGAGCTCAGTGATTAAGTGCCCCTGGTTTCAATCCCCAGTACCAAAAAGTACCAAGTTGAATTCAATTTTATTTTCTATGTAGATAGTCTGCCATATCAATTAAAATAAACCAAATATTCTTTATATTCCTTTTTAAAAAACATTAGCACACTTAAATAATAATAAAAAATTTTTCAAAGAAATGTCTCTTAGATTTTCAAGGAAATATCACTGTTTACCCCGTAGGAACAACTAATTCATTTTCCTGTGTTTGTGTTGCCTGAGACTCCTCTTTAGGTTCATGAGAATTTGAAGGTGAAGTGTCTTTTTCAGTCTGTATACATGGTAATGTGACAGTCTCCTCCTTCTTGTGACCCGATTTATTTTTTTCTCTTGATGTTATTGGGGAAGCCACATCCTGGAAGGCAGAAAAAAGAAATCATCCTGAGTTGGTAAAAGTATAGGGAAATAAGGCCAAGGCAGAAGGATCTCAAGTCCAAGGCCAGCCTGGGTAACTTAGCCAGACTCTGTCTCAAAATAAAATTTTTTAAAAGGGCTGTGTATATCAGAGGCAGAATGCTCCTGGTTTAATTCCCAGTATCCATTCCCGCTAAAAAGTATAGTGAAACAAAAACTTTCATACACCATTTGAAGTAGAAGACAATGGGGCAGTTACTGATCAAAAATTTAAAGTCCCAGCAATTCCACCTCTAGAAATTCATCTTAGGAGCTGGGGATGTGGCTCAGTAGTAGAGAACTTACCTAGCATGTGTGAGGCACTGGGTTCAATCCTCAACACCACACAAAAAATAAACAAATAAAAGTATTGTGTCCATTTATACTTAAAATATATATATAAAGAAAAAGAAAGAAAGAAATTTATCTTATAAAAATACTCAAATAGGGCTGGGTTGTAGCTCAGTGGTAGACCGCTTGCCTAACACATGAGGCACTGGTTCAATCCTTAGCACCACATATAAATAAAATAAAATGTGAAAATACTCAAATAGCTGGGCTTATTGATGTACCCTATAATCATCCCAGCAACCTGGGTGGCTGAAGCAGAAGGATCCAAGTTTGAGGCTAGCCTCAACAACTTAGCAAGACTCCAGAACATAAAAAAGACCAGACATGTAGCTCAGTGTGTAAAGCACCCCTGGGTTCCATCCTCAGTATTCCCTTCCAACAAAGTACCTATGAGCAAATATACAAAGATACTTATTAGAATAATTTAATAGCCCCCACCCACCCCCAAACAAACAAGATATTGGACATACAACAGATCTATGAGTGGGAGATTATATAAACTTTAATTTCTTTACAATGCAATATGACATAGACATTTAAAAGACAAATTTTACCAGACATGATGGAACACACGTATAATCTCAGCTACATGTGAGGCCGAGTCAGAAGGATGGCAAGCTCCAGGGCAGCATGGGGAAACTTATCAAGACCTGGTCTCAAAATAAAAATTTCAATAAAGGTCTGGGGATGTAGCTCAATGGTAGAGCACTTGTCTAACATGCACAAAGACCTAGGTTCAATCCTCAGTACCTCAAACAAAGACATTTCTCTGTATTGATCCAAAGAAAATGTTCACAGTATTGTGTTTAGTAGAAAAATCAGAAGGCAAGAATGACGCCATTTTTGAAAATAATAAAAATACTTGTATATTATTTTATAAATAGCTACACAGAAAAGTCTAGGAACAAAAATGCAAAGCTGCTATATGATTAATTGGGATGGAGGGATGAGACATTATAAAGGACTCTCACTTTTTAGAACATAGGTATTTTTTTCCAAGTTAAAATTCTTATAATCAGAAAAAATAATTAATAAAAAAGTAGTTTATCTTTTATAAACATAAGGTCAGGAAAAATATAAATACTGATGCATAATAAAGAACTAAAGTACTTTAAGATGCCATGTAAGAATTTTAATTCTTGTTATGGACCATATACTGATACTCTTAATTCATACCAAGTTTTTAATTTTTCATTTCACCTTCACAACAGAGTAAAATAAAGCACTATAATTCCCATTTTCCTAGAAGAAATCTGTTACATCATTTGGCTACAGTTGCGAAGCCTGTTTTGGTTTAGATATGAGGCATCCCTCAAAAGTTCATGTGTGAGACAATGCAAGAATTTTTTAGGTAAAAAGAGTTAGAAGTGTAGCCTAATCAATGGATTAATCCATTCTAAGTATTATCTGGGTCAAAACAGTAGACAGGTATGGTATGACTGAGAGGAAGGAGGTCACTGGGTGCATATCTTGGGGTTTATATTTTGTCCCTAGAGAGCAGCACACTGTCTCTGCTTCCTGATTGCCATGTCCTGAGTTGATTCCCTCCACCATGTCCTTCTTCTATAATGTCCTACAAAGCTAAGGATCTGGCCAACCAAGGACTGAATCTCTGAAACCATGAGCCAAAATAAACTTTATCCTCTTCTATGTTATTCATGTCAGGTCTTTTGGTCAGTGACAAAAAGCTAAGGGCTAGGGATATGGTTCAGTGGTATAGTGCATGCACAAGGCCCTAGGTTCAATCCCCAGCACAGAAGTGGGGGTGGGGGTGGAGAGCTAACTAAATATAGCCAGAACCTCAACTTCCTATGACACATTAAGATTCCTACACAAACTCTGCAGAATAATGAGGCACATTAAGCGTGGGAATGTAATCATACAAAATAAAAATTATATGAAGAAACTTACAACTATAGTAACCCCCAACCCACATACATAAGCATCATCTCTTCTTTTCTACCAGGGATTGAACTCAAAGGCACTTAACCATGGAGCTACATCCCTGGCACTTTTTATTTTGAGGCAAGGTCTCACTAAGTTGATTAGAACCTGCTAATTTGCTGAGGGTGGCCTCAAACTTGCATCAGCCTCCTGAGTTGCTGAGATCACAGGCTCGTGCCAACGCACCCAGCTCCTACAACCTCCATCTTAATCACTCACATGTTGAGAAGGGAGAGTACTAGCTTGTTCAGTGTCCTGCTGTATCACAGTGGTCTCTACTTCATCAGTTTCCAACTTCTTCCCAGGTACATATTTTTGGGCTTCTGCAGTCTCTTTCTTTAAAGCTGCTCTTGTTAAATTTGGTTTTGGTCTTTTTAATAGGCTTCTCACAAAAGGTGCTGGTTTAACTTCAGGTGCCTTCTGTTCTTGAAGAAGAGATCTGCTTTGGGAACAAGGATTATCAAATTTTAGAATGAACTGAAGGGGCAGTGCAAGTGGGATTGAAGGACAAACTTAGCAATTAGCAGTAAACATTAAAACCTAATTCTTTTTTTTATTAAATTATTTATTCTAATTTGTTATATATAATGGCAGATTGCAATTCATTTCATATTACACATATAGAGCACAATTTTTCAAGTCACTAGTTGTACACAAAGTATTTTCAGACCATTTGTGTCTTCATACATGTACTTAGGCTAATGATGTCTAACTCACTCAACTGTCTTTCAAATCCTAATTCTTAACAGGAAAACAAATCAACTTATTTGGTAGATTCCAAAAACCAAGAGTAGTACAATCCAGGCATGAATCTAGGGAATTACATTGTCATTATACAAAGAAAGCAGTTTGTAAAACCTATGTTGACTTAGGAGTAGGTGGTCTGTCAATTTTATACATGATAGTGATTCTTACAAGCCAGTGTCAGAATGACCTCAATCCCGTCTCCTAGTCTTCCAAAAACTATTTAAAAATCTCTAACACTATCCCGTATGTTATGCCTTGAAACCTTAGTTTGACATAATCTATAAATACAACTTTATATGCTTTTTCTTTAAAAACACTTCGACCTTTATATACTTATACCTTAAATTAATATCTGAAAACTGTTCTGGAACATCTGGAGGTCTTATCTCCTGGTCTTCTATTTCACCAATTTCAGAAGTTTGTGAAGAAGTCTTCAAATGACTCAAATGACAGGATACCTCCTTTTCAGAATTTCTGTTTTCTTCTGTAGGCATATGCATCACTGATAATACTTCACTGCTAATATTCTAAGGAAATAGTTACAGTAAATGAGCACATACACATTCTACAAGCATTTCATACATTACAAACTTCAAATGTCTATTGTCTTCTGGACACTTTCCTTTAAAACTTTCGTTCTTAATTTCTAAATAAAATTTAACATACAAATGTTAAAACCCAGAACCAAGGAAAAAGTTTTCCTTTTATATTGTGCATTAGGATTTTTCCAAACCACAAGTGCCATTATCTAACCAAGAAAAGGTCAGAAAAAGAGGCTGGGGCTGCAGCTGGGGCTCAGCAGTAGCATACTTGCCTGGCATGTGTGAGACACCAGGTTTGATCCTCAGTATCACATATAAATAAATAATATAAAAGTCTATTGACAATTAAAAAAATATTTTTAAAAATGTGTATTTAAAAAAAAAGTCAGAAAAAAAATTCTTAAAAAAAAGGATGAACTTCAAATAACATGAACAAGATAAAATTTTCAACAAAAGAAACTTAGAAGTAACGTAAATCAGGTAGAACAGTAAATAAAGAGAAATACAGACACAAATATGGACAAAATAAAAATTCCAGCATATGTTCACACTCCTTTTATCAAAAAAAAAAAAAAAAACCTTCAAATAGTTATTAAAAATTTGTTCGGCATGGTGCCATATGCCTATAAAAACAGTGATTATGACTACAGAGGCTGAGACTAAAAGTGGAAGATCTCAAGTTTGAGGCCAGCCTCAACAACTTAGTGAGACCCTATCCAAAATAAAAAATTAAAAAGAAGAGGATGTGTCTCAGAGATAAAGTGTGTCTGGTTTCAATCCCCAGTATCTAAACTTTTTTTGTTTTGTTTTGTTTTTTAAAGAACACAGTTTTTCAAGGTCCAAAATATAAAATTTTAAGACTGGGAAAGACTTGCAACTTTTAGAGATTTAAAGTGTTGTTGGATTTTTAAAGTCAATAATCATGGAATTATTTTGGTAACTTTGACCTGAAAAAATTATTTTTAAAAAACTTAAAGGACAAAAAATACATACTTTCATATCTAGTGAAGGTACGGTACTGGTGTCACCACTACTGCTCTGCATTACATTTGCTTCAGTTTGCTTTGAAGTACTGGATTCCTCTGATTCGTTTTCCCTTGGAGAAATGTCTGTTTTTCCAGTTTTTTCCAAATCTGCCACCATTTCCTCGGTAACACCCATCTTTTCAGATCCTCTCTTCCCCAAGGAATTTTTTTTTCCAGTATCTTTCAAATCTGCCTCCATTCCCTCAGTGGCAATCATCTCTTCTGATATGGTCTCCATCGGGGAAATGTCTCTTCCAGTATCTTTCAAATCTGCCTCCATTCCCGCAATAGCAGTTATCTTTCCTGATATGGTCTCCATCAGGGAAATGTCTGTTTCAATTTCTTTCAAATCTGCCTCCATTCCCTCAATGGCAGTCATCTCTCCTGATGTGGTCTTCATGGGGGAAATGTCTCTTCTAGTATCTTTCAAATCTGTCTCCATTCCCTCAACAGCAGTCATCTCTCCTGACACAGTTTCCATAAGGGAAATGTCTATTCCAGTATCTTTCAAATCTGCCTCCATTTCCTCAATGGCAGTCATCTCTCCTGCTATGGTCTCCATCAGAGAAATGTCTCTTCCAGTTTCTTTCAAATCAACCTCCCTTTCCTCTAGGTCATTGACCGTCACTAGCACCTTTTCCCTTTGGGAAATATCTCCTATACTTTCTTTCAGATCTGTTTTCATTTCATCTATAGTTGTGACTTCCTCTGGAGCCTTTACTAACGCAGATATTTCTCTTCCTTCAGTTTCTTCCAAATCTGTCTTTCTTTCCTGAGTGACATCAATCTTTTGTGGAGTCCTGTCCCTTATGGGCATCTCTCTTCCAGTTTCTTTCAAATTTGTCTCCATCTCACCTATAGACTTGATCTCTTGGACATTTTCCTGTGGGGATATTTCTCTTATTCCAGTTTCTTCCAAATTTTTGTCTATTTCCTGAATGGCATCAATCAATTCCTGCACCTTCTTCCTTGGGGAAATCTCTCTTCCAGTTGTTTTCAAATCTGTCTCCCTCTGCACAGTGCTCTCGGTCATTTCTGATAGCATCTCCCTTGGGCAAATTTCTCTTCCAATTGCTTTCAAATCTGCCTGCATTTCCATAGTATTATCAGTTATTTCTGGCATCTTCTCCATGAGAGAAATGTCTCTTCCAGTTTCTTCTAAATATGACTTAGTTTCTTTAGCAGTAGTGGTTGTCACTGGTACCTTCTCCCTCGGTAGGGTGTCTAGTTTTACAATTTCTCTCAAAGCCACTGTCATTTCCCCAGAGGCAAGAATCTCCCCTGGTACTTCTTCCTTAGAGGATCTCTCTCTTCTTCCATTTCCTCTTCCTATATTTGGCTTTGGTTTCTGAAATCGGGTCCTTGAAACAGGGACTTGTTTAACAACATCTGCTTGTTTATCTTCTTGAATGCTATTAAAAAAAAAAAAAAAAAGAGGAGACAATCAAATTTTAAACAAGAATACCAGCGGAAGAAATGATAGTCAAGAAATCATTATGAAAACACCAGACATGCTCAAATTTTAAAATATTAAGGGGCTGGGCATAGCTCAATGTTAGGGCATGTTCTTGTATGGCCCTGGATTCAATTTCCAGCAATAAAAATTAGAATGAAGTAAAAATAAAAACAATCAAGGAAGCCCCCAGGATCAGTGGAGAAAATTTTAAAATCAAAGGAGAAAAAAAATTATCTTTTTACATTATAGTAAATTTTAAAGTAATAACTGTACCTACTTATACAAGACACATATAGAAAGGTCAAATATTAATGAGATCAATAACAGTAGCCACTAATTGTCCCTGAATAGTCCCTTTCCAATTGTCATTCTCACCATTCCATGCAAATACTAGCTGGGAAAGACTCTGATAATCTATGTTGGCATTACTTCATGATGTTTTTCTGTATTTCCCTCTCTTTGCTCCAATTTTCTTCTACCCAGACATACATTTTGCGATGACAGACTTGACCATCTCAAACAGTTAGATGAAAATATGATTTGAATAAGAAAGTCTTCTAAGGAACTAGGTCTGCCTTCCAAACATTTTTTTATTTGTTCTAATTAGTCATATATGACAGCAGGATGCATTTCAACTCATTGTACACAAATGGAGCACAAGTTCTCATTTCTCTGGTTGTACACAATGCAGAGTCATATCATTCATGTAATAATACACATACATAGGGTAATAATGTCCATCTCATTCCACCATCTTTCCCATATCCACACTCCTACTCCCCTCTGCCCAATCCAAAATTTCTCCATTCTTCTCTCCCCCACCCTCATTATGGATCAGCATCCATTAATAGAGAAAACATTTGGCCTTTGGTTTTTTGGGGATTGCTCACTTTGCTTATCACCGAAGTTTTTTTAGTTGTATATGGTCACAATACTTTTATTTATTTGGTGCTAAAGATCAGACCCAGTTTCTCACATGTGCTAGACAAGTGCTCTACCACTAAGCCACAACCCCAGCCCCCAAACATTTTTTAAAAATTTTAAATGACACAATGCACTAAATATATATTTTTTTATTTTTAGTTGTAGTTGGTTGGACACAATATCTTTATTTTACTTATTTTTATGAGGGCCTCACATGTGCTAGGCGATCGCTCTACCTCTGAGCCTCAATCCCAGCCCACAATGCATTATATTTTGCTGAACTATTGGACATTTTTTTTTACAATCACTATCCACAACAAGCACTTTGTTCTCCAGAAAGCAACAGCATTCTTTTGCTTTGTATTTTCCATGATAGCTAGTAAAACCAATTGAAATACATACACAAATGAAGGAGCTTAGTTAGTATTGAGAGGTCATTAATCTTAGGCAAAAGCTAGATCAAAAGAAACAAAAAAGATTTATTCAACCATGTCAGGCTGAACAAGTATATAATTGCACATTTAACAGCTTTAAAAAAAGATTTATTAGGGGCTGGGGTTGTGGCTCAGCGGTAGAGTGCTCACCTAGCACAAGTGAGGCGCTGGGTTTGATCCTCAGCACCACATATAAATAAATAAAATAAAGGTATTTTAAAAATAAAAAATAAATTTAAAGAATGTGTGTGTGTGAATTATCCTTAAAATTCACGAACTTTAAAAAATATATTAAAAATTATGACTGCAGAAGGAGGAGATGAACAGAGGATGGTTAACATGTATGAGGGTATAAATATGTAGGAGAAAAAATGTCACAGAAGGATAACTATGATTGACAATAATTAATTAGATATTCAAAATAGCTAGTAGAGATGATTTTTAAAAAATTGTTTTTGTAGATGGACACAATACTTTTATTTTATTTATTTATTTTTATGTGGTGCTGAGGATCCAACCCAGTGTCTCACACGTGCTAGGCAAGTGCTCTACCACTGAGCTACAACCATAGCCCGTAGAGAGAATTTTGACTGTTCCTAATTCAAAGAAATGACAAATGTTGAGACAACAAATTTGCCAATTACCTTGATAATTATACACTGAATATAAGTACTGAAATATCCCACTATGCTCCATAAATATATGTAATTACTATGTGTCAATTAAATATTTTAAAACATTTTTAAAATAGAGGAGCTAACAGACAAGCACTTCTTGTAATTAAGAAAAAATATATTTTTTTTATTTTTTTGAAAAGAACTAAAGCTAAGCATAATGGCGTACACCTGTAATCACAGCCTCAGCAACTTAGCAAGGCCCTAAGAAACTTAGTGAGACCATTTCTCAAAATGTAAAAACAGCAGGGCGGAGGGGACACATTGGGGAGGATACGCAGGTCTGTCACTCAGTGCTAAAGTGCTTCTGGGTTAAATCCCCAGTATAAAAAAAGACTAAAGTTAAATGACAGGATTTTCAGGATCTTGCTCCTTTCATACCTAAAAACAACAGAAACTGCACCATTCACCTGGGGTAAGTAAACACAGAAAAGGGCCACAATGTCAGGTTGCCAACTTTAGAAGGAAGGATGACCAATGAAAGAAAATAAATGCAAGGCCCACCGAAGTGCAAAATTCCCTCCTACCAACATGAGCCCAAAGTCAGTGGGCAGTACAGTATAGGCCATCTCAGACCATAAACATTTTGAGATTTGAAAAAGATACTATATCAAAGGGATTAAAAAAATAATGAAAAGGAAGCTATTGCACGAATTTTTGTAGGATCTAAACTTTCTTCACTGAAATATCTGTTTTTTTATAATGTGATTTTTTACTTAAAAAAGCCTTTAGATTGAAATAGACTGATTTTCAAATTGTACTTGTTTATATAACTGAGGTATTTATATCTATCACTAACTTTAGTGAACAATAAATGCAAAATTAATATAAACTGACAAAGGAAATTTAACGTGGTTAATCCTGGATGGATTTCACCCCATTCCTTTTTTTTTTTTTAATTATTAAATATTTATTTTTTAAGGGCTGGGGATATAGCTCAATTGGTAGCTCAGCTTGCCTCACATGCATAAGACCCTGGGTTCAATCCCCAGCACCACAAAATAAATAAATAAATAGATAGATAGATAAATAAATATTTTTTTAGTTGTAAGCCAACACAATACCTTTATGTTATTTTAATGTGGTGCTGAGGATTGAACCCAGTGCCTCAAGCACACTAGGCAAGCATTTTTCCTCTGAGCCAAAACTGCAGGCCCTTACTGCATTCTTTATTATCCTCATCCAAAAACACCTAGCTTTTAGTGAGGTTACTCTGCTAGGAATATGATTTGAGAATCATGAGAAAAGAGAATTTTTATAAAGTCATATTTTCAACACTGGTTTATCCTTTAAACATATAAATGCATTAATAAGCAAATACTTTATTGGTAGTTTCCTTATTTCAGTATCAATTCAAATTGTAAGATACAAACATGAAATGTTATAATTGTGCTTAAACAGCTGAAACTGTTTTTATATAATAAAAGGACTTTCATAAGTTTATTTTTATGGATAAAAAATATGATATATGATAACTCACTGAGTTCATGAATAATAAATCAACAAATATTTCTAAGTCCTATTACATGCCAGAAAGTACCTATGAACTGGGAATACGATGATGAGCAACACAGACCTTTTCTCATAGAATTCATATCAGCTGCATAATTAACTGAAGAGCAGTTTTTGAGACTGGAATTCAGATATTAATTAATTCAGAATATTTCTCAACTTAAAATATACAATGGATCCATAAATTCTCTCCATGGATCACAGAATTTAAGAAGAAAAGCAAACAAAGGAGATCATGACTAAAGAAAGGATAGGCACAAAATTATACATCTACTTCCAGGTCCACATTGTGTTTTTCTAAAATGTAGAGTTAAGAATCTACAAAACATTTGCATGCCTCCTTAAGATAAATCATCAATCATGACACAAGCCCCAATATTTATATAAAAGATACATAATTGTCTAGAAGATTGTTTGAAAAAAACATTCACTAATTTATCGAATGAAGAATTTTTTAATACATTATCCATTTCTCTTACACAGCATCTTGAACAGGCCAAAGTGTTCAGAGTAGGGGAAAGGGAAAACTGCCTAGTAAATACAAAGAGATATATGATTTGACAAAACACAGAATTTTAGAATTTTTTGTAATGATCCTGGATATCCAGAAAGTCAGAAAAGTCACATGATAAAGCTACCTGTGGAGAGGGAAGTTGCTGAGATCAAATTGTGCACTGGTGTTAACAATATCTACCAGTTTTCTGAAACTCAGAGGCACCCAAAGAAAATCTAATTTTCTACTAAGCCACATTATTATTATGTGTGGTGCTGGGGATTGAACCCAGGGCCTTTTGCATGAGGCAAGCACTCTACCAATTGAGCTATATCTCCAGCCCCACATTAATTTTTAAATGTTTTTTTCATTTACATTTTTTTCAGTTGAATGCAGGCTCCAACCTGTCAGTTTCCTGAAAATAAAATCTGATATATAACAAGTAATATAATTGGACAGGTTCCTACTCAAAAAATTCTGTGGCACATTGGTAGCGAAAGAGTTGAGGGGTGAAGCAAAAATAGTAGAGGAAGCAAGAAATACAGAAAATTTTCTGTTTTAATAAAGGTTTAAATACATTTAAATTGGTGTAACAAAGCACAACAGCTGGGTATGGTGGTGCACACATATGATCCCAGCTACTTGGGAAGTGAAGGCAGGAGGATCACAAATTCAAAGCCAGCCTTAGCAACTTAGTGAGGCCCTAAGCAACTTGGTGAGACCCTGTCTCCTTGGACAGTGTATACATGGGAGTCCATTATTGTTCTCTCTGCATCTGTGTGCATTAACCATTCCCAAAATAAAAATTTTTAAGGTACACTAATAAGTCCATCACTCTGGTTTAGTACCCTCCAGAGGGGAAATAAAAACTTTGGCTACAAAACAGTATGGGTTTTGGGCTGGTGTTGTAGCTCAGAGATAGAACACTTGTCTAGCATGCAAGAGGCACTGGGTTCGATCCTCAGCACCACATAAAAATGAAATAAAGATATTGTGTCCACCTAAAACTAACAAATAAATACTTTTTAAAAAACAGATGGGTTTTCATTAATAAGTTCTACATAAAATTTATATCAATCTTTTTTAAAAAATTTTTTTGTAGTTGTATATGGACAGAATGACTTTATTTTGTTTATTTTTATGTGGTGCTAAGGATTGAACCCAGTGCTTCACACGTGCAAAGCAAGCATTCTGCCACTGAGCTATAGCCCCAGCCCTATATCAATCTTAAATAAAAGCAATATGTGATCAATCTAATACCAAAAAATAAATAAATAAATAAGAAATAGCATTTGTAGGCTGGGGTTGTGGCTCAGTGGTAGAGTGCTTGCCTCGCACATGTGAGGCACTGGGTTTGATCTCAGCACCACATAAAATAAATAAAGGTATTGTGTTTATCTATAACTAAAAAAAAAATATTTAAAAAAATAGCATTTACAATATTTAGATACAGGCATTTAACTTAATATGCATATTAAGTGATAAGCTACTCAAGTTAACACAAATTCTAATTTATGGTAAGTAACTCTTTTCAAGCCACCAATAACTAAGAAGTCAAAATAAAAGCTATGACATGAAGTTCCTTGGAGATCAAGTTGTACTTTGAAATATCTTTGAACATTTTATGACTTGTACTTATCACACAGAAAATAAATCCAATCTGATTTGGTCTAAAAGAACTGATTAAGTTCTAAAACCATACAAAATTAAGCTTGGCACAGTGGTGCACACTGGTAATCCCAGAAACTCAGAAGGCTGAGACAAGAGGATTGAAATGAAAGGGCAGCCACAGGTCCTTAGGGAGGCCCTAAGCAACTTAGTGAGACCCTGTCTCAAAATAGAAAATAAATGGGGAGATGGGGTTGTAGCTCAGAGGAAGAGCACTTGCCTTGCATGTGTGAGGCACTGGGTTCAATTCTCAGCACCATATATAAATAAATGAATGGAAAATAAAGGTCCATCAACGACTAAAAATATATACTAAAAAAAAAAAAAAAAAAGAGCTGGGTACGATGTAGCTCTGTGGCAAAAATGCTCCTGGGTTAATTCTCTAGTACCAAAAAAAAAAAAAAAAAAAAACTATACAAAATTCAAAAATTACATCATCAATAAAATGATGCTTACCTTAGACATTCACTAAGAGTCTTGGGCTCATCTGGTTCCACTTTTTGAAAAGAAGAATCTTTTCTCTCAGGTTGTGATATGACATGTGACATTTCCCTATTGAAATTTTTACATGACTGATCTTCTATTTGTTGAGGAATCTTAATAACAAAGAAAAATTTTTTAATATTTTAGATTTCACAATCAAAGATAATTTTTAAAAATTGCACTGAATATTTTGTTATATGAGAAAAATGAAAAAAACTTCAAAACTATAAAATGAAATTCAAAGGGTTCTTTTTAAATGTATTTTCTTTAGGTATCTCAGAAAAATTTCATAAGCCAAAACTTTTACCTTATCTCAAAGCTCCCATTCTTTTCTGCCAAATCATAAAGCAAGTAACTATTTTAGACTGATCTGTGAGAATTATTTCATGGTGTCCCTCTTTCTGAATCTTTCTATTTATTATAATTGCATTACAACCAGATAAATTACAACAGAGGAAATCCAAATCTTACATCATACCAACCTTCTTATAAAGAATAGTCTTTATAATAAATAATAATAATAAATAATCTAAAATTCATGATCTTTGTTCCTGGAATTATGGTTTAGAGGGAAACTTTCAACATCTTATTCTATTTGAGCCAATACTAAAAGTTACTCATTTAACTATCTTTTCAAATGGAAAGGGTAATTCAGAAATTCGTTGAGTAATAGGGAAAAAGCAAGTCCAAATATGAGGGAATGTGAAAGCAAATTACAAATCATGTCAATGATCAAAATCTAAAATGGCTTTACAGTTAGCAAAACTGGTATCTATGAAATTTTGACGATAAATTTAATAATCAAAGAAACACAAACTATTTAGCCATTTGTTGTTTTTAAAAGGAATGAGAGATTTATGTTAAGACTATGTACTTACTTAACACAATGTGAAAAAAAATCAAAGTACTTACTTCTCCACCAACACAGGACTCATTTTCATTATTCTCCCTATCAACCCCAATTTTTTCCTGTGATCCAAGAATTTCTTTTCTTTCTGCAGCTTTCCCTATATTTGGCTTTGGCCTTGGTAATCGGCCCCTTATTGGTCGTGTAGGTCTAAAAGCCTTTGGTTGATTATCTTCATGCAGACAAGATTTGTCACTCAAACTAGAACTACAAAAAAATAAAATCAATGTTTATTTTGAAGTCACAAACTGATTGTTTTTTAGTATTTCCTTCTCCATGATATTAATGAGAAAACAATTCAGAATATAAAATAATTCACAGGTATCCTCAAGAACATCTTCAAGGTTATTCATACATCTAGTCCCTACTCTTTTGAACAGATATAATCCTGGAAGCCTGACTACAAAAAATATTTTTAAATCAATTTTTAATTACAAAATTGGTCAGCCAGGTATGGTAGTGTACACCTGTCATCCTCACTACTTGGAAAGGTGAAGCAGAAGGATGGCAACTTCAAGGGTAGCATGGGCAACTTGGTAAAACGCTGTCTCAAAATCAAATAAAAAAGGGATGGAGAGGTAGCCCAGTGGTTGAGCACTTTTGAAGCTTACGTCAGGTCCTGGATTCAATCTCCAGCATCACAAAAAAAGAAGGAAAAAAAAAAAACTGGAAAAATCTACATCAATCAAGGATGTAATACTAGTATGCCTCATACAGAATACTACTAAATGTTATACAATTCCAGGATATTAGTACCAAATTATAGTATAAATTGGACCACCTGAAATAGCCCAGAACCTACTGGTTAAAGTCACACTGGAGTGGAGTTGTTATGGTTCTCCACATTGAGTTAAATAATCCCTTCTGAAATCCCTTACTATAAAATTTTCCAGAAATATTATCTTAACCATTCCTGTATTTAACAACACATTGTGAAAATTACAAATGTAATTGCTAATTCAATGGGTCCAAGCCATAATTTGTATTTATGATATCAAGCATAGAAAACATTACTAAAATGTTTCATCACCACCTATAGTTGAAAATGGACTTAAATTAGATGAAAATAGTAATAGAGTTTATCAAGCAGAAAACAAGTGATTAGAATCATTCCTAATAAGTTAACTACTTTTGTATTACTTTCTAAGTACTTACTTAGATACAGTTTCAGCTTCTAGGTTCTCTCTTTCTGTATTCTCCATTTCAAAACAGTCACCTGTATTCACTTCATTTTTTTCCATGTGATTCTGTGAATTTAATTTTTACAGTTAATCTACTTATTATTAAAAAGTTCAAACTTTGTTAGAAACAAATGAAAATTAAAACAATGAAATTGCATTTTTTGTATTTACACCAGGAAAGATTTTCTAATAATCCTAAATGCAAATGAGAATATTATAAAACAAATTATCTCATTCATTAATAGTCAGCCCTTTTCAATTTGAAGAGTCTTGAAAATGTTCATATCCTTTGACTCAGTAATATCTTGTGAAGACTTTTAAGAAAGTAAATGGAAAAATATCTACACACTAGATTGTTCAATGGAACATTAAATAAAATAGCAAACACTGCAGACAGACAAATTTTCCAAAAATGAGAAAATAATTAAATAAGTTCGGTTACACACCACTGTAAGAGTATCACTAAAAACCATGTTTTCATTTTTGCCTTGTACCGAGGATTGAACCCTGGGCATATTACCACTGAACCACTTCCCTGGCCCTTTTTTTATTTTTTATTTTGAGATAGGGTCTCGCTCAGCTGCTTAGGGAGGCTGTCCTTGAACCTCCAATACTCCTGCCTCAGCCTCCCAAGTAGCTGGGATTACAGGTGTGTGCCACCATGCCCAGCAAAAACATGTTTTTCAGAAGTTTAATGATATGAAAAAAAAACATTTGTGAAATGTTAAATACCAAAAGATATAAAATTAAATTCATATCACTACTCAATTTTATAAAAGAAAACCTAGGATGATAAATGTGAAAAGACTGGTTGCATCTGGATAATGAAATTACAACTTATTTTTGTTTTGATTTTTAAATCAACCTGTATTTTCCAAATTTTCTAGAATAAAATCCTATTATTAAGATTAGGATAAGATAGCTGTACAAAAAACACACATCTCCCCTCCCCCCACAAAAAAGCTAAGAAAGATACTTCACTTAAGAAAATAACTAATCAAAACTGATCAATGGCCAGGCATGGTGGCACACACCTATCACCTCAGCTACTTGGGAAGCTAGGTAGAAGGATTACAAGTTTGAAGCCAGCCTGTACAACTTACAAAAAACCTGTCTCAAAATAAAAAGGGCTGGGAATGTAGCTTGGTGGTTCAAGGCCCTGGATTTAATTCCCAGTACTGAAGAAAGAAAGCTGGCCAATGTTTTAAAAAGCGATTTAGCCAAAATTAAATTTTTCTAATATAATTCTCAGAGACAGAAGGACACAGGAACATTCACTCAATGCTAACAGCAATGTAAATAGATTCTTTGACAATGCATAAGAACCATAAAAATATTTTAATTTGAACCAATAATATAATCCCCATGACCCATAAAAATATCGTTTCTTTAAGAAAACTCTACTTACGCTGGGTGCAGTAGCACCATGCCTGCAATCCCAGCGGCTCAGGAGTTTGAGGCAGGAGGATCACAAGGTCAAAGCCAGTCTCAGCAATGGCAAGGCACTAAGCAACTCAGTGAGACCCTGTCTCTAAATAAAATACAAAATAGGGCTGGGGATGTGGCTCAGTGCTTAAGTGCCCCTGGGTTCAATACCTGGTACCAAAAAAAAAAACGAAGAAGAAGAAAGAAGAAAGAAGGAAGAAGAAGAGAAAACCCTACTTACAAAATTGCTTATTTTTAAAAATTAAAGAAAAACAAAACAATCATATAATCCATTAGAGAAATGATCAGGTAAATCAATAATGTTAATCCAATGCATTTTTATTTATTTATTTATCTATCTATCTATTTATTTATTTATTTATTTTTGTGGTACCAGGGATTGAACCTAGGAGCACCTAACCACTGAGGCGCATTCCAGATCTTTTTATATTTTATTTAGAGACAGAGTCTCACTGAGTTGCTTAGAGCCTTGCTCAGTTGCTGAGGCTGGCTTTGAACTCACAATCCTCCAGCCTCAGCCTTCATTGGGATTATAGGAGTGTGCTACCATGTTCAGCCCAATACATTATTTAAAAGTTCAATCAGACCCAAGAATATATACATGAATAGCTCCAGAGAAAAAAATGTTTTAACTATTGTACACATCATGGTTAGGCACTAGAGAAATGTTTTCATACACAGAGAAAGTTCATAAAGTACAAATAGGAATGTGACTGCCTATGTTCAGATAAAAGTACTATGGGTATAATGTATAGATGGTTTAAGAAATATTTTTTAAAAAGTTTTTATGTAAGTAAACAAAAGATTTATCATTACTGAGGATGTTTCAAATGATACGTCCCCTAGCTCTAAAGAAAATATATAAGAGGGGTTGGGGCTGTAGCTCAGTGGTGGAGCACTTGCCTAGCATGTGTGAGGCACTGAGTTCAAGTCTTAGCACCACATGTCAATAAATAAAGTTCTATCAACAACTAAAAAGAAATTTTTTTAAAAAGAAAATATATCAAAGGGCTGCTGTTGTAGCTCAGTGGTAGTGTGCTTACCTATAAATAAATAAATAAAGCAAGCTCCATCAACAACTAAAAAATATATAATTAAAAAAATATGTAAACAAGAGACTAATAAGATAGGAACAAACCTAACTAACGTTGATGTGTAAGTTATTTTATTGGTTTTAATATCAGTAACAGTCATCTGTAATTACAAGGTGAATTTTTTTTTTTTTTTGGGGGGTAGGGTTCTTTTTTTTTTTTTTTGTCTTTTTTGGAACTGGGGGTCAAACCCAGGGCTTTGAGAATGCAAGGCAGACGCTTTGCCACTGAGCTACATCCCAGCCCACAAGGTGAATACTTTTATTACCAATTTCTTAGGAAAAAATTTTATTTTATAATTTTAATTCCAGTACGTCTCCTATGTCATACCTTCTCAACTGAAGTTTCTGAACATGAACTCTTGCTCTCTGCATCTGTTTTGTTTTGTGAACGAGTTGATTTCTTCCCAACTGCTCTTGATAGATTCGGTTTAGGTTTCTGGAGTCGACCTCTCAAAATTGGTTTTACATTTTCTGCCGGATCCGTCTCCCTAAAAAAATTACTTAAACTGTAAGCAACATGCAGTTATGTTCAAGTAAAATTCTGAACCAGAAAGAATTTCTTTGAAAGTTTACTTACTATAGAAATGGCAAAGAAAATTGAGAGACTAACTTGTTCTATTAGATGTGACAAATATAACTGCTGAGCATCAATAATTAATGCAGGTAGTGGTATTAACATATGAATAAACAGATAAATGAAACAAATTCCAAACACTGGCTCTAAAATGTATATTTTAACACATAATAAAGGTAGCATCTCAAAACAGTGAAGAAAAAATGAAATACAAAATACAGTGTTTTAAAAAATATACTAGATAAAATTAAATAAATGGTGATGAAAAAACTGAATAACATTGAGAAAAAAATAAAACAAGCATCACCTCTTATACTGTGCTGACAATATATGCGAAGTAGATCAAAGATTTAAATTAAACCATAGAAGTAATATGGATGAGTTGCTAAGGCTGACTTTGAACTTGCAATCCTCCTGCCTCAGCCTCCGGAGCTAGTAAGATTATAGGCATGTGCCACCACCACGGCCCAGCCATTTCATAGCAGTTAATGTCTGAACCATATGAATGTACCTATTGCATTGTGGTCCATGCCTATAACACCAGCAACTGGGGATGTGAGGCAGGAAGTTTCCAAGTTTAAAGCTAGTCTAGGAAACTTAGCCAGAGCCTGTCTCAAAATAAAAAGGGTGGAGACTTAGCTCAGAAGTAGATTGTCCTGGGTTCAACTTCTGATTTTAAAAAAAAAAAAGCTACTATTTTTGAAAGAAATAAAAATAACTCAAACCACTACAAGTAAAATCTCATAGCAAATATTTAATCTTCTGAACTATTTTAGAAGTTCACTGCTAAATTACCACCTTGCTGAAAGCTCACACATCAAATATGAAAAAGAAAATTTGTATAATGGAATATAAAGTAAAAAACCCTGATATAGCACTAACAAGACCACAGTTAAATTATAAAATAAATGGTCTATATGTTAATGATCCCTTGTAATTCCTAAATAAAATGCTATAATTTAAGAATGCTATTAAGGGTTGGGGGTTGGCTCAATAGTAGAGGTTTGCCTAGCACTTGTAAGCCCTGGATTCAATTACTAAGACAGGAAAAAAAATTTAAAAAATTGAGAACCTTATTAAATTATGAAGAAAAGAAAAATCCTATCATATAAAATACTTACAGTGATTTATTCTTCAGGTCAACATTTCTTTCTCCTGTTCTAATTTCAACTTCTGATGGAGGCAAATCTGAAGTGCTTAATTCTGAAAACTCAGTTGCTACTGGCATGGTATCTTGTTGATTACTAAGGAAATGAAGACACATTAGCAAAAAAAAAAAAAAAAAATCTAGTAATACATTATTTCATACTATTTAAAAAATTTTTAATAGATAACACCAATACTTTGGAAAATTATCCCTCATTATGGAATAAGCACAAGCTATGCTGGCTTTTCTATGATACTTCTTGCATAATGTTATAAAGACCTGTACCTTCAGAGAAAGTAACCACCACATACCACCAATAGGCTTGGGAGAACTCAAGAAGTGCCAAAATCAAAAACTATAATTCAAAGGGATTCACAAATCAAATGTGTGTGTAAAATTATAATGATATTTAGGAATTAGTTTTCATTAAAATTTTATATAGGCAGTCCTTGCTTTGCATGGGACTGTTAACCAAAAGTCATATAAAATGAGGACACAGTTTCCAAAAGCACAAATTGCAGTTATTAACACTACTATGGAAAGCAAAGATTATTTTTTATTATGAAATATATCAACTAACATAGTCACACATTACCTAGCACTGTTTCAACACATATTTAGTCTTTTTATTTTATTTATTTTTTTGCTTATTTTTTCTACTAGGTGTTTCTCTTTTCCTGATGTATTATTAAGAGTTCATTAAGAGTTCTCTATAGGGGCTGAGGCTGTGGCTCAGTGGTAGAGCACTTGCCTAGCATGTGCGAGGTGCTGCATTTGATCCTCAGCACCACATAAAAATAAATATTTTTATTTAAAATAAAATAAAGGTATAAAAAATCACATCAATCTTTAAAAAAAATAAATAAGAGTTCCCTATATATTTTTATTGGCCAGCTATTATACCTAAACCTCCCAATCAATAGCTTGCCTTTTACTTTACTTATGGAGTCTTTGTTAATAGAAGTTATTTTTTCCCAAGTGTTAAGTAACCCTTAACATCGCAAAGATATTTCCCACATTTCTTCTAAAACCTTTAAAGATATTTTCTTATATGTGTAGTCCTTAATTCATCAGGAAGTTAAAATTTGACAGGGCAAAATAGGGATATAATATTATCTTTTTCATATCTCAGCACCACCTAATGAATAGTTAGTTTAATCTTTGCCCACTCATTTCTAAAGCGACCTCTGCCATAAAAGATTCCCAAATGTCTTTTCCTACATTAGACATTCAGTTCCACTGAATAAATCTGTCTATGCCTGTTATCAGTATCACAGTACTTTACTCTAGCTTTAGAATAACCCTTAATATATTCCCTCTCCACAGCTGTTTTTCAAAACTTTCTTTACCATTCATAACTCATAGCTTTTGCAAACAATTTTTCAATCAATTTACTGTTTTCCAAAACTTGTTGGGATTTTAACAGTTATTACAAGATTGTTGTTTTGTTCCTATAACAGAATAAGTCATAAGTATGGTTTTGTACATAATTTCTGAAATTAGTTTTATCTTTGAAGTCACACTTTAAATTATAAACTGAGAGCTAGGGGTATAGCTCACTGGTAAAGTGATTTCTTAGCATATGCGAAGCCTAGGGTTCAATCCCCAATACCTCAAAAAAAGAAAAAAAAATGAGGTCTAAACTGTCAACCAACAACAAACAACTGAGAAATAGTGTATAATTACACTGAAATGTAGTGTAGAAGTTCCTAGAACAGGTAGATTCATAAAGAGGAAAAGCAGATTAGAGATTACTAGGGTTTAGGGTAGATGGGAATTACTGCACAACTTAGAATTTTGGTTTGAAAATACAAAAAGGTTTTAGAAATGGTGATTGGTACACAAAAATGTAAGTATAGTTAATGCTACTGAACTATATGTTTAAAAATGGGTTCACACAGCCAGGCGAAGTAGTGTGGGAAAATATCTTTGCGATGTTAAGGGTTTCTTAACACTTGGAAAAAAATAACTTCTGTTAACAAAGACTCTATAAGTAAAGTAAAAGGCAAGCTATTGACTGGGAGGTTTAAGTATAATAGCTGGCAAAAAAAAATAGAGAGAACTCTTAGTGATAATCCCAGGGGCTTGGGAGGCTGAGGCAGGAGGATCACGAATTCAAAGCCAGTCTCAGCAACTTAGCAAGGCCCTAAGCAACTCAGTGAGACCCTGTCTCTAAATAAAATATAAAAAAGGACTGGGGATGTGGCTCAATGATTAAATGCCCTGGGATCAATCCTGGTACAACAACAAAAAAAAGTTAATATATCTAATATACCCACACACACACACATATACATATACACACATATATACATATACGCACGCATATATACATATTATATATATAAATTGGTATATACATATATGTGTGTATATATATATTTTTAAACCACAGTAGAGAAAAAGATAATAACTAAGAATATGAAAAAAACTCAATAATGAAAAGAACTCAAATCACAATTCCAAAAAGATCAGAGAATCCAAGCAGAATACATTTTTTAAAAAAGAAATCTTGAAAAAGAACAAAGCTAAAAATAATCAAATTTTAAAATGGACAAAGAATTTAACAGACATTATCCAAAGAAGAACTCCAATAGCTAAAAGGTATATGAAAAGGGGTACAATATCACTAATCATCAGGAAAATGAAAATCAAAACAAGGTATCACCTGTTAGGACGCTAGTTACCATAAAACTCAATAAAAGATTTTAAAAAAAAATAGTCACAGGATATATAAAAATGAACCCTTAATAATAAAAGTGTTGGTGGGAACATAAATTGGAATACCAGGTACTGGAAACAGTATGGAGAGTTCTTCAAAACACTAAAATTAGTCAGGCTCAATGGCACATGCCTATAATCCCAGTGACTCAGGAGGTTGAGACAGGAGGTTCACAAGTTTGAGGCCAGGCCCAGAAACTTAGCAAACCCCTAAGTAACTTAGCAAGACATTGTCTCAAAATACAAAACCAAAAAGGGCTAGGGATGTGGCTCAGTGTTTAAGCATCCCTGAGACCAATAAAAAAAAAAAAAAAAAGGAGAATTACCATATGATCCATCAATCCCAGTTCTGGAGTTCTTTTAATTAAATCAGGATCTCAAAAAAAAAAAAAAACTTTTTGCACTTTTATTTTCACTGCATAACTCACTAGTTAAGAGATGGAAACAACCCAACATGCAACTGAATATTATTCAGGCATAAAAAGTAAATTCTGCCATATGCACAACACAGATAAACCTTGAAAACTAAGTAAAGTAAGCTTGTAAACTAAGTGAAATAAGGCACTTTTATTAGGTCTCTAAAGCAATCAAACTCATGGAAACAAAATAGATTGGTGGTTGCCCAAGGCTGGGATGAGGAGAAAACGGGGAGTTGCCATCCAATGAATCGAGTTTCAAGAATGCAAGATGAAAAAAATGTCATAAGTCTGCTATACTATACTGTTCTTATAATTAACAGTACTGCATTATACACTTAAAAATTTCTTAAGAGGGGCAAGGGATGTAACTTAGTGGTAACAGCACTTGCCTAGACTGTACAAGGCTGTAGGTTTGACACCCACCCCCTCAAAAATAAACTACATTTTAGAACACACAAGATACGAAACATCACATTCAGTCTGATGAAACTAATAAAGAGAAAATCTTGTACCAATGCCAATGATCTGTATCCCCAGTCCCAAAAAGAAAATCTTTATAGAAAACAATAAGAGAGCGTAGGGCCCTGGGTTTGATCCCCAGCGTGTACACACACACACACACACACACACACACACACACACACACACGTATAAACCCATGCAGACACTAACCAAAAGAAGGCAAAAGTATTGTCAGAAAAAAAGATCTGAATCAGTCGATACCAGGCACAGTGCTGCAAGCCTATAATTCCACTACTCATGAGGCTGAGGAAGGAGGATCACAAGTTCAAAGTTAACTTTGGCAACTTCATATGAGCATGTCTCAAAATGTTTAAAAAATTAAATAAAAAGAGCTGAGGTGGGCTTGGGTTGTGGCTCAGTGGTACAGCGCTCGCCTAGCATGTGTGACACCCTGGGTTAGATCCTCAACACCACGTAAGATAAATAAGCAAAGATATTGTGTCCATCTACAATTGAAAAAAAAAAAATAAGTAAGAAAAAAGAAAAGGACAAAGGGGAGGGAGGAGAAGGGAGGAGGAAAGAAGGTAGGAATGATGGTATAATGACTTAGACATCATTACCCTAAGTACATGTAGGTAGACACAAATGGTGTGAAAACACTTTGTGTACAATCAGTGACTTGAAAAATTGTGCTCTATATGTATAATATGAAATGAATTGCATTCTGCCATTGTGTATAACAAATTAGAATAAATAAATTATTTCATAAAAAAAAAAAAAGATGGGCTGGGGATGTGGCTCAAGTGGTAGCTCGCTTGCCTGGCATGCGCAGGGTGCTGGGTTCAATCCTCAGCACCACATAAAAATAAAATAAAGATGTTGTGTCCACCAAGAACTAAAATATAAATATTTAAAAAAATTCTCTCTCTCTCTCTCTCTCTCTCTCTCTTTAAAAAAAAAAAGAAAAAAAGAAAGAAAAAGGAAAAAAAAGGGATGGGGAAGGTACATTGATGACTTAATAGCTTTTTCTTCCTAGGTAGACTCATTTAGAATGAAAGTGATTATTTAGAAACCCATTTCATTCTAAGTAAATGTCTTTAACCTAGGAAAATAAAACAGCAACTTCTGGCTACCTCCTGGGGAAAAAAAAAAGTCGGGGATGCTGGAGGTGTAGTTCAGTTGTAGAATATTCCTTGGTTCAATCCCCTAGTACTGAAAAAGAGAGAGGAAAGGGGGGCGGGGCAGTAGAAGACAGTATATAATAAGAGATTTCAGCAAGATGATACAGTATTTATGCAACTAACAACAAAGCTTCAAATAAATGACATAAAAACAAACAGAACTATGCTGGGTACACTGGCACACATCTGTAATCCCAGCAACTTGGGAAGCTGAAGGAGGACTGTAATTTGAGAACAGCCTCAGAATCTTTCTCAGACCAGCCAGACCCTGTGTCAAAATCAGATAAAAAGTGGGGCTGGGGATATGGCTCAAGCGGTAGTGTGCTAGCCTGGCATGCGTGGGGCGCTGGGTTCGATCCTCAGCACCACATAAAAATAAAATAAAGATGTTGTGTCCACCGAAAACTAAAAGAAAAAATTCTCTCTCTCTCTAAAAATCAATCAATCAATCAATCAATCAGATAAAAAGGGCTGGGGATATAGTTCACATAGTACACTGGTAGAGTACCTCCAGATTCAATTCCCAATACCATTTAAAAAAATAAATAAATAAATAAACGAAAAAGAGAAATACAAATCTCCAATTACAGTTAGAGAATTCAACACTACTCTCTCATCAAAAGATGAGATAAAGCCAGTGAAGATATAGAAAATACCTTTCTGAAAGGACAGGGTCAGCTCTCTTCTCAACTTTTTCACCAGACGCTAAACTCACAATGTCATCTCTGTTCTGTGCACAGGGAAGCTTCTGTTCCTTATTGCTTTCACCTTCATTTACTTCAGGCCTTGAAGATGGACTTTTACCTATGAATATAAAGTGCATGTATTTCTAAAAAAATTACAGCAAAAACACAAACACCTTCTTTCATATATATATATATATATATAAATATACAGATATATTAATATTAATATACATACATATATATTTTAGTTATAGGTAGACACAATAATACCTTTATTTTATTTTTATGTGGTGCTGAGGATCGAACTCAGTGCTTCACGCATGATAGGTAAGCATTCTGCCACTGAGCCATAACCCCAGCCCAAACACCTTCTTTTTTAAAACTACAAAAATATTTACATGTAAGACTCTTTTTTACCCATAAAACAATTCAATCAACATTCAACTTCTTATGTGTAAGACACGATCTTATTTTAGAACGTAATGAAAATTTAATCAACTCACAATGGTTTGTGTTTTGAATATCAGCCCAAGTTCCTGGGAAGTTTGTAGCATTTTCCCTTATCTTTCTGGGAATTTTTTTTTTTGGTACCAGGGACTAAACCCAGGACGTCTTAACCACTGAGCCATATTTCCAGCCAATTTTATATACATATATACATATTTTTTTTTTTTTTGAGACACAAAATCAGATAAAAAGGACTGTGCTTCAAGTATCTTATGGCCTTGTCAAATTGTTGCTGCTGGCCTTAAACCTGGGATCTTCCTACCTCAGCCTCCTGAGTTACTGGATTACAGGCATACACCACTATACCCAGCATCTTTCTTAAATTTTAAGTGGTTAATGACTTGCTTTATTATGTCTTGTTGGGAAGCTAAAAGTGGACTTGGTTGTTCTTTTGTTCCTTCAGAAGTGTAATAATTAATAATAAGGTAACAGCTACCATTTACTTACTAAAAAGCAAGAATGCAAGTCTATCAGATGTATTATCTCACTTAATACTCAAAAATCCTATTAAAAGGTATCATTGTTAACCCATGATAGAGAAGAACTATCTGAGTTCAGATATATTAACTGACAGTCCAATGTCAAGAGCTAGAATAAAAATACAAGAACTAGCATTAAAAAACAAAGTCTGTTTAACTTCTAAAATCTGATATCTTAATCAGTAATCTTTCCTGCTTTATAAGCAATGTCTCTTGTAACAGCAACAAAAAAGCATAATGTTAGGCTTATAAAATCATACTACTTTAACTACCAGAATTAATTTATTAAAATCATATTAGTGAAGATGAACTGCATGATATTTAAATTCTATAAAATGTTGTTCTGGTCTGCTACAACTTTTTCTTCCTGTCTTTACTTGATTTTATTTTTTCATGTTGGGGATTAAACCCAGAGCCTACAGATGCCAAGAACAATCTCCTGAGTCTCTGGATTACAGGTATGTGCCACCATGCCTGACTGCTTTTCTCTTTTTTTTTAACAATAAATTTTTTTCATTTAATTAAAAATAAAAGGGTGCTTGCTTTGATAGCACATACACTAAAAACAGGAACAATACAAAGAATATTATCATCGACCCTATACATGAATGACATGCAAATTTGTAAAGCATTCTGTATTTGAAAAATAAATTTTAAAAGATAAAAATGCTTAACACAGGAGCTGGGGTTGTGGCTAAGCAATAGAGCACTCAAAATATATATATATATATTACAAAAGGCTGGGGGCTGGAGTTGTAGCTCAGTGGCAAGAGTGCTTGCCTTGCATGTGTGAGGCCCTGGGTTCCATCCTAAGCACCACATAAAAATAAATAAATAAAAATGAAGATATTGTGTTCATCTACAACTTAAAAAAAAAACAGCGCTCATCTAGCACTTGCCAGGCGCTGGGTTGGATTCTCACCACTGTATATTAATAAATGAATAAAATAATGGTCCATCAACATCCAAAAAAAATTTTTTTTAAATACCTAACACAGTACTATCAGTACAGATCAGTTAACAAGCCAGGTACAGTAGCATATACCTACAATCCCAGCAACTAGGGAGGCTGAAGAAGAAGAATTATGAATTCAAGGCTAATCTCAGCAACTTAGTGAGACCCTGTCTCAATAAGAGAGACTAAGGACATGGGTCAGTGATAAAGAGCCTCTGGCTTCAATTCCCAGTACCAAATAAATAAAAACATACATACATACATACATAAATAGCATTGTTCAATCTATCCAAAAGAAAAGTACCTGTTATATATCACATTATTGTACGTCTTAAAGTAATATAAGGCTATTAAAATGCATAAGAAACTTACTCTTGTGTTTTTCTTCTTTAAAAGGGACTGACTGAACACTGGAATTTCCTAAAAGAGTTTTCACTTCCTGTTCATTAGCATCATCTTGATTCTTCCTTCTCTTTTTCTTTTCATTTCGGTCTTGTTCTAATACAACTTGTTCTAAATCTTGTCCTGATAAAGTCAGAGACTCTTCTTCAACTGTCTGAGCATCCTCCTGAGTATCTGAAATATTAGTACTCCCAGACTCATCGGGATCATCATTTACTCCTTCACTAGTAACTTTTCTCACTGAAAATAAGTGAAATAGTGATAAATATATAAACAACCTACAAAAAAATTATTAAAGGTAGAGAAAATAAATACTCAAGGATATCCTCTATAATACTATTTACGTGAACAAAACTAAAATATTCAAAAGGGAATAACCAAATAAGTTACAATACATTCATGATTTAAAAATCCATGCAGAGATGGGCTGGGGGCATAGTTCAGTAGAAGAACACAGGTAGAATACGGCCAGACATGGCGGCAGATACCTGTAGTCCAAGCAATAGGGAAAGCTGAAGCAGGAAGATCCCAAGTTTGAGAATAATCTCAGTAATTTAGTAAGACCCGGTTCCCAAAATTAAAAATAAAAAAGGCTAGGAATGCAGTTCAGTGGTACAGTACCACTGGATTCAATCCCCACTACCAAAAAAACATCCATATAGAGTGTAGCTCAATGATAAAGCACATACTCAGCATGCACAAGGCCCTGGGTTCAAACCCTAGCACCACATAAACACGAAATAATCCACAAAAGCAATAACAAGATGGGTTCATATACAGTAAAGTGAAAGATTTCAAAACATACTGTTGTATTTAAAAAAAAAATCAAATGACAGAAATGTGTATATTTCTAATTCCATTTTTATTAATAAAACATACATCTTTAGATAAGCACATATATATGAACAGAAAAATGTTTATAACAGGTGGGAGAGAGTGTTAAAAATTTAATCTTCAGCGAGGTGGGCTGGTGCACACCTGTAATCCCAGTGGCTTGGGAAGCTGAGACAGGAAGATCACAAGTTCAAAGCCAGCCTCAGCAGTGGCAGGGCACTAAGCAACTCAGTGAGACCCTGTCTCTAAATAAAATACAAAATGGAGCAGGGGATGTGGCTCAGTGGTTGAGTGCCCCTGAGTTCAATCCCCCTAGTTCAATCAAACTCTACCACTGAACTACAATCCTAGCCTTTTTTATTTTTAATTTTGGGACAGGGTCTTGCTAAATTGCTGAGATAATTCTCAAACTTGGGAGCCTCCTGCTTTAGCCTTCCATATTGCTTGGACTACAGGTCCAAGTGTGCCACCATGCCTGGAAAAATCTATATGGATTTTTCTTTTGAAGGGGGGAGTATTTTTTGCTTTTGTAATGCTAGGGATTGAACTAGAATCTTGCCCATGGTAGTAGACAGGTGTTCTAAATTAAAAAAGAATTTAATCTTCACTCATTTGTGCTTTTTTCATATTTTTTATTAGTACATTGATTGTATAGAATGGTTGAATCTGTTGTTACATATTCATACACACACAATATAAAAATATAATTTGGCCAATATCATTACCCAGTATTTTCTCTTTCCCTCCTCCCCTCCCTCTTCCAGATCACTTTCCTATACTCTATAGCTGATATTACTTTGATTTTTGTGAGACCAATCCTCCACATATTTTTTCCTTTTTCTCTGTTTTTCAACAAACAACAACAAATATGTGTGCATGTATGTGTGTGTGTGTGTCTGTGTGTAAATAACACAAGGTCCCCCACATGCACACTTTTTTTTTTTTTTGAGATAAAAGTTGCTTAGGGCCTTACTAAATTGCTAAAACTGGCTTTGAACTTGCAATCCTCCTGCCTCAGTCTCCCAAGCCACTGAGATACAGGAGTGTGCCACTACCCCCAATTCAAAGAAAAATATTTTTAACAAATATTTGAAAATAATTGCTAGTGCCCTGCCTACTAGCAATTTTATGCAGTAGACATATTAATAGTCAACTGTATAAAATATGTGAAAACATGAATTATTTTTTAATTATTTCAAAAGATTAAAATGAAAAAATAATAGAGATCACCATGAAAATAGTATGTTTGGTTTGAATATCCTCAAAAAACTCAAGTTGAAATTTAATTGTCACTGTAACAATTCATGAGTTGGCATCTTTATGAGGAGATTAGACCAAGAGTGCTGTCCTCACAGAAAAATTAATAACCAGTATTGAGAGGAGCCAAGTTCATTCCCCTCTTGCTTTCTTTCTTTGACCTTCTACCATGTGATGAAGGAGCAAGAAGGCCCTTGCCAGATGACAGGTGCCTTGATCTTGAGCTTCTCAGCCTCTTGAGCTATGAGAAATAAATTTTGGTTCTCTATGAATTACTCAGACTCAGGTATTCTGTTACAGCAGCACAAAACAGACACCCAACCCAAGAGCAAATTTAACTTCAAAACCATGGTTGATCAGATATTTTCTTTAAAAATATCCAATCCCAAAATATAATAAAATTCAATTTCATTCACTTACATTTTTTAAAAAGTGAAAATAAACCAGGCATGGTGGTGTATGCCTATAATCCCACAGACTCGGAAGGTTGAGGCAGAATAATTGCAAATTCAAAGCCAGCTTCAACAACTTAGCAAGGCCCTAAGCAATTTAGCAAGACACTGTCTCAAAAAAAGAAAAAGAGTGGGAGAGGGGCTGGGGATATGGCTCAAGTGGCAGCGTGCTCACCTAGCATATGTGAGGCACTGGGTTCGATTCTCAGCACCACATAAAAATAAAATAAAGATATTGTGTCCACCTAAAACTAAAAAATAAATATTTAAAAAAAAAAAAAGAGTGGGAGATATGGCTCAGTGGTAAAGCGCCTCTGGGTTAATTCTCTGGTACCAAAAAAAAACCCAGACTGTAAAAAAAGAAAAAAAAAGTGAAAAGAAGATTTCAAAATTGAGAAAAAACACTTGATTGATTCACTTGATTTATTCAGTCAAAATAACCACAAATTTCTAAATTTTGAGTTATAATAATGTATCTTTAAAAATTCTTACATTAAATAAGACACAGTGAGTTATGCGTGCTATTTACATGAAAATCAAAGAAGAATTAATACATCTTAATCTCCTAAAGCTAAAAATAGTAAGTTTAAAAACATTTCTTTGGCTAATAAATGAAATATGAGCTGGGCACAGTGGCATACACCTGTAACCCCAGCTACTCAGGAGACTGAGGCAGGAGGAGATCACAAATTCAAAGATCAGCCTGGGAAACTAAGCAAGACCCTGTCTCAAAATGAACTTTAAAAAAAAAAACAAAGTCTTGAGGGTATGCCTCAGTGGTAGAGCACTTGCCTAGCATGCACAAGACCTTACATTCAATCTTAGTGCTACCAGAAGAATAAAGTAACTTCAGTTATCAAAGATAGAGGTACCATACTCTAGAAAAAGAAATTCTAGATTGGCTTTGTACAGAGAAGAGTTAATACAACAGGTTTCACTGTCATCTTCTGAAAGGTCTGCTTAGGAGTTGGCTATTGGACCATGTCCGGGATGATGGTCTGGGGAAGGTTTCTATTACTCTAATTGATAAGAGTGGCTTGCTGTGCCTAAACTGTTTGTACAGATAACATGGTTTATGATGAACTTTCTTCCTTTTGGTAGTCTGGAATTTTGGTATATGCCAGACATAGGGTGCTGAAAACTGTTAGTCCTCCTAACCAATAACAAAATGTGGTGGTGGTCTTGCAGACCTCCACCACAGGCTCTCACAATTCTACCTTGAATCCTACCTCTGCCCCCATCTTAAATTCTGAGAGCATAGGAATGTAGGATCTTTGGGGCTGTTTTTCAGTGATTAAAACAATGGAAAGGGGCCTGGGATGTGTTTCAAGCTTCTTTAAATTATGTGATTATAGCTGAACATCATTCTTAAGAGTCCAGAGTTGAAAGGTTTAATAAAATAAAAGCCTAAAAATAGAAATACCCACACAAATGCAATTTTCTTCCTGGTACAAGTCACTGTCAACCTTCAGAAATTAAACTATGCTCAAAGAATACAAGATAGTCACAACCCCAAAAATATTAGAGTTCTACCCTTTTTTTATATATATTTTTTTTAGTTGTCAATTAACCTTTATTTATTTATTTATGATGCTAAGGAGCAAACCCAGGGCCTCACACATTCCAGGCAAATGCTCTACACTGGGACACAACCCCAGCCCTGAGTTCCACTTTTTAAATATTATAATTTTACAACATATTTGTTTTATAGAACAATAATAATAAATAACCAAACACAGAACATGACACTTAAAAATCTCTGATGCTCTTTGATTAACCAGAAAAATTTGTTAACTGCCAGAATGATGTCAAGTAGCCCAATCATGACAATTATAAAATTTTATAAGGAACTGCTGTTTTGACCCACTCAACTGGCTGAGTAAAGAAAAACTAAGTCTGTCCAATTGGATTCCCTCATGATCTCAACTACCTGAGCTGTACCTAAATTCTCAATTCCTGAGAGACAATATTGAAAGTTCATTATTAATAAGTAAAACTGAACACTTTCTTATAAAATTAATACCTTTTACATTTTTCCGTGGTTTGGAGGATTTCTTCTCCTTTAAATTCTGACTTTTACTGGATTTTTGTTTTCTTTTCTCTTCCTCAGCAAGAACTTTCTGAAGCAAATGAGCAAAAAAATCGAAGTCAAAAGGACGCTTTTCCTCTGTTTAAAAAAAAAAAAATGGAAAAGAACCTTCAAGTATTTATTTTTTTAAAAAAAGAAGAAGAATTTCTGGTTTTTAAAATAGCACATTAGCAAAAGCAAGTTTATTTACCAGCAAAATAATGGATAAACAAGTACATAACAGACCATGTAGAAAGGAAAAAACTATTAGTTTAAAAATTAAAAAAAAGAATTAGTGATATAAGCAACAAAATGAGTTAATTTCAAAAACAGGGAGTAAAAGAAACCAAGCACAAAACAGTACATACTATAGGATTCCATGAATAAAATATTCTGGAACATTCTAAACTAACCCATGGTGATTCAAATGAAGAGTGGTTACTTGGGGTCAAGAGGACAGAATTTAATTGATTGAAAGGGAACCAACTGACCTTGTTAAGCAATAAAAAGTTCCATCTTAAAAAAAAAAAAAAAGGTCCATACATGTTTGGGGTGGTGATTACATACATATTATTTGTCAAAATTTGAACTACACTTTTAACTATGTGTAAACATGTCTGGTTCTTTTTTTTTTTTTTGGACAGCAGAAACTGAACCCAGTAGCATCTAACCACTGAGCCACATCCCCAGTTCTTTTATTGTTAATTTTGAGACAGGTCTCACTAAGTGGCTTAGAGCCTTGCTCAGTTGCTGAGACTGGCCTCAAACTTGCCATCCTCCTGCCTCAGCCCCCCTTCATTCGCCGCCCCAGCCACTGGGATTACAGGCATGTGCCACCATGCCCAGCTATAAATTGACATTTTTGGGAGGGCGGGGAGGGTAACCAGTGATTGAACTCAGGGGCACTCAACCACTGAGCCACATCCCCTGCCCTATTTTGAATTTTTTAAATTTAGAGACAGGGTCTCACTGAGTTGTTTAGCACCTTGCTTTTGCTGAGGCTGGCTTTAAACTCACAATCTTCCTGCCTCAGATTCCCAAACCTCTGGGATTACAGGCTTGTGCCAACAAGCCCAGCTATAAATTGATGTTTTAATTTGTTTTAATTAATTATACATGACATTAGAATGCATTTATGCACTTGGATTTATCATACATAGATGGGATATAATTTCTCATTTTTCTGAGTGTACACATTGCAGAATCGTATTGGTTGCAGTCACATATATACATACAGTAATAATATCTGTTTCATTCTACTATTTTTCCTATCCTCACATCCTCTCCTCTCCCCTCCCATCACTTCCCTTTACCTAATCTAAGGTAATAACTATTCTTCCTTAGTGTCCCCACCCTATTGTGAATTAGCATCTGCATATTAGAGAAAACATTCAGCTTTTGGTTTTGTGAGATTGGCTTATTTCATTTAGCATGATATTCTCCAAATCTAACCATTTACTGGCAAATGCCATAATTTCACTCTTCTTTAAAGCTGAGTAATATTCCATTGAGTATATACACCACATTTTCTTTATCTATTCATCTATTGAGGGACACCTAGGTTGGTTCTAGCTATTGTGAATTGAGCTGCTATAAACATTGATATAGCTTCATCACTATAGAATGCTGATTTTAAGTCCTTTGGGTATAAACCAAGAAGTGGGATAGCTGGGTCAAATGGTGGTTCCATTCCCAGTTTTCTAAGGAATCTTCACACTGCTTTCCATAGTGGTTGCACCAATCTGCAATCCCACCAGCAATGTATGAGTGTACCTTTTTCACCACATCCTCACCAACATTTTTTTTAATATCTTTATTTATTTATTTTTATGGGGTGCTGAGGATCGAACCCAGGGCCTCCTATGTGCTAGGCAAGCACTCAACCGCTAAGCCACAATCCCAGCCCTCACCAACATTTATTGTTGCTTATATTCTTGATGATTGCCATTCTGACAGGAGTGAGATGAAATCTTAAGAGTAATTTTGATTATACCTACAGCCAAAGAGGATTATTTTTTAGCCTCTTCAAATGATATTTTGTAAAAGAGGTCAGAAATACTTACGAAATGCTTTGTCTATTCTCCATCCATTTGTCTTTTCTTCACGTTTAAATTTATTCTGTTAAGAGAAACAAAACTTATAGTAATTTTCACCCATTAAATGAGTAAAGGTTATTTTTAAAATTAGCAAACATTAAAATAAAACTGTTATGAATAACATACTATTCTCTACTAATTGAATATGCCTTCACTAAAAGGCAAGTTAAAGTTCACTTTTTTAAAATGAGGATGAAAGGTTTATACTAAGTTTCTGATCCTGCTCCTCCTCCTTATTGTTATTTCTCAAATTAAAAAATAAAAGAATTAGGGATATGGATCAGGAGCTGAGTGTCCCTGGGTTAAATCCCCAATAGCAAAATAATAGTAATAATAATAGTAAGGAGGAAGAGGAGAAAGAGAGGAAGAAGAGGATGCTGAGGCAGGGCTTAGAATATAGCTCAAGGCAGAGTGCTTATCTAGAATGCTCAAGACTCAGGCTTTTATCCCTAGCATCACAAAAAAAAAAAAAAAAAAAAAAAACCCACAAGACAAAAACCAACAGGGTTGAAATAAGAACATTTTGGTAACTGAAAGCAGAGAAATTTTTTCAATAGCAGAGTACTGGGCTGGGGTTGTAGCTCAGTGGTAGAGCACTTGCTTAGCATGTGTGAGGTACTGGGTTCAATCCTCAGCACCACATGAAAAATAAAGAAAGAAAATAAAGGTATTGTGTCCAGCTACAACTAGAAATATTAAAAAAAAAAAAAAAAAAAAAAAAGGTAGAGTACTCATTCAGAACTACAGGAAAAAATGAAAATCACCAGAGCCAGGCAGGAACATGATTGTAACCCAGCAACTAGGGAGGTTGTGACAAGCGGATTACAAATTCAAAGCCAGCCTCTGAAATTTAGTGAGGCCCTCAGAAACTCAAAATACAAAGGGCTGGGGATATAGCTAAGTGGTCAAGTACCCCTGGGTTTAATCCCTAATACCAAAACAAAGAAAAAAAAAAGCACTAGGAAAGGTAAATATGTACTCAATATATTGAAGACTAACTTTGTTTTTCTATTCAAATTTCTTAAAAACTAAAGACTCCCTTTTTTTTTTTTTTTTTGGCAGTACTAGGAATGGAAGCCAGGACCTCACACATGCCAGGCAAGTGCTCTGTTAACACTGAGTACATCCTCGGTCCTTTTTTATTTTGAGACAGGGTTCTGCTAACCTGCCCAAGCAAGCCAGTTGCAATCCTCTTATTGTAGCCTCCTAAAGCATTAGGGTTCAACATACCCAACAAAAAGTATACTGTAGAATCATTAAATTCATTATAAGATGGGGTTTATAAGGCATGTAGAAGTAAAAAAGGACTTTAAAGATCATAGCACAGGGATTGGCAACAAATAAAAGTACATTTGTGAGAGGGTTTTTTGTTTTTGTTTTTTGGTACTGGAGATTAAAGGCAAGAAGGGTTTATCACTGAGCTATATTCCAGTCCTTTTTTTTAATTATTATTTTACTTTGAGATAGGGTCTCACTAAGTTATCCAGGATAGTCTCAAACTTGTAAACCCCTGCTTCAGCCTCCAAAATAACTAGGATTAGAGGTATGTGCTACAGCACCCAGCAAGAGGTTATTATTTGTGTAAGCCAACCTCAGAAAATCAAGAATCAAATGTTTCTATCATATGTGGAAGCTAGAGCAAAAGAAGAGAATGAAGGAGAGGAAGATCAAATATCCTAAAGATTTAAGGATGATCAGTAGAGTAGAAGAAGGAAAGAGGGAGGGAGAAGTGAGGGGAAGGGGGAGGAAATGTGGAAGGAACTTTAAAAAATAGTACTATGTGCACATATACCAAGGGAATTTCACCCTTATATTTAAGAAGAAAGAACCAATCAAAACTAAATAAAATAGATAAGCAAAAGGAAGACCTGTAGACTACAGGAAGGAGGATAGGGGGAGGGAACAGGAGAAGAAAGAGAACAGGAACTAAAAACAAATTCTATGTATGTACAATTTTTTGTCAGAATGAACTCAACTACTATGTATAACTATAATGCTCTAATTAAAAAAAAAATAAAAAAGTTGTTGGGCATGGTAGCACACACTAGTAATCCCAGAGACTCAGGAGGCTGAGGCTGAGACAGAAGGATGGCAAGTTAAGGTGAGCCTTAAAACCCTGTTTCAAAAATAAAAAATAAAAAGGGTTGGGATTCTAGCTCAGTGACTAAGCACTCCTGAATTCAATACCTTGTACAAGAAAAGGTTATTATCTGTTAAGTATAAAGTAAAAAGAGAAAAATGATATAACAGATAAAATAGATTTGATTAACCCAAAAGAAAATAGAAAAAAGGAATTTAAAAACTGAGATAGAAGCTGGGCATGGTGATGCATGCCTATAATCCCAGTAGCATGGGAAGCTGAGGCAGGAGGATCATGAGTTCAAAGCCAGCCTCAACAAAAGTGAGGCACTTAGCAATTCAGTGAGACCCTGTCTCTAAATAAAATACAAAATAGGGCTGGGGATGTGGCTCAGTGGTTGAGTGCCCTGGAGTTAAATTCCTGGTAACAAAAAAAAAGCCAGGATATAGCTCAGTGGCAGAGCACTTGCCTCACATGTTGGAAATCCAAGTTTCAAACCCCAGTACCATCAAAGGAAAGAAAAAGTTAACCCTGACATTAACACAAATTGACTGATTGCAAAGACTTGTATATGGATAAGGGGGAGGAGGGAGAGAAAACAAACTCTCAAACAAGGTTATTACCATAGATCCTACAAACATTAAAATGATAATGAGCCAGGCCTAGTGGTGCACACCTGTAATCCCAGCAGCTCAAGAGGCTGAACCAAGGATTTCAAGTTCAAAGCCAGCCCTGACAACTTAGCAAAGCCCTAAGAAATGTAGCAAGATCTTATCTTAAAATAAAAAATAAAAAAGGGCTGAGGATATGGCTCAGTGATTAAGTGACTCTGGGTTCAATCCCCAGTACTAAAAGGAAAAATAAAGATAAATAAGTAATGAGATAGCATGAAATCTGATGCCTGTAGCATTAAAACTGTTATAAATTGAAACTTTTCTTTTTTTTAAGGATAGGGTCTAATTGTAAATTCCTAGGCAAAATCAATTCTCCTGCCTCAGTCTCCTAAATATGGGAAGACAGGCACATGCCATTGTGCCCAGTTGAAACTGAAAATCGGAATGCCCTAAATGATACTTTAAAAATTGAATTTATAATCTAAAGTCTTCCTCCAAAGAAAATCACCTGATTAGATGATTTTACTAGTGAATTCTATCAAACATTAAAGGAGAAATAATATTAATCTTAAATTCTTTCAGAAAACAGACAAGGGAACATTTTCCAACACATTTTCTATAATCCTTATACCAAAATAAGACAAAGACATTTTTAAAAAATTACAAGGGGGAATGGGGTTGTGGCTCAGCAATAGAGTGCTCGCCTAGCACAGGTGAAGCCCTGGGTTCGATCCTCAGCACCACATAAATAAGTAAGCAAGTAAATAAATAAATAAAGTATTGTGTTCAACTACAACTAAAAAATATATATAAAAAAAATTATAATGACTCAGAAGTAGAGCACACACTTAGCATGTAGAAGGCCCTGAATTCAATCCCCAGCATTTCAGAAAAAAAGGAAACAAACCAAAAAAAATACAAACCATTAACCAATATTCTTCTCATGAACAAAATTAGAAAAAAATCTCAAAATGAGCTGGGCATGGTGGCACATGCCTGTAATCCCAGGGACTTGGGAGGCTGAGACAGGAGGATTATAAGTTCAAAGTCAGCCTTAGCAATTTAGCAAGGTCATAAGCAACCTACTAAGATCCTGTCTCAAAATAAAGAATAAAAAGGGGTGGATATATGGCTCGGTGGGTTAAGCACCACTGGCTTCAATTTCTGATACCAAAAAAAAAAACCAGAATAAGCAGTTTCTGATCTCTTGAAGAAATGCAGTAATGTAGTGAGGAAGAATATTTCATCATACTGTACAATGCACCTTACATAATGTGCCCAGGCAACCAATCAATGTCTAATCTGGTTCTAGAGGGAAAAATGATCTTTCCCCTATTGGCAATTTTTTATTAATGTAATGAATATGATAAGGTGGGAAATGAAGGCCAAAGACCATGACTGGGTAATGTACTACAGCAACAGAGTAATAGCATGCAGAGGCTCTCCAATTCAGGAAACATGTATGAAGAAAAAGTCCTCCCAGGAATGTTACAGCTATAATTGACATCACTGCTACTGCTAACAATGCCATTCTTTTCTTTATGCTGTCCTAGAAAATTTAGTAATATATTTTGTGTTCCAAAGGCTACTCTTAAGGATAGGGATAGAGCTCAATAGTAGAGCTCTTGCCCAGTATGCACAAGGCATTAATTTAAATCCCCTCCATTACCCCCAAAAACGGTGTTCTTATATATTTATCTTCTCTTTTCATTCACTGTCCAACTCTTAATTAATTTCAGTAACTTTACTAGTACACCCTCAAGTCCATGAGAAACTTGATCAAATACATGAGAGACTTGATCAAATTAAGTAGAGTAATACTAAAAAAGATTTTACCAATGATAGAATTGAGAAATATTGCTTTACTTTTCAGGCGATAAAGGGAAAATGTAACATAAACATCACTGTGAAAAATCAAGAATTATGAATAAAACCAAAGTTAAAAAAAATTTAGCAACTTTTGAGTTTTTCTAATCAACAAATATTATGAGTTTACTTTACCTTAATTTCTATCCTTGCTCTGTGAGGAAACAGTTGTCCAATCATTGAAAAGTCAGTTCCTACCATGCTAATGGCTAAAAAGAACATATCTGTTTCTGTAAAAATTAGATAGAGAATCATTAAAAAGTATTTTCAGAGGAAAGAAATCTTACATAGCACATATTATGAGTTAAAAATAAATTCCACAGTACTTTCTTATTGAAAAAAGAGTCATGGAATATCTAAACAAATATCTTGAAACATTAAAAGGGGGGGTGGGTAGAATAAGAAATTTTTATGCTCATACCAAACCAGCCAGATTTTTTTTTTTTTGGCACAGAGGCTTGAATCCATGGGTGCTTTAACACTGAGCCACATTCCCAGCCTTTTTTATTTTATTTTACACTGACTTTATTTATTTTTTTGTGGTACTGAGGCTCAAACCCAGTTTGTCACACATGCTAAGCAAATGTTCTACCACTGAGCTACAACTCCAGCCCTTATTTTTTATTTTGAGACAGGGTATCCCTAAGTTGCTTAGGGCCTTGCTAGGTTGAGGCTGGCCTTGAATTTGCAATCCTCCCATTTCAGCTTCCCAAGTCTCTGGGAGTATAGTCATGCTCCACTGCACCCAGACAGAATTTTTTAATAAGACATTGTTCTCTGGTCTCATTCAAAACACCTTGAAGAAAACTGTCAGTCATAGCCAGAAACGGGTATGTGTGCAACTAAGACTTCCTAAGTCCTACATAAAAAATTAGCTAAAAAAAAAAAAAAAAAAAAAATACATGAGAAACTTGATACAAGTCACCTCAGGAGAATAGGAATAGGGTAGTCAGAGAAAGGAAGTAAAGACTCTTTCCTTCTGCTCTATATCCTTCTGTCTTGATTGAATTTCTTCCCAAAACTCTATTGTTTATATAATAAAAAGTAAATAATAAGCATCACCATGCAATAGGTACTATATACTTTAACAGCCTAATTTTTATCTATAATAACTTTAGGGGGCTGGGGATATAGTTCAGTGGTAGCATGCCTAGCACGCATGAAGTCCTTGGTTCAACTCCCTAGCACACAGGAGGGGGGAAAAAAATAGAATCTTTACTAGATAAATTATCTTAAGTAGAATATCATGACCATTAGAAATGTTGATTTTTTTTTCATTTAAATGGTATTTCTTTGTAGTAGAATTTGACACAGGAAGATATCAGACAAAATGACCAAAGAACTAATTCTTCAAAAGATTTCTAATTTAAAACCAGGAAGGGTTGGGATTGTGGCTTAGCGGTAGAGCACTCACCTCGCATGTGCGAGACCCTGGGTTCAATCCTCAGCACCACATAAAAATAAATAAGTGAAATAAAGGTATTGTGTCCAACTACAACTCAAAAATAAACATTTTAAGAAAACAAACCCAGGGATATAGTTCCACAGTAGGAGCAGGTGGGAGGTGTCAATAAAATTTGCTGGACAGAAAACAACATGGTAGTTTACATTTCACTTAGCTTAAGAGAGATTTGATTTAAGCCAGAAATATAGTTTATTTCAAGTAACTTACTTAAACAATTTTTAATGAAAACTTGTTACCTTTATTGGACCATGGCTTAGAATAATAATTTTTTCTAAAGCTGGAATATGTAGTTGTAGAACCACGCTCAAATATAGGATCATTTTCCTCAACAACACAGGGGCCTTTTGTCCTTAAAACTTCTACAGTTAAACTGAAAGAAACACATTTTCAAACAGAGCCAAAATAAAAACAAGTAAAAAGACAAATAGTAGATGAGATTTAAACAGCTATACTTTAGAAGTATACTATGCATTTGAACAAAAATGACAATAATATGTATTTGAAATACATAGATATTCAGACATACATACTTACTAACGAATTGTTATTTATAATGTGATTACCAAGAAGTATAAATAAGTACCGATCTGTTTCCAAAATCCACAGTAATAATATAAAATTGAGAAAATAACTTTGGGGCAACTAAGCTAGGCATGGTAGCATACACCTGTAATTCCAACAACTCAGTAACCTAAAGTAAAAGGATCACTACTTCGAGGCCAGCAATTTAGTGAGATCCTATTCCAATATAAAATAACTAGGGATATATCCCATGGCAGAGTAACCCTGGATTCAATCTCCAGTATCAGAGAAGGAAAAAAATAAAAGGCCAGCTATAGGGTCACACACCTGTAATCCCAATGGCTTGGGAGGCTGAGGCAGGAGGATCATCAGTTAAAAACTAGCTTCAGCAACTTAGCAATGCCCTAAGCAATTTAGCAAGACAATATCTCAAAAGAAAAAAATAAAAAGGGCTGGGGATGTGGCTCAGTATTTTTGAGGCACCTAAAAAATATTTTTTGTTGCCTTCTGTATGCCTCTTATAGGCTATACATATTGATTATGCTAGGCATTATGAGAATATTGATAAATATAAGCATTTTATATTTTACATGCGTGCAAACAAAGCAGTTAAATACATTTTTAACTCTTTATCAACCAGTAAACTCACCATCACAAACTAATGGAAAAAAGCAAACAAAATTATTACTATTATTACTAGCACTATTACATTCATGTTTCATCAGCATAGTTGTTGTTGTTTTTTAGAGAATCCACTCCTTTTTTCTTTTTTACTATTAGTATTTTTTACTTGTAGATGGATAAAATACCTTTATTTTATCTGTTTATTTTTATATGATGTCAGGGATGGAACCCAAGGCCTCACACATGCTGAGCAAGTGCTCTACCACTGAGCCGATACCCTGGCCCCATCATCATCATAGTTTTATTATTGGTGTTTTTTGGTTGGGGTTTTCTTTTGGTTTGTTTTTTTTAAAAGTAGTGGGGATTAAATCTGGGATGCTTTACTACTGAGCTACATTTCCAGCCATTTTTTCCCCCACACTTTTTCACTGGTGCATTATAGCTATACATAGTGATGGGATTTGTTGTTACATATTCACACATGCACACTCTGGTCCTTTTTATTTTTTTTAAATTTTTTTCAGAGGGTACCCAGTATTGAACTCAGAGGCACTCAACCACTGAGCCACATCCCCAGCCCTATTTTGTATTTTATTTAGACAGGGTCTCGCTGAGTTGATTAGGGCCTCACTAATTTGCTGAGGCTGGTTTTGATCCTCCTGACTCAGCCTCCCAAGCTGCTGGGCCTTTTTTACTTTTTTTTTTTTTGGTACTGGGGATTGAACTCAGGGGCACTCAACCACTGAAGCACATCCCCAGCCCTATTTTGTATTTTATTTCGAGACAAGGTCTCATTGAATTGGTTAGTGACTCACCATTGCTGAAGCTGGCTTTGAATTCACGATCCTCCTGTCTCAGCCTCCTGAGATGCTGGGATTACAAGCATGCGCCTCGGAGCATGGCTGGGCCTTTTTATTTTTTGAGACAGGGTCTCACTAAGTTACTGAGGTTGGTTCAAACTTGTGATCCTCCTGCCTTAGTTTCCAGAGTTGCTGGGATTACAAACACCATCACACCACCCAAATTTAAATGCTATAAAATTTTTTACTAAACCAAAAGTAATAATGCATGCCTATAATTTCAGCTATTTGGGAAACTGAAACAGGAAGATGCAAGTTCAGTCAGCCTCAGCAACTTAACAAAGCCCTACACAACTAAGCAAGACCCTGTTTCAAAAATAAAAAGGACTGGGAACATAGCTCAGTGGTAGATATACTGCATTCAATCCCCAGTACCAAAAACAATAAAAAATTTAAAAAGAGCTCAGTGGTAGAAGGTATCTGGGTTAAATTCCCAGTAACGGGGAGAGGGAAAAAAAATTATTTTTATTAATTAGGCAAGAAACTTTTCATTTTTTCGTATTTACTAACTTATTAATATAGCATATCCTCTTTAAAAAGTAGACTTCAGAAAGAAAACTGAATTCTGCAATGCCAAACTGAGAAATTTAATTTTATAACTGTGAAAGTGGAGAGTAAACAAAATCTCACCTTAACAAAACTCCTAAAATGTCAAACCTGTCTCATTGTATATCCATTATTTATCATCGTATACCAGAATATGGTATTAATTAATTACATGAAAACTTGAATACTCACTTCAAGATTAAGTTAATTCTAGATAATTCTATTCTCAGTGGAGAACAGCATATAATTAGTTTAGCAGCTCAGCTCAATTACCAGTAAGGTTAGTAAAACAATGGTGTTAAGACTAATGTATAACAGAACAACAGTATCATCTCATACAAAACACATAAAAATTGCTAAAAATGAACTGGGCAGGGTGCACATGCCTATAATCCCAGCTACTGAGCAAGCTGGGGCAGGAGGATTCCGAGTTTGAGGTCAACCTGAGCAATTTAGAAGGCCCTCCTCTCAAAACAAAAGAAACAAACCAAAAAAGCTACAAGTTTTGAATTAATGTAACCCACTTTTCTGATTATAGCATTCAGGATATAAGTATAAACACTGCGGTATAAGTGATAATGACAGATTCAGAAACAGGATCCCTCTCCTTAAATAAAGCATGCTTTTTCTGGTGAAACCACAACAAATCTCTTTAACTTACCTTTCTTCATCCAAAATAATAGAACCATCCTCTGCCACTTTTACTCGAGGAACCAGCAATGGCCCATCATCTGTCTCTTCTTGCATTTCTTCATTATCTTCAACATCAAGCGTGCTCTTATTTTCCTGCCTACTAAATGTAAAGATAAGTTAATTCACATAGCTTAGAGAAGTATTTCCTGGGACAGAAGTGTGACTCAGTAGTAGTACACATGCTTAGCAGGCCCAGGGCCCTGGGTTTAATTTCCAGCAACAAAATTAAATACATTAATTGATTAATTAAAGAGAAATAAATGCTCATCTTTTCTACTTCAACACAGTATTAACGCAAACCATCCGGTTATTATGGAATTAACAATAATAATCCTTACAGTTACTTAGCACTTGGTTCCAGAACATTTAATTAACTCTTTAGTATTTTCATACTCACTTAAGCCTTAGAGAAAATAGAAAACTTACGCTCTAGATTACACAACAGTAAGGATAGAACAAAAAGCCAAATAGGCTTTTTTTTTTCCTTTTTTTAGAAAGCTATGTGTATGTATATATTTTTATTAGATATTAATTTTAGCTGATACAGAAAAACATGATAATTGTACATATTAATGGGGTACCATCTACATGATGTTTCAATATGTGTATATGCAAGGTCTAAATCAGGTTAAACAAAAACATTTATCATTTCTTTATGTTGAAAAATTTCAAATCCTTCTAGGCAAGTGTGGTAGGTGGCATATGCTTATAATCCCATCTACTCAGGAGGCTCAGATAAAAGGATGAAGAGTTCAAGGCCAGCCAGGGCAACATGGCAAAACCTTATCTCAAAAAAAGAATCCTTCTTAAAGCTTTTTGAAATATACAGTACATAACTATTAGTTATCTATAGCTACCCTACTGTGCAATAGCACACCAGATTATCTTGCTTCTAACTTTTAGTTTTTCAAATAATGATTCCAAATTCCACACACTTTCCAATCTACTACACTGTTGGATATGTTTTATTGAAGTCAACATAAATTATAAACCTGTGAAGCATAAACTATTTTTAAAGCTTCAGAAATGTGCTTTAAAACATTATGCATCCTAGGCAAAATAATAAGCTTACTTAACCCTTGAAGTGATAGCTCTGAAACTGTTTTAATGTTTCTGCTAAATTTCAACAATCCTTCACTTTAATATATACAGCTACTTGGGCTGGGAGGTAGCTCAGTAGCAGAGTGCTTGGCATAACATGTGATTAGGCCTTGAGTTTGATCCCCAGCCCCACAAAAAAAAAAAAAAAAAAAAAAAAAGAAAATGCCAATAACTTCCTAAAAAGGTCTTTTGGTGGAATTTCTTCAGAATAAACTAACATGATAGTTTTGAATGTGAAAAGCATAGGGAGCTTGTGCTTATACAGTCTACATCTAGTGGCATCAAAACTAAACCTATTGCCAGGCATGGTGGCACACACCTGTAATCCTAGCAGCTTGGGAGGCTGAGACAGGAAGATCACTAGTTCAAAGCTAGCCTCAGCAAAAGCAAGGCGCTAAGCAACTCAGTGAGACCCTGTCTCTAAATAAAATACAAAATAGGGATGGGGATGTGGCTCAATGGTCAAGTGCCCCTGAGTTCAATCCCTGGTACAAAAAAAATTCAAACTAAACCTATTGCAGGACAGTGTATATAGCATGCTAACTTTGATGTTTAAAAGAAAAAGAAGCTAGGCTTGATCAGAGGTAGAAGAATTTTTACAATATTCACTTTTGTTCCTTTTGAGTTCTGTATCATGCAAAAATTATTTTTCTAAAACAACAATAAAAAAAAGCTTTCTTATTCTAACAGCTTTAACTTAACATCATAATACTGGTCAGTTATATGTGCATAACTGACCAGTTATATATACATTACACAAATAGTGTGGGATTTTCAAGCTCATTTAAATAAAAGTTACTTTTATTCATAGGTGAGTCTATTTTAAAAATTCAAACAAGACTAGTAGTGTAGTTGAGTAGCAAAGCATCTGCCCAGAACACACATGGGTTCCATCCCCTGCACCACAAAAAATAAATACAAAGATCCAGTCAAGCCAAGCGTAGGGAGGCTGAGGGAGGAGTATCACAAGTTGAAGGCCAACTTCAGCAACTTAGCAAGGTCCTAAGCAACTCAGCAAGACCCTATCTCAAAATAAAAAACAAAAAGGGCTGGAGCCAGGCATGGTGATGCACATCTATAATCCCAGCATCTCGGGAAGCTGAGGTGGAAGGATTTCGAGTTTAAGGCTAGCCTCAGCGATTTAGCAAGCCCCTAAGCAACTTAGGGAGACCCTATCTCAAAATAAAAATTAAAAAAGGGCTGGGGATTTAGCCCAGAAGTAAAGTGCCCCTGGGTTCAATCATTTCTTTTTAAAAAAAATTTTCCTTTAGAGAACTTTCTCTATTTTTGTATTAACTGCTTATTTAATTAGAAGACTGAAAAGAAAAATCTGGACACAGACCTCAAAATCATTTCATTTTTTTGAAAAGATATTCCCATAATAGAATACATTCAAAAAAAAATAAGATGGAATACTTACTCTCTTGACTGGACGGGAGTCAATGACTTTTCAGTTTTCTTTTCTTGTTCTAGTGAAGAACTATTAAACACAAATAACAATACTTTTTAATGACTGAATTTGCCTTGCCAATTCTATCTGTAAGCAAGAAGAAAATTAACTTCTATGTGTTTTTTCAAAGATATAATAAACCATAGTACTTCATTAATAATGGCACAGTTTAACAATCAATTTTTCAGTCACAGCTGGGGTTTTAGCTCAGTGAGCATTTAGTATGCTTAAATCCCTGGGTTCAATCCTCAACACAGAAAACAGGAAAGGGAAAGAAAGAAAAGGGAAGGAGGGAGGAACGGAGGGAGGAAAAAAATTTTTCAGTCAAAAATTTGTAATCAAGTACAAATAATCTGTTAGGTTCATGCTCTTAGTAATTCCTGATTCCTTAATAAAGGGAGGCTCCCAATCCCGAGACATAAAAATACCTACATAGCTTGTCTTCACTGTGTGTATGTCAAGCAACTCAAAATCTAGGTTTCCGGGCCTTCCTTCAACTGGGTCAAACACCTGGTGAACCCCAAAAGGTCCTACTAAAAAATATGCTACCTCTATCAGCTAAACTATCAACAACAATGACCAGATTTATTTAGAAGACTTCTGTCCCCAACCCCAACCAAGACTTTGAAGCTTTATTCTTGGAAGACTTGCTAATCAAACTACCATTGAATTTAATCACGATGTACTGCTTAAAATCTTAGATAGCTCCTTTAGATTAGGTTATAGTACATAATAAAGAGAAATTGCAACTTTGGTTTTACTACATCCTGTTAATTAATATAACAAAGGAAACATTTTTCATATCATTGATAAAAAGTATCATTTGCCATCCCCAGAAAACAGTTAATTGCAATCACAGCTGGGGGTATAGCTCAGCAGTAGAGCACAAGCTTTCATACAAGCAAGGCCCTGGAGTCAATCCCCACACAAGGAAAGGGGAGGGGAAGGGAAGTGTGTCTTCTTTGTCATTATTTATACATTCAAAGATTTTTCAGATTTAACTTCAACTACTTTGATTTCTTTTCTTTTGTATATCAGAAAACTTTCTTTCAGGATCTTTACTCTTATGGTTGAGATACAGATTTTTTATATAGATTTTTCCCAGCACGAGGGGAGGGGAGGGGAGGGAAGAAATAAAACAGGCAAGAGGTACGGGACTATAATCCCAGTGACTCTAAAGGCTGACACAGGAGGATATCAAGTTCAAGGCCAACGTGGGCAACTTTTCCAAGACCCTGTCTCCAAACAAAAAAAAGGGTTGGGGATGTAGCTCAGTGATGCTTAAGTGTGAAGTCGAGAGTTCAATCTCCAGTGCTTCAAAAAGAAAAAAAGATCACTAATAGTTATCATAAATCTTCAGTCACAGTATAACATATGTGCTACAAATTTTTTCAACATGCTTTTAGAAAACAAGAAACTATACTCTAAATGTGGTACTTAAATCACTACAAAGAAACTAAAACAAATAAATTTTACTTACGTCATTGGATTATTATCTGGCAGGTAATATATGAAGTCTCTCATAGTCATTTTTGAACGATCTGGTGGCCTCTGACTTTCATTTATAGCATATTTGTTTTTCCATTGTTTCTATATATACAAACACACAGATCCACTTTTATTTTATAAATATAGAAGAATTTCAAATGTACTATAGTCAAATACATGGACCACTATTACATTCATTCCAAGAGTTTTAATATTATTCCTATTCTGATTATATCTAATTTTAGGGAAAAAATTATGAGCTGGATATTAAAAAATTGTAGCACATTACCCATAATAGTTTTTAGTTTTTAAAATCTAAAGTGATTGGGACTGGATGAAAGTTCAATGTACAAAATCCTGCTCACTGGAGCTGGGTGTAGCTTTGCAGTAGAATGCTTGCCTATCTATCATGCATGAGGCCCTGGATTCAATCTCTAGTACAGAGGGGACAAAAAAAAAAAAAAAAAATGCTGACATTTGGTGGACACTTAATATTTTCAACAGAATTTTTTTTTTAAAAGATGGGGTCTCACTGTGATGCCCAGGTTGGACTCAAACTCACAATCCTCCCACCTCGGCCTTCCAAATAGCTGGGATTACAGGCATGCACCACTACACCAGCACTTACTATTTTCTAGACTTAAGTTTAAATATGTTTCACATGTATTAATTCATTTAATGTTCACAATCCTTCAATGAGGTAGATGCTATTATTGGTCCTATTTTACAGATGAGGAAATAGACATAGAAAGATCAATTAAACTGCCCAACATCACATAGCTAAGACTCAAAGCCTAAGTATCTAACTCCAGAGCCAGCATGCTTCACCACTATTACCATGTCCTTCCAGGGGAAAAAAAAAAATCAGTTTTCAAGATTATAAAGAACATGGACTCTACTATATGCATTGCACAAATATTTCCCATTTGTAATTTTCCACACAGTTAACTTAGAAAAATTACCAATTCATATTGCTCAACCATGTTTATCTTAATTCAAATACCTTTGTCTTAACAAAAATAAATATACAGCATGTCACATGGATATCTTTATATGAAAAATCCGATTCAAGGTTTATTTTACAAATATGCCTATGTATATATGTTCTTATAAAACTTTTACTTGTTGCCCTCACTAAAAACAAAGAGGAATGATACTGGCCAAATTATATTGTACATATATAAATATATAACAAATCCCATCATTATATACAACTATAATGCACCAATAAAAAATGGAAAAAAATTAAAAACATAATTAAATGAAGTACATAAAAATTTTTATTAGTTGACTATGAAGTTCAACAGACTTCTCAATCATCTATTAACAAAAGGAGATGTTATTTTGGTTTTGCTACAGACGCATAAGGGATGTTATTTTGGTTTTACTACAGATGCTTATTTTTCTTCCAAATGATGCCATACTAACCTAAAAACAGAAATCTAGCAAGCACCACTGAAATTGGGATTTTCCTCCCTTACCTTCTCTTTTCTCAATTCTTCTTTTAACATTTCCCTCAGTTTCTGGGCTTTATATATTCGGTATCTATCTGAGCATGGCTGTTTCTCTTTTCTTGGAATGGGGTTTGGCTGTGGAGCATCTTGATTAACTGTAGATAAGGGATGAGACTGTGAAGGAACACTGACACTAGGCTTAACCAAACTAGAAGTACTTGATATTCGCTTTCTTCTCTGTGAAACGGTGGAGGACAATTTGCTGGATTCTTCAACATTATTTTCACCACCAATCTTCTCATCACTGTTGAAATTTAAAAGAGAGAGAGAAAGAAAGAAAGAAAAGAAAAACGAACACCATGAATCTTCTTTCGTATGTCCTAGTTTTAAAACCTAGTCTGATAAAAATCCAAAACACTAAAGTCTCATTATTAAAAAAAAGAATTAATGGGGGTCTAGGGGTACAATTCAGTGGCAGAGAATGTGCAAGACCCTGGGTTCACACTAGCATGTCCAATGACTTAAGATTTATGCTGATTACTATAAGTTTTGTTTAAAATCTTTTTAACTTATATAAATTCTAATGAATACTGTTAATCTTTTCAAATATTATGTACCTAAGCTCAGCAAACAACATAATTATATGCTAGTTTCCTCAAAGCAAACAAAAACCTAAGTTTTTACAGAACAAACTTAATCAACCTACTTTGAATAACTGAGGGTTTTAAGACTTAACCTTTTTGTTTTATGTTTCTGTTTTATATATGATGCTGGGATGGAACCCAAGGCCTCGTGCATGGCAGACAGAGAGGTTTCTTTTCAAATACAGTCTAAACATCACTTTGACATCTCCCTAAATTGGTCTAAATTATTGGCACTATATCAACATGAGATCAGTCAAAGCAAATACACAAAACTTCAAACTTATAAAATATTTGTATTGCAGTATTTGAAGACATACATTTAACCTCATTAGCCAAACCAAATTCCTTTTTTTTTTTTTTTTTTTTGTACCAGGGATTGAACCCAGGGGTGCTTAACCACTGAGCCACATCTCTGGTCCTTTTTATGTTTTTGAGACAGAATCTCATTAAGTTTCTTACTGCCTTGCTAAGTTGCTGAAGCTGGCCTTGAACTTGCAATCCTCCCGCCTCAGCCTCCTAAGCTGCTAGGATTACAGGTATATGCCACTGCACCAGACTCAAACCAAATGCTATTTGGAGCAGAAATCATTTATTCTTTTTCAGGTACAACTCTACTTACACAGCAGAAATATTCAGTCACTTCAAAATATATATTAGATATGGTACAGATAAGACATAAATAATTCAAGAATGGCCTAAAAACAAATCAAATCAAGAAAAAAGAACAAGGTAAGTTGGATAGAATGAATAACTTCTAATATACTATAACACAGTCAGGTGATAATACAATTGTAGGGTTAATAACAAATAATTTTATATCTCAAAATAGCTAGAAGAGAGAATTTGAAATGTTCCAAAGACAAAGAAACACTTTTGAAGTGATGGATACACCAATTTCCCTGATCTGATCATTACACATTGTATACATATACTGAAACATCACACTGTACACTATAAATATGTACAATTATTATGTAACAATTAATTTTCTTAATATTAAAAAGAAAAAAGGGGCCAGGGATGTAGCTCAGTGGTAAGAGTGCTTGCCCCAGCATATGTGAGGCCCTGGTCTTGATCCCCACAACCACAAAATAAGAGAAGAAAAAAAACAAAAAACTTTTTTCATATTTTATAATTGGTTTTTATATAAAAATGCAAAATGCCTTAGCCTATGGAATAACCTTTCCAGAAAGTTTCCAGTTTAAATTCTTATCTCAGGCTGAAGAGGTAACTGGTAGCAGAGTGCCTGCCCAGTATGTTCAAGGACCTGGGTTGGATCCCCAGCACCAACCGCTGCCCACTCCCCCCAAAAATCTTATCTCAGCCCTTACAGAAATGATATATGCATCATCTGCATTTTGCCCAACTATGTTGAATGCATAATGGCAGAATATACACCTTATCAATTTTTACAACTAGCAAAAACGCCTACACACAAAAAAATGCAGTTCAAAAACAAAATATACTCCTTAATTTAAATTCTAAGAAATCAATTAAATACTCTAGAGCATGAATGTCTCAGGACTACAGTCTGAGACATATAACAATAATTTATTAAACTATTAATCATCATGCATTCCTACACTGTTAATCAAATCTCTCAAAACTTTATTAATTTAGCAGTAAGAGGTATTGTATCTCCATTTTAAGGAGAAATTTTAAATCAGATTCATGTAAAAAACTTGGAAATAACTGAGCATCAATGAACTATCAAAATAAACACCCTATAACTAGCACCAGCTTACTAGAGTAAGTTGTGCTCCCACAAAAGAAAATGTTCACCTTTTTGTCACAATATAAACAAAATTTGTACCAACTCACTGGCACTTAACAGGGTTGGTTTTTTACTATTTCCTCCTACATACAATATAAAAACAGAGACCACCTTACTAACCTGGCAGGTTTTTAATTTAATTACTTTCCACTGTCACCCTTTCTTAAAACTAAGAACTTTGGCCAGTGCCTGGGCACACCTGCAATCAGGAGGATAGCGAGTTCAAAGCCAGCCTCAGCAAAAGTGAGGCACTAGGCAACTCGGTGACACAAAACAGGGCTGGGGATGTGGCTCAGTGATCGAGTGCCGCCGAGTTCTATCCCCGGTACCAAAAAAAAAAAAAAACGAAAAAGCAAAACTAAGAACTTTTCTAGGGGAACTATTCTGGCCTGTGCTGTGCAAGTAGTTATCTCTAATCTCCAAAATAACGCCCCCAAAGAAGATAATATTATCCTTATTTAGCAGAATAAATTTTGTCTAGGAAAAGTCTACTTAAATTGTTAAATTAAGTAAAAGAGTCCTTAATCCAAATGCGGTACACGACGCTAAAGCCATGATTCTTGATAAAGTGCACCCCTCAAACCCAAAGCAAGCAACCGAAACTTCTTTCCTTGACACAAATCAGCAGAAACAAAACAATCTGGGAACATAGCTCAGTGGCAGAGCGTTTGCCTAGCATGTGCGAGGCCCTGAGTTCGATCACCAACACCGGCAGAAACAAAAAAGCAATACTGGCGATCTCCTTTTTAAAAATAAGTATTTTAAAAAAAAATTTTAAACCACTCTCCTTGCAAAAAAAAACTTAAAAACTACGATAATTAAATTCTCAATCCCTTTAGATTGCTATACTGGATTCCCATCACCACCAACTGGAAGACCAGGTCTCCTCGAGGACATACAGATCCTGACGAAAGGTCAGAGGGACAAACTGCAGTTTAGAGTGGGTTCATCCAGACTCTGAAAGCAAGGGAGTACTCCTCTAATAATGTTCATCTGCTCAGCTTCATTTTCCCTCTGCAAGCGCTTACCTGCTCCTAGGAGCCTTTTCTTGGGGCTCCGCTGCCCCGGAATCCACCGCGGGCACATCTGTGGGCTCCACTGGCTTCGGAGCGGACTCCGCCGTAGGCTCCGGGGGCCTGGGAGACTCCTGGCCGCGCTGGGGATTGGGAGCGGTAGAGCCCCTGGCGCTTACACCAGGCCTGACATTCGGCTTCACGCTAAGGCGTGCCCTGCGGAACATGGCGGAGCCAGGGGGCCCGGGGAGGCGGCTCCACGGCCGCGCTAAGCCCCGAGCCCCGGCCGCTGCCCGAGAGGGGGCTAGGACCTACGCCCTCCCCACAAAGCCACACCACCGGCCCCGCGGGAGGCTACCGCAGTTTCGCGCCCCCGCCGCCGTCACCTCTCTCCCACCACCGCCTCTTCTTCATGACCCTGCCACACTAAGAGCTAAGTTTCTCCCTCCTCGCTGCTCCCCCGCCCTCAGAGGGCGCCGGAACTGATCGCATCATCAGGCAGCGCAGCTGACTGACGTCAGACTCAGGGCGCCGGGAGCCATGGCAACTACCAAGAGCTTGGGTTACCTGTGAACCGGAATTTGAGAAACTAAGATGTGTGCTATTCCTTCTTCAGGCGTCCTTAGGAGTTGTTGAAAAGAGAGAGAGGAGGCCGAGTCGACTCCACAGCTCGGAGCCTTCAATTTTCCCCTCCCGGGGCTGGGAATCGAACCCAGGGCTTTCCGCTTGCTGAACTTGCAATCTACCGCTAGGCTACCCCCTCAGCCCCCTCAACGAAAGGCTTAATGGAAACTAGTAAAATAACTGGCCAATTTTATTTTTAAAGGGTCTCCAAGAGCATTTAAGCATATGAGAGCGGCGCCTGCACACCAGTATATGAGGATCCCCAGGGCTCAGAAATTCTAAATTGAAGCCCGGCGCGGCGGCTTAGTCCTGTAATCCCAGCAACTCTGAGGCAAGGCTGAGGCAACTGGATCGCAAATTGGCCGCTGGGTTCAATGCCCAATACCAAAACATAAATAAATAAAATTTAAAAATTGTTTTCCAGCTTTCAAGAAAATGAAAATTGAATAGAATATAGATTAGAAATTCTGTTGTGAAGGCGTGATTACACTTGCACCCTAGGAGAGGAACCAGGTTTCTGCTAAGCATCGTGGGAAGACAGTTCACTATATGCCCTTGCGTACTTGCGAATGTATTGCCCATTCAAAAATTATTGTAATCGAAACTTTGCAAGTCAGCATGAGTATTCTTAATCTATTTCAAGAGGTAGCAATACAACAATAAAATGTTCTTGGCTGGGGAAGAAATACAACAAAAAAATTTTTTTTGTTTTTGTTTTTGTTTTTGTTTTGGTACCAGGGATTGAACCTAGGCGCACTTAACCACCAGCCACATCCCCAAACCTATATTTTATTTAGAGACAAAGTATCACTGGGTTGCTTAGCCCAGTGGGGTGGCACACACCCACCAGCCCCAGCAATTCATCAAGACCCTGTCAAATAAAATATAAAAAAGGGCTGGTGATGTAGCTTAGTGGTTCAGCGCCCCTGGGTTCAACGTCCCTGGGTTCAACCCCTGGTGCCAAAGTGTGGTGTATATGTGTATACTCACATTCAATATCATGAAATAAATTTAAATAATAATAGAGAGTAATGAGGGGCCTTTATGGTGGCAAAATAACCAGAGATAAGGCTCACCCTGTAGGTATGAAGCAATGTTTGAACCTGTGATACAAATCCCCTGATTTATGAAAACAACAAAGGTCTGATTCCTTCTTGAAAAGAGAGGGGAATTCCATAAGAACATCCCCTGACATCAGTAACAAAGCATGAAAGAAACAAAATCCTGTACTGGCTGAAAAAAAAAATAGGTCATCCAGAGGGAGAAAGAAAAGAAGCAAGTGCTTTTGAAAATATGAAGGCAAGGCTGAAAGTAGAGATGAACTAAGAGATTACTTTAAGAATGGGAAGAAAATGGAGGTCTGTAAGTTCTGTGGGCCCTCTCCAGTACTCTGGAGATTAAAAAAAAAAAAAAAAAAAAAACATGATCTCAGATTAATTTTTTTTTAATTTTTTTGTTTTTCTTGGGTTTTGTTGGTTTTTTTCCCCCACTAAGATGCATTTAAAGAAGCTCAGTGCTTAGCCTGCTCAAGGCCCTGGGTTCAGTTGCCAGCACCAAAAAATTTTAAAAAGCCCAAAAATTGAAAAAGAACACCTTGCCAGATGGACATAATGTCCCACTCTTGTAATCACAGCAATTTGGAAGGCTGAGGCAGGAGGATTGCAAGTTCCAGGTCAACTTCGGCAATTTAGTGAGGCCCTGAGCAATGTATTGAGACACTGTTCCAAAACAAAAAATGTAAAGGGCTGGGGTGTAACTCAGTGGTAAAGCACCCCTGGGTTCAGTCCCCAGTACAAAAAAAAAAAAAATCTTGCCAAAGAAAAGATGTCTCAGGATCTTAGACTCATTGGTAGGACCATACAGATTTGGACAGAATGTTCTGATGCAAACTGAAGACATAAGGCCTTCTTTCAAATGTTCTGTTCCACCAAGAATCTAGAGCATTCCAACAATTTTATAGGTAAAGAAATCAATAATGACTTAGATTTAGTTTTCTACTAGTAAAGATATGGCAGTAAAGTCAGATTAAATTTTTACTATTAAACACAGTCATAAGACATTTGTAACACACCCAAATTTCTGGAGTAAATTCTTAGTGTCATTAGTATTTTAAAATCTCCAGTATTACACCTATAATCCCAGGGACTCAGGAGGTTGAGACAGAAGGGTCGCAAGTTCAAGACCAGCATCAGCAACTTAGTGAGACCATGTCTCAAAATAGAAAATAAAAAAGGTTAGGGATGCACTCAGTAGTAAAGAACTCCGGAATTAAATCCCTAATACCGAAAGAAAGGAAGGAAGGAAGGAAGGAAGGAAGGAAGGAAGGAAGGAAGGAAGGAAGGAAGG